CCATTTACCGCCAAATAGTGCAAGCATCAGACATCCCTTTAAAGCTTGAACTATTATTGGAAAGATTGAGATTCTGAATACCTTTGTTATCCAAGTTCCCTAGACTTCTAGAGTATTCAGAGAACATAATAAGCTTGAGAATGTTGTTGTTTATGTCTGTAATGGCAATGTAAATTTGTTTGATCGAGAGGAAATAGCAACGAAGGCAATTGCAGAAATTGCGGACGACCGACCTTGCAGAAAGCGATCATTTCACTCTCCAGCAAAGGCAGACCTGAATTGCTTGACTAAACCAGCTGATGCTCATCCACTGTGACTAATTACTGTAATTATCCAATCCTACATGCTGCCATTCTCTTAATACCCCTTTCATCCTGCCCCTAGACGGTTTAAATGTAAATTATTGCCACTAAAAAATACCTGAATTGTGTCAAGAGGTGAACCCATTTTTTCATGACATTCGAGCCTACTTTATCATTTAAATAAAATTGTATGATTGAATTACATGGGATGTACCCGCTCATTTTAGAAAAAAATTATTATTATTATTATTATTATCATCATCATCAAGAAGCTTTGATTTAAGACTAAAAGAAAGAATACTTGGAATTCGCTGAATACAATTAAATATTTGAAAAATAATCTTCATAATAATTTTTAACATAATTAATTGCATTATTTAAGAATACTTAAGAAGTTTGAAATAATGACAAGATTTTAATGAAATTTTAATTTAATATATTGAATATTTTTCTACATTTATTTACATAGTGGTTAAACAATTAAAATAAAATCCTAATTTTCGGATATTTTAAGATTTAAATGTGATAGCTACGTGATGGATTAATGAAACTACAATACCCATTGAAATAATGACATTTTGGCAGTAGATCACATGGTTTTTATAATGTTTTTTATAAATTGGTAATTTTAAAAAAAAACTTAGTACCAATTTTTGATGATATCAAAGAACGTTTTCTTTTAGCCAGATATTGAATTACAGTTTTAGCTTAATGAAAACCAAATGAACCAAGATATTAAAATTTTAATGATAAAATTAATTAGCATTTATTTACATTATACTAGAATTTTACCTATATTGTGGAAGTCATGAACTTTCTTAACAACTAACTGTATTTTTCGTAATAATTTGAAATTGAATAAGGTTAGTTATCATATTAATCTTATCAGTGATCATGAAAAAAGTAAAAATAGTTTTAAAGAGAATAGTGCATTATGTTGAAGGCAAAGTTCTCATAAAAAATTAGCTCTATAAAGTGCATTAAAAATAAATATACTTTTTTACGAGGTTAATTATGAAATATGAAATTTCTTTGATGTCATAATACATCATTATACGATGCATAAATATAAGAGCTTACATAAATTTCCGAAAAGTCACTGTCGTTAATTGCCAAAGTATATGAAAATGACGACGTGATCCAGCAGCTCTTGTTATCAAAATTATTGTTGAAGCATATAAGCACCAGCACCGCCCTTATTCTCTAATGAATTAATATGCAGCATAGCAACTATCTCGGCTTCTATACACGTCAGCGTTGCAATCCACTTGGCACTTTGACGGAATAAATTTACAAATTGAACCGGGCGCCAGGTGAACCAGTGAACACTAATACACGACATTCGACCTATCTTAAATAACTTTAAATAAATTTTCTCTCTAGCTCTTTTCGTTAACACACAGGCACATTAACTGATTTCATGAAATCGTTTCCTCGACAATTCAGAGCAACGAGCTGGCGTCAGCGTCTAAAAATTAGCTCGAGACGTAATTCAAGTAATTAAAGCGAAATAAAAGAAATGTCCTAATGAATTTATTACTGAAATTCGCATGAAATTATCTTGAAAACGTGTAGACAATGAATAATACATAAGAGCATAATTTGATAATTTATAAACATTCTAGTATTGAAAATGGCGATTAATTAGAAGCTGAAATTGTAAACTGATCGCTATTTCAACATAATGGATTTGGGATTAATTAACGTTGAATAATTACTGTGCGACGTTGCGGCTTGCCTGTATCAAAGCCACAGCCTCATGTGTATTATGTACTCTGAATCTCTTCCTATCTCTATCACTCTATTTTTGTTTCACATATAGTTTGTGATCACTATTTTGGAACGACATATTTACAAAGTACATGATATTAATTTATCTTATATCGTATAACATTATTACTCACATGATCAAGCAAAATGATTGCCGGTCTTTAAGTCTGACCCAATCCGTTAATCATAATACTTGATCATTCAATTACTCGATATAATATCTTGAATAGATTCTGTTCTTATCTGAAATCAGGTTGGACGCATTTTCAAAAAAAAACAAAACATTATTATTCAAAAATTTAATTTAAAGAAAATTAAAAGTCCATGTTTGAATAACATTCCATCAAGATTAATTTATAATTCATTTGGAATTATACACAATCACCTCCAAATTAAACTCCAGCTTATAGATAATTAACGCATACGGAATTGCACTCACGTTGATTTCCTCCACAAGTTAAACCGCAGTGCGAGTGACTATTCATCAGTAACAGCAGCAGGAATCAAGCACTCAAGCTTTGGTCTCATCATCGATCAATCACGAAAGTGCAGCAGCCTGCATGCATTCGAGTGTTACCGCTCGTGGCAATTTATCAGTCTAATCATGGAGGAGGTGATTCCCTAGTGGAGCATCGAGTGGAAGAGCGAGAGAATGAAACAGCTAAAGTGGATGGTGAAGTATGGCCCATATGCCAGGAAGTTACCAGGTGTTTCGTAGACCGAGGGGTAGGAGAATACCACTGTTGGACGCACCCACGCGACACGCGATATCGCGGCCAGCTGTCGCCACTACGATCGACAACTTCGTGCATCTCATTTTAAACTTGTAGGCAATAGAACCAAACTAGTGGGTCACCAAATTAATTTATGCACGTATTTCACTCAAATTTCGACTTGATAATAATACTGTTTTTATTTATTATTAGAAGAACTTCACAGAAACAAAAAAAAACATTCCCAAAAGGTTGGGAGCTAGCTATGATTCATGGTATAATTTATTAACGAAAAAAATTATAAAAGTGATAAAGTGAGTAGAAATAACAGGGAAGTTATCAGTTAGTAATAACTTTTTTAAAAGTTTAAACATAAAATTAAAAATTGTATTCAAGATTTAAAAGTACAAATGTGACTGGGCAGAAATGAATTTTGAGTTTTCGTAAGGCAAAAACCCAAAATTCACTGGTAAATACAAATTTTTGTATCTCTAGAATTCAAAAAGTACACTGGTCATTTTCGCTTACGGTTAGTGAAAGAATTATCTCCGTGTACAATTTGAGATATCGACTTGTAACCAACAGCATTCAATGCATATTTATACTGCAACAATCAATATACATATGGTTGTTTTAACAACCAAATATTGCTAGTGAAAAAAAAAGTCAGCAATAATTAACTATCAGAATTGAATTTGGTTGAAAAAAACAGTTTTATAAATAATAATCTCATCTTAATTTAAATCATTTAATAATGATTTCAGATGTTTTCTTAAATATTATTATTACAACTGTGAAGAAAGAAAAAGTCAGGATCAAAAATAATAATAATAAAAACTGAAGGGTTAGCAAAATTAAAAAAATCTTGAGCTTGAAATTGGATTACTGTCTCCTCCACACAACTTTAAACACCTCTATATTTTTGGGAGTGATGAAGAATAATGAAATATGATTCCATAACAAATTTTCGAATCGATGAACTGATCCAACATGAATGTAGACAAGTAAAAGGATCATGTCCGCTTCGATACGCCGGAAGTGGCTAAGAGCTCCTGATAACTGAACATTTCGTATCGAGTTCGACCCTTTTGCGGGTCTGGGGACATTTGAGATTTATGTTCGAGGGTGAATAAAGTTTCGTACTATGGTGGAAGCTATACAGGGTAGAGGGTGTTGGAGATATCTTGTGATTGGTCTTTTGACTGATAATTATCTGTCATAGAATATTTATTAAAATTCAAAAAATATGTCATTACGTATAGTTAACAATATTCATAAGTCGGAAAAAATGATTTGTCACCATTTTTGATGAACTCAGTGTTTATTTACTTTTATTATTTCCGATTAAGTGAATTGACTTCATTTTCTGGTTTATTCAAACCATAAAGCTAGAGTTATAGACTTTTTAAATTATTACTTCATTAAAATTTCATTCATTCAAAGTGAAAATAAAGAATAAAAGTGTCTGCTTAAGAAATTGGTAAATAATTAACATTTGCATCTCATTAATTTCTTTTTTTACGAAGCATTAATTGTCTTTCTGAGTAATAAAACTCATAAGGTGATAATTAAGTGATAAATAGTAACACGTGTAAATGATTAACTTATCATTATCATTACTTAACAATATTAAAAAGGAATTCAAGTATTTTATTTCTTTCTTAATTAATGAGTTCCCAAGAAAAATGCAAATGACTGTACTTACAAAAATTGCTGACTAGCTTCGTTTACTTATTTTATGTACAGAACACACAGTGTTGCGTGTTCCATAGCTTGGGTTTCGTTCTATTACCAAAGTATGGAAAAAAGTAAAAAGCAAAAAATGACATGCAATCTTGATAAATTGTAGTGGCAGAGTGTAAATTCGAGGAATCGATCGGTTATACTCTGACCACGATTAAAGTTTATCCACGAGAATTTACTAGATGTATGCAGAACAGAGTAACTGGGTCGATGGCTCTTGTCCCCAGAGCAACTAGTTTAAATGTACACATCACTAAGAATTTATACGAGCCCATTGGTGATTCATCAAATGAATTTATTTCAATGCTCTAAACATATTCAGCTTGCCAAATGTTAACTATTCTTGATTCAACGCGGAAGAAAAAAAAGTTGAGTTTTTCTCACGCGAAAAATTGGAGAAAGATAACTTGAAGTCGTTCAAATTTTACATTTCAGAAGATTTATGAGCATGAAAAAAGTTTCTTCTATTTACCTTTTGTGCTTTACAAGCTGCTGCCAGTGGTAGTACATCATGAGGATGAGCAGCATGACGATCACGAAGACATGATGTGCAAGCAGCAATCTTACATAGAGCACAATAAAGGCTGACAGCTTCTCCATTATGATCAGCACAAATTAGACTTCCATCGGGCCCTTGAGAACGTGCTCCTTTTCCACCAGTATTTGATTGCCAGCTGGCACGTGGTGGACCCAAATTGTGAGCTGCTAGTGGGCCCCTTTTGGGGTGACACGATTCCCTACATCCGTCACAATAAAGGACCTAAAGACCCATGAAATTTTTTCTCGTTATTTTTTATATACTGGATCAAGTTTCAAAATAAAAATAAATTATCAAAAATTGAGAATACTTGGAATTAATTGGCTATAATAATGAACATTAGCTAAATGATTACGTTTGATAGGATACTATAAAACTACAAATAAACACGCAATTATGCTTATTATATAATTAAAAGTGGCGTAAAATTTCAATGAATTTCTCTTTAGAAAATAGAAAATAAACTTGTAATTATATAAAATTAAAACGTATCTATTTCCCTAAAAGTTGAAAGAATTAACAAAAAAATTACTATTTTCATGGACTAATTAAAAAACTTGATTATTATGAAGAGTTTTTCAGTTGAGGCGTCAATGATTTAAAAGAAAAGCTGATGATATAAATTTATGGAGTATTTCTCTCTGAAGAGTATGAGTTGAAATTGAATAAATGTCTACATCAAATTGAGAAATAATGATAAATATTGATAGAAACTCATTAAAAATTACTGCCTTTCCAATTTAATTAAAGTTAATTTTATACTTAAAATAAAGTAAATAATAATTATTATAGTACCTACACTGTAAATTGAATTTTGTGGAAAATGAACACACAATAATATGTTGAATGTTAACTACCATAAACAAACTATTCAAGTCTTGTAATTTTTTTATATATATTTCAAGGTGTATTAAAACCTAAAGTTTGTTCGTAGTATTTAACATTAAACACGTTTATCTGTGTTTATTGTAAAACACTTTGATTTTCAGTGTAGCAAGAAATTTTATAGAACCTTTTATCTTGATAAAATAAAATAATTACTTATACAATTTAGGTTCATTATATTGAACATTATTTTCAATTTGATTTCACTACTTTAATGTAATAAATCTTCATTCATGGTAAAAAATTAAATAAATTTTTAATTAACTATTAGTAAATGTAATTTGTTACAGATCCGTTCTTCTATCAATGTCAATTCTACGATGAGAACTGAGCAGTTAATCTCAAGACTTTGTCAGTTGAAAACTAATTAAGAATTTTCGATTATTTTGTCCGTCATTACTGTTACAAATAGTGAGTAGATTAATTCATTATGTAACTCAACATATGTACTAGATTTTACTTGAGATTTAATTTTCATGAATTTGACAGATTAAAGATAACAAAGATACAAAATATTTATTTAATAAATCAAATCTTTATTGATTTACTGATTTTTCTGATAAATAAAAGTATTCCATCAAAGTTTTCTAAACATTGACAGGAAAAAAGAGGTCCAGTTGACCTGTTGAAACCTTTCTCTCATTAATGATTCTGTTTTCAAAATTTCATCTTATTTTCAGGGAAGCCTTTGAGACATTCTATTTTTCAGAGATTTACCCTTCTTGAAAGATAAATATCTTTATCAAAAACCCCAATGAAAGAAACTCTCAAACATTATTTTTAGACTGTTCATTTGAATAAACCACTTAGGATTTAAGAAAAAGAATTACTAAATCTTTTATTTATATCACAATCATAAATAAAGGAAAATAAAAATACAAATTATAGAAATTGAATCTGATAGCTTAAAAGCTAGTCATAGAGCTGTATGCAATGAACAAGATTCTTATAGATTTTTAAACTAGAACATTAAAAATAGTTTAAATAAAAATGTTCTATTTTTCACAAAAAACAATTCTTATGATAACTATCCTCTTTATTATCTTCTTTATTTTCTTTAACTTAGATATTATAAATTAAAAAATAAATTTAGGCACAAAATAATTAATGAAGGTTTTTGTCTACTTCTTTTCTCAAAAAATTACATTAAACTTATACAGTTGGTCCATGAATTGAAATTAAAACAAAAATCCAAAATAAACGCTTACGTCAAGGGAGAGTCTCATGCAATTATATGATTCTGTAAAGATAAGAGGTCAACTTTGAGGCTAACAAGGGACACTATTTAAAATGTAAATAGTTGATTGGTCTGTTAGCATTATCGTTCTCATAGTATGGCAACGTCTACATCTTTGCCAAGGGAACATGTCTCCCGACAGCCGTCGCATGAGCTCTAACCTAGCATGGTTAAATAGAAAGCTAATTTAATTAGACCGCTGGTATCAAGAGTAAGCGTATAAGGGCGCAAGGTCTTTCGTCAGCTTTGCCTGGAAATTAGCTAATTAAATGATTTGATTACGGAAATGTACGAATTATCGTCTAACTAATGACAAAGTGGATTAATTTACGGAATTTCAACGATTTGATTTGCTGATAAAAATCCTCTTCATTATAATTCAGCTCACGTTGACAAGGAATACAACATTCGCCAAAAATAAATGGAAGAATTTCCTATTCTATTGAACTCTAACTACTACGTTTATATCTCGCTTATTTTTTCATCAATTATTTTTTTATTTTTTTACAAACTGGTTTTTTTAGCCTTCAACTTTTGACGATCTTCAAAAACCTCAAAGTTTTGTATGTATCACCATAAAATTTAACTTCTTAAACAGCGTTGGAAGACTAAAAGTTTGATCTTTCAGGTGAGATCATTTTTAATGATAAAAAGATAAATAAAAAATCAGCATAGTCTTTTTGAACTTTGGCCTAAGATTGATATTACTCTCGAACAACATCGTTCATAAAAAAACCAAGTTAACAAGTAAAATAAGTAAAAGTTTCAAGAATAATTTTAGTAAAGATTGTATAAGGAAAAAAAGATAAAAAATCGATCGAACCTCGCACTGTTCGCAAGCGACTGTGGCCTCTCTTGGTTCACCCTCACACATTTGACACAATAGCCTGACATTTCTTGCTTCCTGATACTTTTCCACAATTCTCTGCATAGCTCGATATTTTGGCAAATTATGGGCGCCGCCCTCATCAAAAAATACGGTTTTATGGCAAACAGGGCATGATAAACAAAGGGTTCCACCAGACGGTGGAAAGCAACCACCATTTCCTGGTGTGCCAACATAACTTCCGGGTCTTGAAGAAGTTGAAGTACTGCTGCATACAACTCCAGAGTCAGTTTCTGAGAGAATGGAGAGTTTGTCGGCTTCCTGGTCAGATCCTGGTGCATTGGAGCCGTCGGTTGTTGATTCCGGAGGTGAATCCGGTGGTGCTTGAAGATTTACAGCACAAGATAAGCATAATGCATGCCAGCAAGGTAAAAGAACGGGATCACTAAAGAGCTCTTTGCAAGTTGGACACCGCAATTCGTCCTCCATGATCGAGTGCCTCTAGAGACTCTTGAGGATAATTTTTTAAGCTATAAAAAAGAGCCTGAAAGACTCTTATCCTTCACCAAGAGAGAGATATGAAAAATTTTCTCTTCCTGCTTTTTATTTTTGCCCTTTTATTATTTTAGGCTCGTGGGAAGAGTCTGCAGATTCTTATGATTCTCCTCAAGTTTATGTTACTCTCGGCCTGATTACGTTACTCGTGTGTTATGGCCTTCGTGAAGACCGGTTCGATCCTGGTTGGGCGGAGCGTGAAAGGAATAAAGTGCACGACCGGTACAGCATCAGAATACTCTAAAACTCCACGTTTTTCTTAGATCAATCTTAGTCTTATCCTGTCAACACGTTTCTTCCCGCTCTTGATATATTTTCTTTCACTTACACCAAAATCATTTATTTTCACTCATAAATCGTCATTCTCTGGCTCCAATAATGTGATGTATTATTTTTCTTCGTCAATTTTTTATATATACCTTTCAAAGAGATTAGTTAACAGTAATTAAATTTTTTTTGAGTGACTACACAATTAATGTCACTAAAGAGGAGAATGATTTACATTGTTAATGAATTTATTTTTTTTATTTTACCGATTAAAAACTATTCAAAAACACTCACACTTGACACACTAATTATTTAAAACACACGTTCACACAACGCTTCTCGCTTACGACCGTTAAGATCGACGCTCTACCACCGTACTACTGCCGTGAACGTCACTGAGTTGACTGACTCTCAGTACAGAGTCAAAGAACTGCCGCGCAACACCGCTACGCACCACATCTCAGGGATGCTTCGAGAGCTATGAACATGTTCATTGGGGGCAAAGATATAATCGAGCATGCGTTTGAGTTTTTCTTTATGCAATTTTGTTGCATTTTTCCATTTACCAAGAATTATAATATTATTTTACGATCCAATTTATTCATCACTAAACGATACAAAAATACTAAAAAAAATAGTATTTTTGTTGAAAAAAAAAAGTGAAATAAGGAGTAACCACAAACGTGAATTATAATAAATTGCGTGAATAAAATTTATAATATGATTTTCTAAGTTATGTAACTTAATTAAAGACACTTTGTGACTTGTTGTTAACGAACATATTAAATGATGTAACTGAATAAATAAGTAAACTAATCTCGATGAGTAATAGGTATAATATGTAACTCAATCCTCAGAAGTAGTTAAAGAAAACAACTTGGAATATTGAAAAAGAGTTATTTCAATGTTTTTTAAAAACTCTAAGAATATTGCAAAATTTTTTACTCTTTCATTTATTAAAACAAGTAGAACTTTTCCATAAATATTTTATCAAAACATTCTATTTTTATTTCAACTAAAAAACAAAATAATAGCAAAAATGTCAGGGTACAACAATGCCTATGACGTTCCTGAAGTTCTTCAACTATCTTCGTCTCTAAGGCGCTGTTTAAAAGAAAAACATAACAGAGAAAGAGGGAGAAAAGATGGTATAGGTGCAACAAGAGATGCAACGAAAATTAAGTGGGGGAAGAAAAAAGGAGCGATTCTGATGGATGAAGAGTTACACGGGGTCAGGACTGAATAAGGAGGGGAAAGAAGTACATAGATCTTTGCACAACATGTAGCATGTATAATATTATATACATATACATAACACTCTCTACATAGTAAATGTCCAGGTGCATTGTGGCTTTCGTGATGCAGCCGCTTGAATCCTGATGATCCTTATTAAAGAACCCCATGGATATCCACGTTCAATTGAACTGTCTGGTTTGATGATCTAGACCCTGTAGCCAGCTGATATTATTTTGATACTCATATATTGTATGTTCTTGTTAGTTTAGGATTATCCTTGTACCAAACATAAATGAAAATAAACAAAATCCACATTGGAGTACATAATGAATATCAATTTAATGAAGTTTAATATTTTATTCATACAGTAATTATTCCCAATGTTAATAATTTTGGTTAAAACAAATGACCAAACCAAAAACTACATTAATAGTATTCGCATTTATTTTTTTTTTTTCACACAAGAGATACATTTTGCAATAAATAGCTTGGATAAAATGAATTATTTTTTATATAAAAGGTATTATATTTCATGTGTGTACACCATCAAAAAATAATTTCAACTAAATATTAAAAATTAAAAATATTTCCCTCTGTAAAAGCTTTTCAATTATTACAATAATCTTTTTTTGTGTTTTCTTTTTGTGCAATAAAGTTGATGGATTCATATTCTGCCATGAGATAATAATATTTCCAGCAGGTATTATTGATAATTTATTCAATTATTTGAAGCTTTGAAGAGTAATTAACATTTGATATTCCACTGACACTTTGGAAAACACGTGAGCTGATTTGCAGAAAGAAGTTTCAATTAAATATACATATTTTCTCTATAGTTGTGCGGAGAGAGGATTTTTTGGAGTAAAATTTGCATTCTTAATGAGGAGGCAAAACCACAATTCTCAATTATTCGAGACTCTGAAGGGGTTGAAATTCTCTCTACATACCGACTATTGATGTCTATGTTATACCCAACTTATATTAGAAACTCAAAATTAATAAATGATAAATTCATGAATACTGGACGAATAAACTCTTTCTCTTTCTCTCTCTCTCTGCACTACATATATGTTTTTCACTCCATAATACAAGATATTTCATTAATCCGTTCTTTCATACTTTCGCTTATCATCGTTTTCAATATAAAAAAACATCAAAAGATCTCTGAATTTTCTACAAACTAATTTTTTTTAATACAGTTTTTAAACCCTTAGGCGGTCAATTAAAAAATTCAATTTCTACCAAGTCTATTTTTTTTATTTTATTATTTTACCAGGAGATATTTTTAATTTCCTTTCTTCATGTATTTGCTTTTATCTCATGTACACACAAGAGATGTCATACAAATGAAATTAAATAACAGAATTTTATTAAGTTCAAAGCAAGTGGTGCAATATTAAGAAGTATATTTATCAGTAGAGAAATGAATACTGGTGAAATGAGTAGAGAAACTGAAACTTTGTGGCGCCACTATCTAACTACAGAATGTAACAACTTTATCAACGTAGCAACCTTCATCAGCATCATGTAACTTCAAGCATCTAAACATCTCAAAATTACGCATTTTGTGAAAAAACATTAAAAATTCTAACACCAGTACACGCCTAACCTACCTTTTTAATCGATTAGTTATTTTTTTAAAGGTTTTAACGCAAAAATTAAAAAATACTCGAGAGTATTGAAAATTAATATACCAAAATTAAAAAATATTATAAATAGTGAAAACAATTAAATGAGAAAAGTATAATAATTGATTAGTGGCGATAAACATATAGTTATATAAAATTACTTTTTTTCTGTGAGTATTTATTTGGATATTAATGAAACGTAAATGTATGCAATCTGACGTCAAAGAAACGTGTTTATAGAATACATAAAAGATCCTTCGCTAAGACTGATAATAAAGCCATAATTTTCAAGGTATTATTATTTTTAAAAAATATAAAGTGTAATATTCATACAGATGTTGCAAGAGAAATATCGATAAGCGGATTATTTTCTTATACTGTCGTATGATAAATTGAAATTTCCAATCCTATTTAACAGCACGTAAATTTCATACTGATAAAAAATAAAATCCCTACTACGTAGAGAACAAATTTAGAAAATTAATAAAAAAGTAATTAAGATCACCAATTAAATATTACTGCTCTGAACTTGTCATATTCTAATCCAAAAACATTTGACATTGATATGAAATGATTATCAATATTCATAATATGCTATCAACACATTGTGGAATTATTAATCAAATAAATAATTATTTTCAGTTACCATGTCTTCAATAATAATGAAATACATGAACAAATCTGTTGGTCGACATTTGGGAATAGCTCATCGACAATTACTTACATCAAGGTTATTTAAATTATTAATTAATATGAATTTCAATGTCAAATTTTTATTTGTCTATGTATTTAAAAGTCTTAATTATTTAATTTATTGACTTTTATATTCAGTGCAGATTCAAACAATACATACGATTTGGTGATTGTTGGGGGTGGTATTGTTGGTTGTGCTACAGCTCGAGAAATGCTTGAAAGACACCCTGGAATGAAAATAGTAATTTTGGAGAAAGAAAATAGACTAGCAATGCACCAAACCGGCCACAATAGTGGAGTTGTTCATGCTGGGATTTATTATACTCCAGGAAGCATGAAGGTAAAGAAAAAACTACGTATTCTATTTTTATTCAAAATTATAAGTGAAAAAAATTCAAAAATGACTGTTTACATTTACAGGCAAAATTATGTGTAGAGGGAATGAAATTGTCATATGATTACCTAGCTAAATACAACATACCGTATAAAAAAGTAGGAAAGCTCATTGTAGCACAAAATGAAGAACAAGCAAAAAGAATAGATGACTTGTATCAAAGAGGATTGAAGAATAATGTTCCAGAACTTAAAATAGTGAAAAAGGATGAAATCAAGAAATTTGAACCTAAATGCAAAGCAAGTTGATTATTTAATTAAAGATAAGAGGATTAAATGAAATAAAAGATCAAGAACATTTTGTTAATTACAGGGAGAGAAAGCATTATGGTCACCATGGACTGGAATAGTTGATTGGGGAGATGTATGTCGACATTTTGCATCAGAATTTGAGAAACGTGGAGGAAAAATTATATTGAATTATGAAGTAACGGGTTTTAAAGAGACTAAGGAATCTAAAGGAACTCAAGAACTTGCACCTATATCCGTTATTTCTAAAAATCAAGTAAACGATAAAAATTAATTTGTTTTTCCAGAAAACTTTCAAACAATTTTAAAAAATAAAAATATACAGGAGATAACTAATAGTTTATAATTTACAGACTATCCAAACAAAATACGTCTTGACTTGTGCAGGACTACATTCAGATCGTTTGGCAGTAATGACTGGATGCGACGTGAATCCAAGAATCATCCCATTTCGTGGAGAATATCTTCTGCTGAATGAGAAAAAGAAGCACCTATGTACAACAAATATTTATCCAGTACCAGATCCAAGATTTCCTTTTCTAGGGGTTCATTTTACTCCAAGAATGAACGGAGATATTTGGCTAGGTCCCAATGCCGTATTGGCTCTCGCACGAGAAGGATATAGGTTTTTATTCAAACTCATTCAACTTAAAACATCATTCTTATTTTCAAAAATAACATTCACATTATTACAACTGCATCCTCCTAACGACAGAATATAAGGATATCATTTGTAATCATTATATTTTAGATGGACTGATATAAACATTAAAGACTGTATAGAAATGGCCAAATTTCCAGGATTGTACAAACTTTGTTTCCGCTATATAGTACCTGGTTTTATGGAAATAACTAAATCCATATTTTATAGCTTAGCAGTACAAGATTTACAGAAATTTATTCCAGATGTTACTTCACAAGACATAAAAAGGTGCGTACATTCCATAATTTCATAGAAACTTCTTTTTTTGTTAAATAATCTCTAAGTGTATTGAGTTTAAATCAGTTATGTCAATCATTTAATTATGAACTTTATTGATTTTTTTAGAGGCCCAGCTGGAGTTCGAGCACAAGCAATGGACAATGACGGTAATCTCGTTGACGACTTTGTCTTTGACAATGGAAGTGGAAGTATTGGAAGTAGAGTGTTACACTGTAGAAATGCACCTTCTCCAGCTGCTACAAGTAGCATGGCTATTGCGAAGCATATATGCGACAAGCTCAAAACTGACTTTAAATTTTGACACAAATCTTCATATATATATATATATATATAAATATATATATATTGAAATCAATCTATATAGGTGCTAATTGTTTCGATTGATTATTGATAATTTATTGCCTCAATTATCATAAATATTAAATTCATAGGTAAATGTTAAATATTTTGGATATTTAAAATATTTTCTATAATCACAGACTTGTTAATTTGTTGTATACAGTAATATATACAAAATATTCTGCATAAATATTATGCATCATCATTTATACATATTATACATATTTTTACACATTTTCCATGCATTTTACGTTTTCAATTTCATTCATATCAGAATTTTTTACTGATGTTTTAATTTTTGATTTTGAAATTAATAGAAATTTCACTTCAATATTGTGATTATAGTCCTCTATATAACATGATTATCTTTCTTTCATAATATATTAGTGTACCAAAAATATATCTTCATGCATAAAAATCCGTGGTTAAAAGTACTTACATATATACATTGGTAATATTTAATTACTAAATAACTCTTATTCCTCGGAGGGATATTAAAATTTTTCTTCCTGCAAAATCCCACGCAGCAGTCAAATGAAATAACATATTTGTAAGCACTACCATATATTCCGAAAGAGCAAACAAGGAATAAACTGAAATAGATATTTTGGAATGAACAAAACTGTTTTTATAATCAACGAAGATGAAAAAAGTTTCGTACTCACAATAAAATTATTATTTATGAGGCAAACATCAAACTTACCAAGAGGCTCACAATATTTGTTATGTTTCCAAAAGAAGTAACAAGCACTAAGAATCGATATCACATTTAGTAGCATAGCTCTAGTTTTTATAGTATAAGCCTTTATCTCTGATGAGTCTTTCATTGTACTTCTACAATATTTTCCCATGTAACAAACGACAATCATGTGTATAAACGACGTAATCAAAAAAGTAATGAAAGACACCTTGTGTAAAGCTGGAATTACATAAATGATGTTTGTTATCTGATACTTAACTGGTACAGTATTAACCACAAACAAAGTAACTAAATTACCATAGTTTTCATTAGAAGTCCAAAAGCTGAGAGTGAACAAAGAAATATTTTCAATGGCATATGTAAAAAGAGCAAGATTTATCACACCTTGAGCCCATTTGTAAATAGTCTGATGATAATATTGATAATACATATAAAAAATAAATGATCTTATGATTGCTTGAAGAGCTATTGCCAGTTTCCAGACATTTTTTTGAGGCTCAAAATGCCCAATCGCAGCTGATATTGATGGAAGAACATTGTAAACCTAAAAATATAAAAATTTATCTAATGAAATTATCCAATTTTCACATAATAATAAAATAAGTAAATTATATAATTCTTCAATTGAGACTAATTACTATACGTACTTGGCAATGTGTCGACGTGGCTGCTTCAAAATTATACGTAATAGACCAAATGATGCAAAATAGGAAACCAAAAAATGGCAATCCAACAGTGAACCATGCCAATTTATTAAAAGGAATAACAATTCGATATTTTGAATGTTCTTCTCCAACTAGGGGAGTATATTCTGATCCATAACGTTGTTTAAATATATCCATTTTATTGATTTTATATCAAATTTTTTTTAAATACTTTGCTAGTTCAATTAAGTATTGAATGTTTTGTAACCTCAAAATATTCTAATCAAATGATTTCGTCAGTCTTTCATTGTTACAAAAGAGGTTATTGAACTATTTTTATGACATCTATTCGGTTGCTTTATAGGTTTCACGATAAATAATAAATAGACATACCAATTGCACGGAAGTGTGACATAAAATTGAATTAAACATGTGATCAATTTTGTGTAGATCATGATACCGACAACACGAACTTTGACATTTTTAATCAGTCACTATGTGTCCTTATCTGTTTCAATACAGAAATTAATTTTATGGACAGAAATATAATTTCTATCATACATTTACGTATAATTTGAATACATTTTAATTAATTTTTCACAGTGTAAACAACTTTGTCAAAGGAGTGTATTTTTTCAAAACATTTTAGCAGACATATTGGACGATCGACACGCCCTCGTGTAGAATTATCGAGCAACAAATGCGATTAGTTTGAATTCGATTTCCTTCAAAAAAAATTGATATGAACGTAATAATTAGTGCAATAAAGAATTACTCATCATGTTTTCATAAAATATAATTTAATTAAATATTCTTATCAGTTTAAGTTATAATATTTCATTGTTTAGAAATTTGAACACTAATAAAGTCTATTTTTCTTAGATACATTGAATAATCATATTATTCATTAAAGTTTTTGTCCTAAATAATACAATAACTTATTGTAATGTATTATATCTATCTAGAGAAGGATCAAAAAATCCAAAATTAATTTTCATTTTTATAAATCAATGAAATCAACATATTTTTTGATTTGTTTACCAACACATTAAGTAGTTGTAATCTACAAACGCTACTTAAAATTACCTAAACAATAGTAAAGAATAAAGATCAAGAATACTTCAATTAAATAAATAAATTAATGTTGCAACTGACTTGCAGGATCTGTTAATGGTACATAAGAAACATGCATTAATTTTTGCTTCGTAACAGTGCCATCAGAAAGTTTATCCACCTGAACAAGGTTTTGAAATCGTTGAAATCCTTCAACAGGTACGATCATACGTCCCCCTGGTTTCAATTGATTGATTAGCTATGAAAAAATAAAATTAAATTTTATAGTCGTTTTAATTAGTATGTTCAGTAACAAATATTATAACTCACTTCTTCAGGAATTGTTTCTGCAGCAGCTCCCACGTGAATAGCATCATAAGGTGCTTCAGCTGGATAACCGGCTCGGCCATCTGCCTCTAGTTGTATTTATTAATCACCTATTGTTAATTATTGATAGAAACAAATACTCTAAATTCACACCATTGCCGAATACAGTTTTTATATATTTCCTCACCTACAAATTTTAAACGACCTTCCTTAAGGAAATGTGGACAATCATCGCGTACATTTCTCGTCGATATTTCTATAAGTTCTGGAATATGTTCAACACCTATAACACGTCCTCGAGGCCCAACCATATACCCCATGCAGGCTGTTAGATAACCTGAGCCAGAACCAACATCTAATGCACGTGCACCACTTTTTAACTGATCAGTAAGGATAGAAAGCGCATAAGCATGCTAGAAATAAATATTTAAACATAAAAATTAGATTTACATAAATTATAAAAAAAGTCATAAGTGTGATAATTCGGTTATTATTAATTAATCAATTGTTTCTCAAGAGAATCTATTATTTTATATCTTGGAAAATTTCAGATTATTGATAAAAGTATTGATTTTATATAAGAATGGTAGCACAGTATGATAAACAATGACCCTGATAACTTCAATTCACGAATAAATCAATAAAAGGAATTTCTTACTTTTTATCATGATAATGATTTTTTCTGATTATTTTACATCGACATATATACGTATTATCAATTAATTGCAATTATGATAAAAGATATACATAAAATAATTAAAAGGTATTGATTTTTTTTTACTTTATCAATACTTATGAGTATTAAGTCATCAACTTGGAGTGACAGTGATTGCAGCGAATTTTGATGATTATTGCTTTGAAGTGTTTAACTATTTAAGTAGGATTTCACTGACACTTTTTTAAATTTATCATACAAAAAATGAAATAATTTTAGAAATAAAAATTAAATGCAAAACATAATGCATACCATATGAGGAGCACTGATTGTAACATTGTAGCCGATTTTTCGTGGACGATCTAAATAAGGATCTGACTCGTGACAATAACGGCCCCGATCAATGGCCATCATAGCAGCTTCTGCACTATCAGTAGTTAAAATTCCTGCAGCTAAATAATTAATTCCAGTTTAATTCTTCTTTTATCTTTCCTTGGATTTGATATTGAACTTCTAATTTACCTTTCAGTTTGCCTACCATCTCTTGATTAGTTGCGCCACCGCAATACCATGCCATATTTCAACAACTGTTATAAATCAATAGATCTCTGGAAAGGAAAAAATTATGCTGTGAATAAATGTAAATAATTAATTATTTAAAAAAATACAGTTTTTGAGTATATCCTAATGTTTAATTACATTTGAGATGAATAATCTTCAATTAAATAAGTGTGATTTATATTCTATTCTTGTACCGTTTTTATTCAAATAAATCACGTGGATATCTTTAAAACTATTTGTAAACATTACAATGGAAAATTGCGATTTGCTTAAGAAACTTTTATTTTTAATATTGTTTAAACGTGTATAAATGACGTTGATTGATAATAGAAAGTTTTATTTTATATTATTATATCTCATTGCCAGTAATCAACATTTTTATAATTTAAATATTTCTTATGATTTATATATTTTATGTTTAATGAGAATGGAAAAATGAAATATGAATGTCTTAATTTATTTTATATAATGACTTAAAAGGGGAATAATTTAATCATAAACATTTAATTATTTAAAAAATCATTTGCAAGAAATATTATGTCAAAAAAAGTGAGTTCATTGTTAGCAATAAGAAGAAAAAAATTTTGATAGTAGACGATAATTAAATATTAATTATCGTTATTCTTATGACTTCTATACATGTTGTAAATGATAAGAACGACATACGACCGCCTCCAGAGACGACGAATTGCGTATATATTGGTATATGGAAGATGACAAGTTATAAGTAACATCAGTAGTCGGGTTTCTGGTGAAGTCAAGGCCTGACTCTGGCATTAACCAGTTGCAATCGTGTTAACATTAATTTCTAAATATTTTCGCAAACAGTATTTTGGAATTATACAACTAAAAGCACACTAAATGATTATTAAATAAAAACACAGTTAGTTTAAATCACGTATTGAAAGTTTTTTTTTAATTTACTATGGAAGTAACTAAATCTTCACCTGTTGAACCTGGAAAGTGGCGTCAATTTTTAGCTGCAATTATTAGTAAGTTATAAAAAAATTAATCTAAGTGAATTATGCTTTTATCTATTAATCATGACGTACTTTATTAGTTATAATATTTTTCAATTGATTATCTTTATGCAAATAGGCTTTTTCAATAATTATAAACATTATGTTAATTTAAATTAACTTTGTCAATTATCCACAGCTAATATTTCAACATTTTCATATGGAATAATATTGGGATGGACATCTCCAGTGATACCATTATTACTCAGTCCAAATAATCCCGTCAGTAAAGAACCATTGACTGCTGAAGAAATATCCTGGTTAAACAGCATTTTATGCATCACAGGAATACCACTACTTCCATTATGTTCATTAATTGCTGAAAGATTTGGCCGAAAACTAATTGGATATTTTATAGCCATTCCATTTGTAGCTTCGTGGTTATTAACAATATTTGGATCCTGCTTCCAACATCTTATAATCGCTAGAATATTTGCTAGCATCGGAGGAGCATTCCTCTTTTTTTTGATTCCTTTATATGTTACTGAAATATCAGGAGATAGTATCAGGGGATTACTTGGAACATTTATGGTTTTTGGAATTAATATTGGAATATTTTTGGCATACACTCTAGGAGCTGTTTTATCTTATCAATTATTTGCAATTTGTGCTCTAATTTTTCCAATGATTTTCTTTGGATGTTTCATATTTTTGCCTGAGACTCCAACATATCTAGTCAGAAAAAATAGGATAACTGATGCCGTTAAGTAAGTTAAGTGGATGATCCACGAAGCTTTCATTACTAAATGTCATTATCCGTAATTTACGAATATCTTGACACAACTTCAAGATCATTTAATACTAAGTGAATAATTGTTTTGATCTGATTGCTGTTTAGGTCTTTAATGTGGCTCAAAAATGGAGACAAGTCAGCAGTAGATCAAGAATTATTGAGACTTCAGACTCTTGCTAAAGAAAGTTCCAATCCTAATACATCTGTGGGTATCTGTGATTTATTTAGAGACCGAGCAACAATAAAAGGATTTATTATTGCTAATGCACTCTTAAGTGGTCAACAAATGGCTGGTATCACAGCTATGGTGAGTAATTATTTATTATCTTAAATTATTCTTAAAGTACGTGTTTACTATATTAATACGTCAACAAAACTATATCATAATTACGTAAATAAAAAATACCACTTGATAAAAGAATATAAAAAAATTGATAACATCGTTGAAGTACAATGATTTTTATTTTTAGCTATTAACTTTTAACAGATATGTGAAAATACATAGACCATAATTTAACATTAAATGTAGTATTATCCTTGAAAATTAATGGTTACAGAAGTTATCTTCTCAAATAATTATTTCCTGATACAACTTTAAACTTTATATAACTCTAATTTATGAAATACTATTCAATTGTGTTTATGACAGTTTATTTACAATTTGTATGAAAATTGATTTTTGTAAATTCATAACATTATTCGGACTCTCTTGAACTTTTTTCCCATTTAAAATTTTTCATCAACTACTAATCTTTTTCAGTTGACTTACACAACACTGATTTTCGACATGGCTGGATCTTCTCTATCACCAAACACAGCAACAATCATTATCGGTGGAATTCAAATCTTTGGATCTTGGCTATCAACAATATTCATGGAAAGAGCTGGTAGAAGAATATTAATTCAAATTTCCTGTCTTGGAATGCTTCTCTGTCACTTTGCAATAGCTACTTTTCTTTTTCTTCAATCTTGGTCCATCGATGTATCTTCATTTCGTTGGATCCCGTTAGTGGCTCTTTCTGTTTATGTAATTACTTACAGTGCAGGAATGGGTCCAGCACCTTTTATTGTTGCATCTGAAGTCTTCAGTCCTGACATTGCAGCTTTTGCATGTTCGATTGCCATGAGTATCATGTTTGCAGTAGCTTTTGCGATAGTAAAATTTTTCCCTCTAGCTATTCAATTCATGGGAATGCATGGTTGTTTTTATCTTCTCTCAATGTTTTGCGGATGTACACTATTATTTACTTATTTCTTTGTTCCTGAGACTAAAGGAAGAAGTATTGAGTCTATAATTGATGAATTAAATGGATGTTCTGGTCGATTCAATGAAAATGATTACGTGAAAGCTTCCGTGGAAATTAACGAAAAAAATATCCATACTTCTTCAGTATGATAATGATGTAATATAAATTACTAGATTTATTTGAATATTTATGATTACAAATGTTGATTCATTACGTTATGAACTATAATCAATTCACCCTTAATTGTTACTTAAAGGAAAATTTGAACAAATTTTAATGAATAATTAATTCTATCTCATCAGTTGTAAATATATTTCACTCATAGATTTCTAGCGTTTTAGTAAGAAATTAGAGATATTTAGTATTCATTTTATTTTTCAATTTATTAAAAGATAAAAGACTGAAGTATTTTTTTATTACATCACTTTCACTCAAGACTTGAAATAATCGGAGATTCTTTTAAACTATAAACAAATAATAAAATAATAATGAAATTAATAAAAAGATAAAAATAACTCTTTGTAGATGTATAGTTGTTAATATTTTTTTTAGTAGATATATTTTATTTAATAATATCTGTATTAAAAAATGACAACAGCCTCATTTTTATATGATAACAATTTCATAAATTGAATTCTTTCAAGTCACAGAGCAAACGATAAAGAAGACAGTGATTTATAATTAAATAATTAAAACGTAATTTTTATTTACTTTTAATTGTAATAATTAAGTGATAAACAATGATAGTTAGAAGATAAGATAAAGTAAATAAATTATTTATCACCAAATTAATTGAAAATTGATAAAGTTGTAATAATTGTGCATAAAAAAAATGATTTTCTTGTATTTTTACCTGATGATCAATAAAAATTTCAGTCGCTGAAGTTCACGTGAGTCTTTGAGTTATTAAAAATAATAATATATCATAGATCCTTTGTTTCTCTTCCACTTTTCATGTCAATAACCTTATTTTATGATGAAAAATTGTCGATGTTGTAATTTTTGATTAGCTCGGTCACAAAGGCTATAATGATTTATAAATAAATTATCTTTTTCACTAATGAGTTATTTGTAGCAATGACTTAATTATTATTGAAATGAGCTGGTTTATTATTGAATGATGAAATTAAAGTTAACTTTGTTATGAGTATTTGATATTTGGGTTGAATTTTTTCTTGTGACAGGGTCATCATTGTAATACAATTGATCCAACCCGTTGCAAGCGCCACTAAAGAATCTCGGCGGTACTTCAAAACAGCTTCTTCTTCATCATTAATTTACTCTTTTCTATATACCGACTGTTGTCGATCGAAAGATCTTATTTGCAAAAAATACATGATAAATAGTCTAAAAAATATCTGTATTATCTAAAACTAATCACTAAACGGTTTTGAATTAGTGATAATAATAATTAGTTCTCGTTTCATTACTTTTATGTTCATTAATATTAATAATAATCAATGACTTTTTTCCGACATTGGAAACATGGGAGTCCAAAGCAATATGAGGTATGTGAGGGAAAATAAGGTACTCCAGAAAGTAATGAAATACAAAAAATAAAGAGATATCTTATACAAAAAAACTGCTATAAACTTTCTATTTTTTTCAACATAAATTTTTATTTTTAGTAACGGACTATTAGAAATTGTTGTAAAGAATACCAAAATAAACATAATTTTTTGCGTTCCCATATTTCTCTGGTTTCTTCTACTTCAAATTAAAATCAAAGATTACTAAAATTGAGATTTTTTTAGATTATTGAAATTCATTTATAAATAATGCATAATTAAAAATAGGTCTGAGCCCACTTTGTCTGTGCTAACACGACGAACTTCCCATTAGTAGTTGTTTATAACAAATTTAAATAATTATAATCAATGTTTGTTGAAGGCATCCAAATCCATGTGATAAATACATTACTTAATCAATAAATACAATTTTCAATTGTTTATAACAAATTCATATTGTTATAAACAATGCGTAAATGTTGAAAGTCATATTTGGTTGTGAACAATAATGTCTAGTTAGTATCGACTCAATTTGTAAATGAAATTGTTATTGTTTGGCTTAAAAGTATTTTAGATAGCCAACCTTTCATTTTTTTATTAGTTATTTCGTTATAAAAAAAAAAACGGCTAGACCGAATTTGTTCAAATTTCACTCAGATCTTCTTTATAATAATATCTTTCGAATTAATTTTGGTTGAAGTCGATATCTAAATCCGTTCTTGAGATATCGAAAACGAAAAAAATGCTGACATCCGTACATATATACACGCACATCATTTTAAAAATTGGTCAGTATGCTTGCAAATATCATGAAACGTGGAGATATGATGAAAATTTAAATTTCACCAATCGACCCAATTTCAATAACTTCCCAATAGGAAGTTAAAAATGTTCTTACAATAATTAATAAGAATGATCATTTGATTGATTAAAAATTCATCAATTTTCAAATAATTGAATTTCAATTGATCATTAGTTTTTAATAATTGATATTGATTTCATTGATAAATTGTCAAATATAAGTAAATCAATAATGACTCTCAAAATTGAATATAAAATACGGAAGTTTATTTACAACTTTAACAAATCAGTCGTCATCTAATCTCTTTCTCACACTTTTATTTCCGAATTTTCTTTTTTTAAACTTAGTCAAGGTCCCTTCGTCATCACTGTCTCCAGTAGAAACCCGAGTTATCGTCTTTTCTTTAAACGTTCTTTGAGGTACAGGCGGTTCCGATGTTTCCGGTTTTATCACTTGTATAACTTTTTTAGTCTGTGGTAACTGAAGATCTATTTTTTTCTGGGGCCTGAAAAAATGAAAAATCACGTTACATATATTTTGATAAACAAACTAAATAAATAACTCGAAAAAATAAATCTTACTTTATTTCTATAGTCTGCCAAGGGCCATAAGGGTCTATTTTATCCGGAACACTATAATCTTTTCGATATGGAATTTCTTTCTCTTCCTCTATTTCAACTTCGCCTTCTTTATTGCTAGATTGTTTTTGTTGTCTCAGTTGTTTAAATTTCTCTCTCTCGGCATTGGCTCTCTGTTCTTCAAGTATTTCAGCTTTTTCTTTAGCCTCTTCAGCTTCTATTTGTTCCAAAAATTGAGCTTGAATTGCTTGTTCCTTTGCCTCTTCTTCTTGCTCTGCCAACGTCATGAAACCTTCTTCAGGTGGCTCCCATGATGTTTCTAAATTTAAAAAAAAATGATACAATTTACTAAATAACACTTTTTTCTTTCACGTTCTAAAATTATATAAGCTGATTAAAAGCAAGTTATAATCAACTTACCATTTGTCTCAATATGCCAATAATACGTGTATCCCTCTGGACTTCGTGCTTCATACCATAGTTTCTGAATAGTTTTCTTGTTAAGACTATCATCCTCTTGAGATTTCTTTCCTTTACGCTTTTCTTTATTGGGTTTTCCTTTACCTTGAGTTCTGTTTTCGCCTTTATTACTTGATTCATGTACACTTCTTACTTGGTGAGGAACTCGAGCCCGATGAAACGTGGTAGGATCACAAAAGTCAACGTCAGCTGGGAGCTAAAAATCATCTCGTTATGTATTCTGAAGGCTCAAATGACAATAATCATAGTAATAACAATAAATATAAATGACTTACATTCTGACTACTTTTATGCCTTGGATTTGTTTCAATGGATGCTTCAGGCACTAGATTAGGATTAGGAGTCTTCTAAAAAAAAAAACAAAACAAATAATGGCGTGAATGATTGATATAATTACTGATTAGGTTAATTTCAATATAAATGGAATGTCAGATACTTACGTCAGGCAATTCCTTTTTGTTTTGTTTATTGCGCATAATTTGTTGTGCTGTCAAGTCGACAGTATTACCCTGGACATCCTTGAGATAAGCTGCCATGGCTGCCTGAATAAAAAATAGATTTTAGAAATAAGAATAATAATAATAATTATTATTATTTACTGCGATATTTTTATTTACATCTTCCATGCTCTTGAGATCATTTTCAAACTTTTTATTAATCTTCGCCTGTTTAGCACTGTTCTTATGTATCTCCTTCAGCCTCTTGCTAACATTCTCCTTGTGCTTTTTGCCACCTTCATGAAACTGAATGCTCGGTTTATTATCAGCAATCCAACATTTACAAAAGTCGCAGAATTTCCGTCCTTGAGACTTCCAATAGTCAGCCCTGTAAACAACCAACAATCTATAGAAAATGTGAAACTGAATCTATTATGTGCGTATATTACATGTACTTCCGTATTTTCCTGCTTTTATACCCTTTTAACCTGTACCGGAAATACCCTTTAATGTATTTCTATTTTTACTTTTAGTTCAGTTTATGTTATGCATAATTTAAACTTTTCCGTGTAAAATTTTAGAGTAAATAATTAATCAAACATCTCTTTCATATTTCATCTTTTGATGAAGATAAATTATTTTGCAAAATAGTTTATTGAGTTGACGACAAAATAAAAGTTTATTTATTAGAAATTATTTCTTGTCATACAAGAGATATTAACAATAATTATATAAAATTTATTTTTATTATTGAAAATGTTAAATTCAAAACTAATATTAATATTCGGGTTGAAACGTGAATAAGTATTATTTATTATTAAAAGCATAATATTGGTAAATTTATTATTAAATTCATCATAATCATATTAAATAGTTAAAAGGATATTATGTCTGATGAAATAGCATTCAATGTATGAGGTCAAATGTAAATTTTAATACATCGATCTGGCAAAATATTTCAAGAAATAATGGGTGACTATAGTAGTTTTTGAAAGTAATATATTGAATATTACATAAAATGTAGAATTACAAATAGAAGGATTTATGGTAGATCAACTGTATTACTTACAGTTGATGCAATTGAAATTTTTTTTTTTCGTACAGTGTGTGTAATTTTGTCAATGATAAATCGATTCGGCTATACTAGATTATTTATACCAGAGCATATTCAAGCAATAAGTTGTAACTAAAAATAAAATCATACAATTTTATTTGTTCAATGATAGTAGTTATTGTTGGACATATCACTCGTCATTGTACTCTGCGGTCACAAAAACATTTTTAGTTCTACTCTAAAGCTCGTATTTTATTATTACAATCATTGTTATTATTTAACTACTTAATTTTTAGTGCTACCCACAAGACTAAAGATGAATAGCAATGACCTTTTGCCACAAAGCAAAAGGATGTTATATTGTGAAATGTATTCACTATACATATATCATAAGGATCTCTCTTTCAACCAACTCTCTTCACTCTCATCTTTTTATTTCTGCATCGCTGCAACTCAAGCTGTGTGGCACGATGATAAAAGCATCGTTAGGATGAGTGAACATGCTGCGCGTGGCTGGCTATAGTCTGAACCAATCTACTCGCGCCGCTTGTCAACTTCTCTAACTACTGAAACGCGTAGTCTGTCGTTCTTACTGCTTGGCTCATTAATGTAAATTAGGCAACAGAATCTTTCACAATTTTTACAAAAAAATGTCTTTAAGTTTTCCCTTGACCTCTACATTTAGTATTTAAAGAAATTCTATTTTTTCAACTGTCACTGTTATATTTGATTAACATTGAGCTATATTTAATTAATTAAGTAATAGAGGCTATTTCAGTTCTATCGTGCAATCTAATTGTTAAGTTCATTTAATCGCTCCATATTGAATAAATTTGTTCATTTAAAAAAAAATGTTTCTAGGAACAAGATGGTTTATCTAATTACAGTTAAAGATAAAAAAGATTAATAATAATGATATTTATTTTGTAATATAGTTTTTAAATTATTTGGCATAAAAACAATTTATGAAAGAAAAAAAAATTGTTTGGTGTAAATAAAAAAACTGATAAAATTAATTAAATTATTGTATTTCTTGCGCAAGCAATAAATAATGTTGAAATATATAAATAGTCAATAATTTTATAGATGAATAATTAAAATCAATATTTCACTATTTTCGTTCATTTTTATGAAAACAAAAAAGTAGAGTTTTTAATCAATTCTAGTTCATTTTCATCTTTTGGTTTATTTAAACAAACTTTTCAAAATAATACTTGGTAGAATTAAAAAAAATATACTTTTTGGCATCAATTCAAAAACGTATTTCATAATTAAATGATTATTTTTCTAAAAACTATATTGTTAAAATGACTATTTCATTCTATTGTAAAAATAAAAAACTACAAAGTTACTTCAAAAAAATTGCAATTTTTTATTGGCTTTCAAATTTACGTTAGAAGTCCATTACAATGTTCAAAGTAAATTTGTTTCTGCTAAAAGCTTATTTATTTAACAATAATGATTAAAATAAATTTTTAACTTTCGTAAGTGTATTAAAGTAATGTTGAAACCACTCCAATAGCAACAGGTTTCAATCTCCGGCGATAAAAAATCAATAATTACAAAAGACTTGTTTTATTTTCGAACGCTGGTGAAGAGGATGAAATGGATTAGGATGAATGAAGAAAATATAGATATAGATAAATACTATAAAGATAATGCATTACTGGTAAATGTCTAGACGATTTAGTGCAGCCAGGCCCAGTTCATATTTATAGATGAATCGTTATAAATAGGTGACATTATTAATAGAGCACGATGTTTGGGTTATAATATCTGTAATTCGCGACAATCAAAGACAAACTTTATTTCAAAGCTGTTTATTTTTCTTCTCTCTGGTACTGCAGCTCAATAACATTGCATTGATTAACGCGACTTGTTTAGTTATCTGCAGTATAATTACCATTACTACTCGATATTGAATCACCACCACTAAGATGCTTTGAAGTTTTAGGAGATATAACACAAGTTTAATTCTGTACTGTTATGCAACAGTAATAGTGTTAGTAATAAGAAAAATTTATGTTATCTCAACAATCGTAAAATTGAAAAAAAGAAAACATTCCAATATTTTTATTTTTTTTTTATAATAATAGGGGAAAAAAAAATTAATTTAAATTTTTTCATAGAGAAAAGAAGAAATAAAAAGAATAATTTGAAGTAAAAATTATTTCATTAAAACTTGGTTATTTAATTTACTTTAAAAATGAAGATTTCTTAATTTCCTGTGAATATTTAACTGTTCTCTAGGAATTTTTTTCCCCTTGAATAAATGTCACTTGACTTGAAATTGATCTCTAAAAATTTATGATTATTTAAAATATTTCATAAAACCCATTAAACAGTTTAATAACCAATTATTATTTTAACTAGGATAAAGTAGTTTAAAATTTAATCTCAATCTTAATTATTCTGTAAAATGCAAACACTGTAAGATCGACAAGGCTAAGTACCATGGTTGGAAAGAAACATTCATTCAACTGAAATGCAAATAATGATGCTATCGAAACATAATCTAGGGTAATAATAAAGTGTCACTTAGACTTTAATTACAGTTATGGCTTTAATGGTTTTCCATCCTTCACAAAGACGATGAGGTAACATGAAATTCAAAGGACATAGAAGGATAAACGATTTCCCACCATGAAATTTATCAGAGTACTTGCATTCCTAGGAACCTCTCTTGCAAGCCTACAGTGGCTGAAATGTGGTATGGGTGCTCAAGTGCATTGGCTAAACTTAATTGAATCTCGTATTTGGAATTTATCGCTTAACACGACTCTGTCTAGATCGTTATGACGGCACTCTAATAAAACCTCAACAGTACACGTGCCCACGTTTTCTACAGCAGGTTCATTTAAAGTAAATATTTTATTCCTCTCTTATTCCATGTCATTTATCATCAACTATTTTATTCATTTATTTATATGGGTTTTTCTATTAATTTATATTGAGGTGAATTGAGTTGAAAAAAGATTATTTATTTATTTCTGTTTTTCTTTTATGGGCTGGGTCATACAGACGTGAATAAATACCGTGAGAAAATTACGAATGTAGTTGTAGATGAATCGTTGACATTCCTTCTATCTGCCACTTCATTTCCGTTTTCATCAATGTCCTATTACGATTCACTTTCAATTGGTCTGCACCATAATACAGAGCAGATACATCAGCAACTTAGCCCCATTTCATAAAGTCAATTGTACCAAAATCAACCCGTGAAATAGACTTTGATGATAACAGTGAGAGTCGATAGCTTTTTATATGAAGTATACATTTTCCTTGCCACGTAGTGACTTTTAGATGTTGAGAGGAAACTTTCCAAGTCACAAAAAACTTCAACACCTTGAAAGATGATAATAGTGCCATAAATATTTTTTATTTGACGCGAGACTTAAGATATATTGTAATAAGTATTTTTAATAGTTGCTTTTTGTATTTTGCCTTGAATATAGAAAATGATGAGAGAATTATCAACACTACAACACCGTTTTTAGTGCTATTTACTTTTATTTTGTTATCGTTGGGATAAAAACTTGAGTAATAAACTTTTTGGTGAAAGCAAAATCTTATATTTTATACGAGAAATAAAAAAAATGCTTCTCCGGAAATTTTATGATGGAAAATTTATGAGAAGACACTGAACAACGTATTTTAATAAAAACTTTATAGTATAAAAAAAGAGCTACTTTTTCAAAATAAATGGTGGCATAAAGTTAAAATTATAATTTCATAATAATTTTTCATTTTCACTATAGTTAATGAAATGTTTCTAAACAGACATTCAATATTTTAAGAAGTATACAATATTTATAAACTTCTTTATGAGTAATTTTCATGTTGATACAAAGTTGACATCAAATACTTGATGAAGTTTATGAGATTATATAAGAGAGCAAAGAAACATTAGTAGAGTAGAAAATAGTATCGATCTAAAGCAAATTTCATCTGTCAGCAAAAAGATTACAAGAAAACTTTCAAATGAAGTCATTTTCGACTTCAAACTTGAAATATCTCCTTTAAATTGATGGAAAATTTCCGTTAGTTGTCGACGCAAACAAGAGTAAAGCCAAACCCATAATGTTATGTTTTGATTTCATGTGCATAAATTTGTATTCATGTTTAGCAAGTAGTAATTTCATAAATTAAATTATTTGAGGTAATATTTGGAAAACCATTTAATTTTTTGATTCAACATTTATGATTATGATGGTTAAAAAAAAGCTGTAAGAATTTCTATGAACAGCTTGAGTAAAGCTACGCAGACAGAATGATCCCTCAATTTTTTTTCTATTTTTGATGGCTTAGAACATTAAAGAAAAAAATCTCATCAATTCTGAGCTTAATGTGGTTTTAAGGGAGACTTTATTTTCAAAAAAAGAAAATGACTTCTAGATTTTCGTCATCATTGTCATTTTGTAAATGTAAAAATGAATCATAAAAACCATCGAATTTTCTCTAGTGATTTTCAAAAAGAATCATTAGATAATAATTTTATTTTAGATACTAAGCTTCAAAAAGTTTCTTCCTAGTAGTTACACAATTTTTTCTCAATTACAATATATCAACTCAAAAGTAAATCTTGTTTCAAATTTTTGTAATAAAATAAAAATTCTTTAAAAAGACGTCTGAGAGAGGAATGAATACTCTCGAAATACTTTATTAGAATATCTTCAGAAAATTTGTAACTTCACATAAACTTTTGAATTTTTCAGAAGAAACAGTAAATTAGTTTTGTACATTTCTTGATTAATCCCTGATTAGTGATCCTTAATAAAGAATTGAAGTTTATTTCATCCAATTGAAAAAATTGCTGATTGTGTTTTTTATTTGATACACTTTTTAAAAATGGTACCCTAATTCAAATCGTAAAACATTTATAATTATACAATTGCACTAAAACTTACTTTAGCCCAGTTACCAAAACAATATCGAAATGATTTATAACTTATAAAATTTCAATTCTTTAAAAAATTATTATAATTTTTTAAAAGCATCAAAATATTTTTATCTATTTTTTAGAGATCTTTCAGTCTGAAGTCTTAATGTAATGAACTGATTAATTGTTGACGATATCTAATTTTCAAAAATTCATATCATTTTATCTGTAATCAGCAAACTGATTTAAGTTCAATGGATATTTAATTGATGTCTTGATTTACTCAATGCCAAATCAAAATTAGAAATTTGAATATAGACAGGAGTCGCGTGTCGCAGTGGGTCAGAAACTAATTAAAACTAATGTACGCGTCTTAGCGATTGATATACGACGGGAAACAAGAGTTACGGAAATAAACTTAGTTGGCCCTAAACCATGCAACTCATTTGCGAAACTGGACAGTTCGTTAAAAAGTACCAAAGGCGCTTTGTCAGTTTGAAATTTAGACCAAACATCTCAAGTAATGGGAAGAAATTTTTTCCAAGTAAAAAGACACTAAATGGACCATCAAAAAGTCATTATAATTTTATTTGTTTCTTGAAAGATGGCTTTTGGCATTGAATTATTAAACACCAAGTGATTTTACGATTTCAACCTCTAAACCAAAACACTTTAATAACAATCTCTGGAGATTCAAAGAAATGAAAAAGAACACCAACCGAGAATAGAACCTTAACTGTAGACATTACTTAAGTCACGATAGTTTCGGGATATCAAACAAGCACTGAGTGCGGACCATTACAAGATGGGCTTTTAAAACATGCTACATAATGTAGCTTGGGACATTAAAAAATTGGTATTTTGTCATGCATGAAAATGAATTGATCCTGTAGTTATAGACCCCATTTTCTCTTCGAAACTGCATCAAGCAATGCATAGTATATTAAATCTGTGATAAATTGATTAATGATCACAACCGTGAAACTGAAACAAGCTTTACGAATTTCATAACTTGATAATCAATAATTTGTTCATTAAAAAATTACTATATTACGAGAAAAAAAAACAATTTCGTTCAACTATTTTCATTACATTTAGTACACTACTTCTTGAAAAGAATAGAGTGTATTTTTTTTTAATTTTCACGATGATAGAAGGGAAGCACTTTTTATTACGATGTTGTAAAGTGCATTAGCTTTTTGACTATTTTCTTGGTAAAAAAATTTATAAAAGAATTCACATTGAAATTCATTTTAAATAGAATAACTAAAATGCATTCATAAATTCATTGGATTCTCCATTATAGATTATAGTAATAATAATTTGATTGATAAAAATTGATTCTTTTAAAAAAAGCTTTTTTATAGTGATTCATGGAATTGATCATCAATGAGTAAAGTTCGGTTGGTAAATAAACAGTGTATGATTTTAAAGTATTAATTGATGAATTATTAATTTTTCAATTAATTTTATTTACTAAGATAGATAGTGATTTTTCTAAGTAAGTTTTAAATAAATCGAATCAATTTATAAATAACTGTCAATTATTTTATTCACCAATAAATCATTAATAACATTCAACATGTCTTCTATTCATTTTCTTACTTTTTATTATTCTTAAAAATAATAGGACTTTCATTTATACAAATACAATCAACAAAATTACAATTGACTAGACTTAACTATTAACTAGATTGGTCCTTCAGGGGGACTATTAGATACTCTGATACATTTAGAGAGTACAAAAGGGAAGGGATTGACATGATTAAACTCCTCGTACTCAACTTTGGCTTCAATGTCGGTGGGAACACTTAAAATAAACTTACAGCAATTAAAACAATTATGTATGATAATGGTAAACTGATTATTAACTAAAAATAGTCATAAACTAATAATCAATCATAACTTTAAAAAAAAATTTTATGAATTTCTCGAGTTGAAAAGTCCACAAAAATGTATTAAAATACTCATTCAAAACATCCGAAAGGGAGAAATAAAATAGATAAATTCAAAAAAAAAAATGAATTAGATTGAAAAAAGTTAATCGGACCAAAAGAAAATCGATTTAGTAAATCCCCTATGACCATAGCCAATATATTGCACTTTAAACTCGAGATTCTGCACGCGATTTCGACTTTTACATCAGGAATAAATCCTTAACTTTATCCGACTTTAGTTAAACTTGTCTTGGGCATTTTAGCCATCCTTAAAATACTTTTTACTTTGTTAAATCCCGCCGTTAACTCTTTTACTTAGCTATTGATATAATAATAAAGTTCCAAGATTTATTATACATTTAGTGCAAATATCACAGACGTACACTCGTAAGAGAATAGTTATATTTATAGGATGCATTTAATTTAACATAAAGTATATATAAGACTCCTAAAGAACAATTATAACTTTTTGAATATGAGTAAAATTAGTATGTTGAAAAGACCCATAGCCATTTATCAAAACTTTTCTCGCAACTATACTGAAACTAATACCTACATTTTTGTAGGCTTCTGGTCATTTATATTAATGTATAAAGTCAGCTAATATTACAAAAAAATCCTGAAAAGTTTATGATACCTTTTAAATAAATATAAGTTAACAATCACAAAGAGTCATGAAACAGCAGTGAAAACATATTGCTTTAGAACTTTTACTGAAAATTGTACTGCAAATAGGATTATATTTACTAATCCTTTTAAACGTGCTTTTAATACTTTTAAAGCCCTTATATATAACGTACCTATTGTCATCAATAAAAACGAATTTGTATTCTGTTGTCTTTCATAAAAACTGAGTGGAATTGATTGTTACCAAATTATTATCATCTTATTGATAATTTACTATTTGTAAAAATGATCATTTCATTGTAGTTTACTTCACTAAGAGAAAAGTAATTTATCATCCAGTTTAATTGATAAACTAAAATAAAAAAAATATGCTATATAAATGACAATATAAAAAATACTACAACTGCATCCGATAAAATTTCCATAAAAATTTATATTGCACGTCCATTGAATTTACATCAATTGTTTCTCTCTCTCATTCATTCGTCATCAATATTTTTTGATAGGTTTGCATTTGTTCTTCTCTAATTGACAATTTTCTATGTCGAATAATTCAAACAAAAGATTAATAATTAATAAAATAGCTTTATCCAAGATGTGTTTTATTTTGTTTGGTGAGCTCCAAGAGAACTGGATAATGGAGATCAGTGCAATATTCATGAGTTTGTTGTAGCAATTCTAAATGTCTAGACCACACTCGAGTATCGTAATGCTCAACTTGTCGTGTTAAAAATCCTCGTTTCATTGCAGCTTCGACAAATTTTTGGAATGTTGTTCCACGTCTTGGTGCCATCATTAATGCCACTCCATCATCTGCCAACCATCCGTAGATCGTTTCCACCAAATCGAGTCGAACATCGTCGAAAAATAGACAATCTGCGCTGAGGATTACATCGTATAAACCATCCGTCCTTCGAGATTCGTCACCACTATTCGGACTCCACGTCTAAACAAAGCAAGTGTTTAAATGGATTTTTGCTCGAAGTGAGCTTCACACATATGTAATCTAATAATCCAGTTTCTCAGTGGTAAGCTGTTTAAAATGTTTGATTTAATCTTTTGTCGAAATAGAAACAAAGCTGAGACTGATTCATCCTTTTATAAAAATTCTATATACATCTAAAACTTTGATAAAAAAATTCCGTTATAATTTTTTTTATTATGAAAGAATTTTTTTTTTATTTTTTACACAAAAAAAGGTAACAGTTTTTTTATTAAAAAAAAATTAACTAAAAAACTAAAAATAAAACAATTTTTAATTTACTATTTTTTTATAAATCGTACTGTTATAGTTTCATTAATTAAAACATTCTTTGAATTTCAAAAGTAACTAATTAATATCTAAAATTCTCTTAATAATGAAAACAAGAATTAAATTCCATGAAGAATAAGTTTTGGTAAAAATTCTTTCCAATTATCAAAAGACTTTGTAAAATATTAATTAATTACTTTAAAATTTGAAGAATCTACTTTTTCCATAAGCGTCAATAAACTTTATTCCGCATCAAACGTTGAAAATGTCAATAAATGGATTAAAGTTAATCTTATATTATGACAAAGTTGTTTTAAAAATGTAATAAAATTAAAGCATAAATTCAATACTTATAACAAAAATTTTATTACACTCATCGATTTTTTCCAACTGTTACCTTTTGAATGTCCAGAAAAGAATGGAATTTCCAATAAATAGACTTAGAGAAAAATAATAAAAGAATGTATGAAACGAAATATAAAAATTATACCTGCACTCGATTGCCATTGGCTGTTTGTCTAAGTGCAGCGGCTGCTCTTGCCCACTGCACCACTCCACATTTAACAAAATCCTCCATATTATTCCTGGCAACAATACACCTTACGTTGTCGACACTTGTAATATTACCGTCAGTAAGTGTGACACCAGCCGGTCCACAGTATTTGGCAACAAAAACACCAGCAAGACAGCTCATACCACCCCCCAACTCAAGGACGATTTTGTCTCGACATATTTGTGGATTATTTAATAAATAATAAGCTAAACATTCCTCCGATGGCCATACACACACATTTCCAGTGTTATTAAATCCAATAAGTTCATTAGCAGTAAATGTTTTGTTGATTTTTCTCACTTGAGCGGAGAAAATATCATTGTCACGAATACAAGAATATTCATACCAAGATGATTCAGGATCTAGTGGTGCATTTTCCAAAAGAGTTGGTTTAATTAATCCGAATGAGGTAAATCGGCGCATTGAAATTTCATCTTCTGTCCCAGTTGGTTCAGGAGAATGAGTCAATGCACGTGCTAACAGTCTCCATCTTCTTTGAGCCATCGACGTCTTCTTCGTTCCTTCCGGTCTTCTTGGAGTAACTCCTAGGGTCTTGAGACTCATTTTGTATTTTTCAAGTTTTTTTTTTTAACCACAAAAATGTAATTTACTTGAAATAACAAGTTAATATTATTTTTTATAACTTGTTTCAATGTATGTGAATGAGTTCACTTTCTGTCACTCGTATGATTTTTCTTTTGTTTATCCTTCTGTGGGCGCACCATTTTGCTTATTCGGCTGGACGATCAGAAAGACTTGACACTCTTATTTCTCTTGGCAAAGATGTGGTCGAGTATGAGAGAGGAAGAACAAGAATGAACGAAGGGACGGGGACAGACTAAAAGCACCAAGCCAAGTTCTAACTCACGCGCCACGCGGACCGACAGGCGTACGTTATTTCTGCGTTTGCGTGATGCGCCTACACAACTATATAAGCTTTACCATCTCTTGCGTCTATGTCATGTGCTAGTTTATTTGCTTTTAAACGTGAGGATGAGCTCGTGTCGTCAACCTTCATGACGACATTCCCATATCCTCTTTTTTATGAGGAACTCACCGAAACAAAAGACATTTTTTTTAAACATTAAAAAATTATTTTACTCCTGAAAAATGTTAACATTTTTCCAACGAAGAACCATCTTATTATTCAACATGATATTTTTAAAAAATCGTATTTTTATTTAATTAAACTTCTCAACATTAAAAAATAGTATATTTCACACCTAGGGAGGAAAAGTAGACTAGCTCAAACCACGTGTAAAATTACAACCCGAGCCGAAGGCGAGGGGGGTAAACACGTGGTTTAAGCTTGTCTAATTGTCCTCCTTAGGGCTGAATATAATTTTTCGTCATACCTGAGTGGAAAGTTCAACCCCTCTCCAATGGAAAAGTGAACTTTCCGCGCAGGCATGACGAAAAAAAATTTATTCCTTAAATATTTTACCTGACAAAGAAAATGAATTTGAACTATAAAGTATTTTTAATGACACCGAAACATGCTTTACAGTTTCTATCATTAATCGATTATTTCATCACAGTGATATTATATATAATGAATTATATTATTTTATATTACTTTTTTTTTATTACTTACATAAAATATTAGATTTTTTCTAAAATTTATAATAAAAACAATAATGTACGTTATTTTTTTAGTATTACTACAGAAATATCACATTTTTATAATAAATTGTTTTTAATTTAGGTATTCAAAATACAGAGTTTCCTTTATTCTTAATCTATTTTACTTAAGAAGAATATGGTTTAATTATTGATAATAAAGCTTTTTTATATTCAATACAATTCAATAAAACAAAGGAACCAGAGATTTTTTTTTTCAAATTATTATAAAATATCAAGATGGTTTTTTAGTTGTTCATGAAATAAAAATTAATTTCTCTAAACGATAAATCATGAAAAATGTCATCTGCAATCACAAGACTAACTGAAGTATACACTTTCAATGTACAGTATTATTGATTATAAGATCAATTTAAGTTGCAATGTTAACCGGAAGAGACTGAAACTGACATTCAGAAAATCAAGGTGTTACGTTTTTCCTTTTTTATCTCTTAAGTTTTTTTTCTCTGTTTATCAGCACTTCTTTGTCAAGCAAAAGATCAAGATGACAGACGATTAATGATGCCTACTATCATACTTATAGTAATAAAAAAAATGATTAAGTAATAAAAATTGATATGAAATGTTTATTAAATATTTCCTAAAAGGATTGACAGAAAAGAAAATTCAGTGAATAAAAATTCATATCATTAAATAATTTAAATTATGTAATTATTAAAAATATTTTTTCCAAAATATTTCTAATACTTATACAGCAAAATTATTTAATAAATGGTGATATATTAATTTGACACTAAATTGACACATCTTCTAAAGCTTTATATGAAATCTATTATAAAGTCTCACTGAATTTATAATAACAGTAAATATTCTATAACGAACATGATGCTAAAGTGCTTACTTGTCAAATTATCATAAATAAAAATAATATTTTTTGTATCTTCCGAATGAAATAAGCAACGTGAAGGAATGATAGTAAAATATTACTTATTGAAAAAGGTATAGAATCGAGGTATTCATCAAAGACAAGTTTTGATAGATGTGCTGTGAACTTTTGCGGAAAATACTATTCATAAAAATTACAACTTAAATTATTGAATTGACACTCATACAAATGTATATCTATTGAATATCTTTTTTACCTAGTCGAAATATTTTTTTTTCGTAAAGTAAAGCTAGATCGATTTTTATACCAGTTCAAAAAACTGGAAAATCATCTTGAAGATTGAAGAGTTTTTTTTATAATTTTGAGACAACTTTGATTTAGTGATGAATTATCATCCATTAATAAATGATGGCAGAATGAGAAGTTTATTTTCCCTAATTTTTTGAAATCTTAAGTGCACAGACTTTTTTTAACATCTCTTTAATTTAGAAACAGTAGAAAAAAAAACAATGTTTTTTTTCAATGTAAAAATTTACTGTTCATAAGAAATAGATAATTTTTTGAACCTACAGCCGTTTATTTTTTCTACAAATTAAACTAATGTTGAAATTCATTTTATTTCTGAAAAATACATTCCTCTTAATATTTTGAATAAATTCAAAAAATAGTTCTCAACAAAAATTCAAATTTTTATAAAAATGTTTCAATTTTCGTGAGTAATCTAAAAAGCTAAAATAGTAGCTCATTCGAAACAAAAAAATGATCTTCGCAGCCAATTATATTTTAGTAAACTAAACATCGCAGAAGTTGTAATATAACATATAGAATTGAGATTTATTTTGTTTTTATACCTGTTAAACATAAATAAAAGATTTATAAAAAAAAATTCGATAATTTTTTAAATATTTTGTCAATATTACACAATAACATTAGAAGATAAAATATATATTTTTAAAAGTTGTCAACAATAACAGTTTATAAATAAAATAAAACATTTTCTTATTGCGTCAAAACAAAAATTGGTGAATTTCAATTACACTCAACACTAGGAAAATTAATGCACTCTATAACTACTACAGTAGATCAAGCAAATATAAACTCTCTATTCACTAACTAAATATTCATCATTGTCAAACAATAATTTTCTTGATTACCAAGTCTTCAATGACTATTTTATATAAATGTTATTAAATTAATAATCAAGTGCACAATTGTTAATTAAAATAGCTAGTAACCAAGTAGCACAGACTTGCTAGAAAATAAATTATTTTCTCAGCAAAACTTGCAAAGAATCAATGTAGGAAGCCAAGAAAATTCATCAGAAAAAAAATAACTCAACACAATATCCTGTCTATTGTTGCTTTAATTTCAGTTGTCGTGTTGTATTGCGGACTTTCTGGCAGTAGCAGTTGGACGCAGTGCGTCTTCAATGGTTGAAGAGGGTAGCCAAACGTCTATCTGTCTATGCGTATATGATTGGAAGCATCATAGTCAAGGAAAAACTGTTTTAGCACTTAGCTAATGGCTTTTTCCCCGGGAATATTTTAAGTGTGTGGTACATATATTATACATCCGAATACTTCACTATTTGCCAATTATAATATCGCTCAGACGCCAAACAATTTCAATGCATTCATTGAAGACGACAAGCTCTCAAACAATAAAAATAATCAAAGGATATATAAAGGCTTTACAGTAATGAAACAATAGGACTGTAGATAATATTCGATAATTGAATCAGTAAGACATAAGCTTTTATGTAATTGGATATTTTTATTGGGTTACAACGTCTTTTTTTCCTATTGCCAGCACTCCATTTAATTTTCTTCAACTTTAATGAAGTTTTATCGTTCTTCTAATTGGTTACGTTGATGCAATGGATTTGTTCGCTTTCATTTTTAAAACAATTACACTATCCTAATATTTGCTTATTGCAGATCTAAATAAATTAAATTTTAATCAATGTTATTATTAAACATCAACAAATATTTTTTTATTATAATTTTTATTTTATATCTACTAGAAAATAAAATAATAAAACTAGTTGTAGATTTGTTGTAGATGCGTTGGAAGACATTTGTTTGCAATAACGAAAGTTGTGATTTCGATAGGTTTATTTGATACCATTTTCAAAACAATAGTATGATGGTTTTATTTACTGGTAATAATTTCAAGTGAATAGATTGAATGCTACAAATTTTTTTTATACAGTATTGGTATTCTATTGTACTTCAGAACAATGATTATCTGCGTAGAAATGATAAATTCATTGAATTCCACAGATTCATCAAGTGTAATCTCAATACAAATACAGGATTCAAATATTTACTGATCGTAATTCGGATTATCTACAGTAGCAGTGGAACTATTGACAAGTCAATATCTTCAAATATCATTTGAAACTCAATTTATATAAAAGTTCTTCAATTTTCATAATTGGAAATAATGGATTAAAAAGTTTACAGTTTTTTAGCTCTATTATTCGTTATTGTTAGACTTTTTCGAGATCCTACTTATAAGTTCATTCGAAGAAGTTCTAACAAATGTACAGAATTTTTTTATATTTAAATGAGAAGGTTATTTAAATAAACTGGAATCGAAAGAATGATATAGTGATCAAATGAAATGTAAAATATTTTTATAGCTTTTTATATTAGCATAGAAGTCTAAAAGGGAGAAATAATAAACAATAAATATGATAAATTCGAAGCAAACTGCATTGTCATAGCTCCAAAATGTCCGGATATTCTATATGATCATCAATAAATTATGTAAGAAAATTCTTCCAGCACATAACATAATGATATGTCACGTATTCGTCAGACGATAAAAAAAATTTATGATCTTTCATATACAATTGACTTGCTTTGGCTGGTACAGATATACTCGCTGTGTTTATATATGTCTGAGTCCATCTAATGTACATATATATAATGTACATATCTTACATACATACATAAAAGAAATAGCAAGTGGAGAATTTAAATCGAGATTTTCTTTATTTACTTCTGTGAACAGGCTAGATGGTTGATGCTCACTTGAATTGTAGAGAGTATCGATTTTATTGAGAATGAATCATGAGTGTACTTCCGAAATATTGTTTGAATATAAAAGCATACGTTATCTGCATACGTATTATAAATCTCAAGTTTTCAACATTGAGAAAATGAACAATTCCTTTTCAAAACTACAACGACTTTCAATTTAATTTTGTTTGTAGGACTTTTAAAAAATACTTTCTTCTCATAATATTTATTGTACATTTTTTTTTCATTTTGAAATGTGAATATAATCCACATAGTTGGTTCGGAAAACATGATCGCAATATGTGAAATTGAGAACAAACTTTATCATCACATGCTGTGAAAAAAGTTAAACACTGTGAACTTGAAAGAAAACCTACACGTCCAACACATAATTGCATTTTTCTTCATCGACCCATGCAATAGAAGAATTTTTGTGAAATATAATAATGAAATAATAACTAAAAATAGTATTATTTGAAATCTTTCTAGGTTCTAGGAATGTGAAAATTGAAAATCATTTATATTGAGTGAAAAAAGTTCAATTCTTACGGTATCCAGAAAGCGATAAATAATATCACTTTTAGCACAATACCATTCTAAGCTCAATTCTCTAATTGTTATATTTCTAATAAAATTGACACAGTTTTTCTGACTTCATTCTAATATATTCATTATATAATTAGATTAATATTATTTTCAGGTTAATTGCAGAGCAAAAATATTATTATTATTATAACTATAATTGGATTATTAATATAATCGATAAAGAATATAAATAAATCAAAAGAAGTTACTTACATTTTTTTGAGTAATGTAAAAATTATGTCGATTGAAAGTAATCAAAAAATACTTTCAATTTATCGTTGGCATAAATGATAACACTTAAACACAATAAAAAACTCCAAAATGTTTATGTTACATATAAGATTATGATATCAGTACAGTCGTAATTTTATAGAATTATTTTTATCCAAATTAATCATACTCATGGATGGTGGATAATGATCTATAATGGATTAATTGAATAATTAAACATTGTATAATTGTATTATTTTTTTTAGAAATTCACAATTCCGTTAACATAAACAGAACATTGCATGCATCACTCGCAATCAGCTGATAGTTTTTCCCCCAACAAAAATACCATGTGTCGCTCTCTAGATTAACATTGAAAAACTAATTTATTAGACCATTTATTAGAAGTGTATTGAAAACGATTATTCAGGAATCTACAGTAATAAACTGAAACAACGAGTGAAAAATATTCTAGACTGTTTAGAAATTGTTATTTATATGCATACAACTTGGAGTTTTTTAATTGCAATTTCGATATTTCAAATGGCGTTTGGACGATATAATGCAAAAACTAACAAGGAGCTTGTCCAATATCTTAAACGTAAATATTTATATTTCATTACACTTGTATTTCAACTGAGCTATTTTTGAAATTTTTATATTATCTAACAAGATATTATTTTCAAGAACATTTAAATGAAAAGATATTTTTTGTTTTTATTCTTGTCAAATATGTTTCGTAGTCATTATTGAAAAAATGATATTACTTTCATTATTTTAGGATCAAAAATCGTCAAATCCGATCGAGTTTTCGAAGCAATGTGTGCTGTAGATCGTGGACATTACACTACTTCTGGTAACCCATATGTAGATGCTCCTCAAGGAATCGGTTATGGAGTAACTATAAGTGCTCCTCACATGGTATTGAATTTTCTATTTTATTTTCGAATTATTCTATTTTTGAATTTGCATACAATCAATTCTTACCTCCTACGTTGACTATTTCTTATTGAATAACATGATAAACATCATTCGTTTGATAACGTTTGAGAAAGGTTTAACACGATAGAACGTAAGTATTTGTTTAGCACGCCTACGCTTTAGAGCTACTCGAGGACAAGCTCAAACCTGGAAATAAAGCCTTGGATGTTGGATCAGGATCAGGATATTTAACAGCTTGCATGGGAGTTATGTTGGGAGATAGTGGAGTAGCAGTTGGGATTGATCATATTCAGCAACTTCAAGCTTTAGCAACAAAAAATATTAAAGCAGATAAGCCTGAATTACTTGAAAGTGGTCGAGTAGAGCTAGTTGGTGAGTTTAAGATAATATTTACAGTATAATCACATTTCATTTTAAAAAGATGTATTAATAATAGTGGGCGTTTATGGTAAATTTATAGTTGGAGATGGAAGAAAAGGTTATCCACCACATGCACCTTATGATGCTATTCATGTTGGAGCAGCAGCTAATGGTACCCCTCATGCAGTAAGTTGACTCAATTTTTCAAAATATTTCCGTTAAGAAACAAGTTGAATTGTTACCATTTTTTTTTTTAGTTAATTGATCAACTTGCACCTGGAGGACGACTCATAGTACCAATCGGAGCAGAAAACTCAGATCAAACTCTGGTTCAGTTTGATAAGTCTACTGATGGAGAAATAAAACGACGTTCCTTGATGGGAGTAATTTTTGTTCCTTTGACCGATAAAGAACGACAGTATCGATCATGAAACAAGTGCTCAATCCAATGATTGCTCTTTGTACGAATTCATTTTATAGCAGTATGTATTTTATGCTCAAAAACCATACAAATTATTCATTTTTTCTTAGTATTATTGGATTGTTTCCATGACGATACTGTTTGAAAAGAAAAACTTCTTTTAGATCTCGTATCAAACTAATTTATCATGTATTTGTTTTTTGAAATTTAAAAAATTTCGGGGTTTAAAATTGGTAAATAACTATTCAACTACCAAAAAATTTCGTTTTTCAATGGAGAGTAAATTTTCGAATACATTTTTACATGAAAATGTAAATTGATAATTAAAACTATACACATTGTAAATTATAAGTTAACTTTATATTAAATTCCTAAGAATTATTATTAAATAAAAATTATACAAATTTTCAATATAATTTTTAAATTATGCGTAATTTGTTTTCAGAACACCCTATTAACATTCGTATTTCATTTTTTGTCATGTATACTCATATGTTGATCCAGACTAGATGTGTATTTAAACAATTATTCTTTCTTCAATTATTTATCAAAGCTTTTTACATGTGTGCTTTGATACAAAAAAATTATATATAAAAAATAATTTTTATTTTAAAGCAATTAATTTTCAAAAATTCCAGTAATTATCTTCTTATTAAATTAATATTATACTGATTGATTTAATTGATATGATAAATTCATTGGTTGTTGGAATGCTAACAATTAAATTTTTATGAAATGAATGAAAAATGAGATTTGTATGATGATTCGCTAATTACTTACTCTCAGTCGAATTACAGATCAAACAATTATTTTTTTGCACATTTAGCTAAATTTTTCTTTTTTCTTTGAGAAAAAAGAAAAATATATTCAAATTATAAGACTTTTACTAAAATGAGACTTAATGCCGATCCAGCCGTAAGTCCTAATCCAAGAAAAGCACCCATCATTATCGAAGCAATTTCTTTATCTTGTGGCTCAACAATACTGAGAAAATATTATTAGTTAATAGTAAACACAACATTCAATAAATAATAAAAAAAAGAATTGGTAGTTTGAATTGACGGTTACTTACGTTGGAGCTAATATAAAACATATATTACATAAATATCCATTCCCAATAGCAAATAATACAGTCAACAATATGTAATAAACATCACTTTCAATATAAACTTGTAAATGATGGCGTGGTTGAGCATTGCAAAACAGAAAAGCAGGAATGAATAATCCTCTCAACAGACTCAAAATCACTACAAGATATGGCTTTTTTTTTGGCTAAAAAAATTATTGCATATTTATAGAAGTATATTTTCTCGATTCTCCTCTAATTTATAATTATAATAGAAGTCATTTATATTTTATCTTATTTAAATAAACTAAGATCTCATTACTTACCCACAAAAAAATACCAGACAGAAGTCTTCCAATATAATCTCCACAGCTGAATGTGAGATAAGTCACAACTGGTACAAAGTAAATATCATTCCATGCATATCCTTTGCCTTTATCTTGGCTTTCTACTAATACTGTAATTGCCGGATAAACGGCTATAGAGACAAAAAATACAAGAAACATCGACAATCCATAAGGCCAAACACGTTTTAATATTCTTGTGTATGATACTCTATGTCTATCAACAAAACTAACTTCTGCATTAACAGAAAAATTTGGTTCTTGATATGATTTTTCAACCATATGATGCTTAAAAAATTCCTGAAAATTAAAATAATTACAGTTAAGTAGATTATTTCACATTTAATCGCTTGTTTTTACTCTGTTATCCAATGAATAATATATTCTAGCTAATTTACATAGATTACAAATGAAAATGAAACGTCATATTAATTGGTATGATAAGGCTCTTTACTGAGAATTGACGTAAATCTTGAATCACTTATATTTTTTATAAACGAATTAATAAATTAATTTCGTATTATATCTATACTATTATAGAACATTTTAGAACGAATTACCTCTTTTTCCAGAAAAATGTACGCAATTAGCGAAAAGAAAAGTACCACATCACCGATAATAAAAAAAATTAATCCAGAAATGACAGGACTTGCACCAATCCAAAGTGCAACAATTTCAGTTAGGGCAGTGAATATTCCACCTAAAGCTTGACCTCCTGACATGGCAGTGATGTACTTGGAGGAAAATCGTCCAACAATTCCCATTAAACTTCCACCAAAAATTGCACTTAATGCTACAAAGAGTTAATATATTATTGTATAGTAAATAATTAATAAATACAATATCGAATAGATGAACTAAAAATTCATGTACCATTCACGAATGCAACTGATGTGAGAGTTAAAATCAAGAAAACATGCTGGCCTGTAAAATTCAATTTTTATAATAAAATAGACAAATATTATTAATCGTTAAATAGTATATAATTCATCTATTTTCTCATTCTAGACTTACACTCATCTGTGTTTATCTTTACAAATGCGGTAGTAATGATAAACATAATCAGAATCAACAGTTGCGAGCCAATCATTCTCACTTTTTGAGATATTCTGAAATGAAAACATTGTTATTCTAATTGCAGATATGATCAATAAAATATCTATTTTTTGACTGATAAATAAAGATGAAAATAACAAAAAAAAACTACCTTTTACTTAAGAAGGTATTGAGTATTAGAAAAAATGTGTTTGGAATTGCACTAGCTACATTTAAATACGATGTAAAACTCGCTTGTAAATCTGTTCTCTTTTCTAAAATTTCAGTGTGCGTATAATTGTTAGTTCCTGTATTATTAGGATGGATTTCTCGAAATTTGTACATCCAATAATCATCGGCAGTGATGAAAAAACTCCATGGTATCAAAGTGTTTATTCCAAGTAAATAAAATACGATATATGCAAGATTGTACCTAGAAAAATACGTTTTAATCACTCTGTAAGACTAGATAATTTATTGTATCTATAATTGACATGATTGAACACTATTCCTATGGGTTTAAAAAAGGAAAAAAATTAGCATAACAATATAATCAATTGTATGATGATTAATGAAAGAACCCTCTATACAGAAGATCTGAACATTTAATTACCTGTCTCTCGGTAAAGGTTTAAAAAATGGCTTTTGATCAGGCACAGAAACACTGGCATCATCGACTTCTGTTTCAAATTCATCATCAAATTCACTATCACTAGTTGAATTAGCTAACAAAGGTTTTCGATTGATTGAATAAGCCATTTTCTGCAATATAAATACATTGTCCATACAATTATAATTACTAAAGTATGTTAAAAGTAAAAGCTGACATTAGAACAAGGACAAAAGGTAAATAAATAATACAAATATGAAAACACTTACAGCAAAGTTTTTGAATCAATATTTCTAGTTTTTAGTTTTGTTTTACATCGATTGAAGAATTGATTAGAATTTTATTCTTTTAAATTTTGTTGACACAATTGCTTTGTGAGTGACTTCATAAAATGTATAGAGATTGAAGTCAGACAACACATTACGGGAGGCAATAATGTAACTGGCTTTCAATCATTAATATATGGAAGACTTCGAACTCTGCATCTTTATGAAATTAAAAAGTGATACAGAGAAATAATCGTTTAGTAATAGTAATATTATTAATCTTTTCATCACTCTGCGATAACTACTCTTATCGAATAGTGTTTAAATCTTCTGTTGTCAATGTCACACATTCAAACAAATATATAAACACTTGACAAATCATTGTGGACCATTGTTTTCACTTTAACAGATGTGTATTGATATAAACGTATTGCATAGAAAACAGATTGAAAACCCGAACTTACCCGAACTCATTCGGGATCAGCTGATTAAAATAATTATTGCAAATTATGACGTCACACTAAAAATTACCAACTGTCGATCAAATTAAAGAGTCTTTTAAAATCAACTACAGATGACAGTAATGATAAAAGTACCAAATGAATTTTTGTGAGGAGTTTTTTGGTTATATGTGAAAAAAATACTTTTGTCTGATAAAAAATATGTAAAACATGATCTGGTTTATTTATGGAAATAACTAATTAGTCTAAACAATAGAATATTTAAAAATGTTTTTGTTCTATGGAGGTCAGAGATAATTCATTGGTCTTTATCATCCTGAAAATGAGTACTTATTATTAAAATTGACGTTTTATTTCTATAAATACACTCGCGTGATATTGTTTTTCTGTATATATTATATTTTGCGTAATAAATTTTTTTGCATAGATTATATTCTCAGTGATGCAGTAAATAATTAAATCTATAGTTCCAGAGGAATTTAATTCTTAAAATTAAAAAATCTTCACAAGAGTAAAAGTTTAACGTGTTTATCGTGTTCACTTTATTATTGACAATATGTATTGCACATTAAGAAGATGGTAATTAAATTTATTACGTTTTTTATTAAGACTGTTACATAAAAAATATACAATGAAAAACTAAACGTAGTCAATACATTTATAATAACAAAAATTGATTTCTTTTTCTTTGTTTAAAAAAGTCTAATAAACAATGAGATTGTCACTTTTTATATAAACTTCAAATAAAATTATTATTTTTTAATTAATTTTTTGATTCAAATATTTTTCAACAGCGTCTGTAGGACTGATGCTGTAAGGGCTTTAAGTACTGGAGAAATAACTACAGCACTCAGACCTTTTTACTTCACAGTTCATCCAGACCTTTTTGGGCAATACCCAACACAAAGAGTAAGTTTTTTTTCAAGAAGTAGATGTTTTTTTCTCATTTTGTTGTAGCATTCAATTATTTATTAGTTAAACTCTCTAACCTTTTTCAATTTAATAACCAGGATGTAATATTTTTTTCTTTTATAGACAGTAAATGAGAACTCATTAAAACAATTAAGCTCTGTGCTCGAGTCTTTACAGCAACAAAGGCCTGTGAGACCAACGACGTTACCCTTCTACCTCAGACCTAAAGACAAAGAAGATGTTAAAGCTGGAAAATTTACACTTGTTAAAATACAATTGAATGAAAATGATGTTCGAAAAGCTGTTATCTCTATTCTTAAGACTTGTAATTTACCTACAACTTTTGTAGATAGAATAGAACCTACTCCGGATAAAAATTCATCAAAATATTGGCAAGCCTCTGAAAATTCTAGAAGTGGGTTTGATTTTTCTGAGCTTGAAAATGATCCAGTTTATCAATCAATATTAATGAAGAAAAAAATGAATGCAGAGCCGGATACTTTCAAGTAAACATTTTAATCTAATTTATTTGTTGCTATCAATCTTTATCACGGTTAATGTGTTTACGAAATTAATTTATTACGCAGGACATACTTGGATAAACATGTAAATGAGGCTCATGTTAAATTAGAAGCATGTAAACCTGTCAGAGAAGAAGTTGAAAAATTAGAAAAAATTTTATGTGAAGATTTAGGTCTAAAGAATATCATTTGGGACTGTGGATGGAATGTGGCACACTACAGAGGATGTTTATTAGCATTCCAAGCCTTAGCTCGTCATCATCCAGATCAAATGAAAGTGTTGAAGAATCGTACTTTGGTTTTCGCAAATGATACGGGTATAAGTCTAGAAGGAAGTGTCATTTTAAATTCTGGTGAAGTTCGACACAATTGGTTAGACGTAAGTATAAAGTGACAAATGAGAAATTCAATAACTGAAGTTCAATTCTATTTTTAGTTAATCAAAAATATACGGAAGCATGATATGGTTCTTCTGCGACTTCCAGCATTCGAAAAAGCAGTGTCCCGAGTACTTCTTGACATAAAAATTGGTCGACGGTGCGTACAGACAAGAAAATTATCAGAGTAACGGTAAGGTTTAGAGTGCTCTGTATGTGCAGGAAGTTCATGCCGAAAGTAATGGTCGGCCAGTATGAGAAGCAGCTTCGTCAATTGACCACAACTCTATCAGATTATCGGGGGAAGTCCAATTACCCGAAAGTATGGCCGTCTAGTTTGTCCTCTTATGAGATTGTGATTGAAGCGTAAGTTATCAGCAAGTTTTTTAAAATATTATTAAATAAAATTGACTGACTAAATATTGGAATTTCACAGAGAAGCTGGTCCGCTAATGCTTTCTCCAACAGGTCAATTTATCGTTCCATCGTCATGTCCAGGTTTTCTTCTAGTCAACTTTATCAGTGACAATTTACAGGAGGCTACAAAAAGACTAAATCACTATAACACGTATGTTTTATTTCAATTTGTATTTTACTAATAGTCATAACAATGGAATGTTATTATAACTATTAATTTATAATTCAGTTTAGTTAAGTAAAAATAAATTGTTTGAATTTATTATTAGAATAAAATATGTAGAACGTGAACTACATGATAGAACGATGCAAGAGTTAGGACTGGCAGCATTAAATAAAGATGATAGTATCACTCCGGACTTAATGATTCAATGCTGTGAACGTTTACTGCAGAACAAATCTACTTTGATGCCAATGGTGGAAGGAGTAATGCTTTGGGTAACTCATTATTATTCCGTCATGAGTGATGGTGTTATTTGTATACCATGGGATTGGAAGTTATAAACATTTCCGTACTAATGACACTGAGTGACAAATTTCCATAATTATATATATATATATATATATATATATAATAATATACCAGTTCGTAAAGGTAAATTTAGTCATAAATTAATTAATTTAATGAATTGTTAATAAAATTCATAGATTTATTTTTCGAAGACGCTTGACTAGAATATATTATGTAGTTACAAAAAATAGATTTATAATATAATAATAACAATTTTATAGAAAAAATGAATGTAAACTCATGATTTTTTAGGAAAAATTCCAAATATATATATATATATATATATTTTTTATTACGTCATTGGTAAATATTATAATTTTTTAAATATATAATTTTCTGTAATCATGAATGAATTAGATATTTGAGTTTTATTTGCAAGCAAGTTAAGTAAAATAAAGTGATAAAAATAACAATTATTGTTTACTCTGGTAAAATTCACTCACCATCAAAAAAGTAGGTTTTCACACAAATAATATATTTTCATTGGTTAAATCAATTATTCATCGACCAAGTAATTGATTAATTCATTAATTACATGCAATTACCAGCTTGTAGACATTAAAAGTTTTAAAGATAATCAATTTTTTCTCTATACTTGAGAGAAATGTTTTTCCACAAGCTCCTCTAGTTTTTTCGATAAGGCTTCTACATTTGCCATGCTTTCGTTGTTGTTCTAAAATTTAAAAAAAAAACCATAATTATTTATATTCTTTTTCTAATGCAAATTTGATTGATTAGTATCTACATTGTTATTGATCAATATTATTCTGTGCGTGATGTAGCTATTAGAAATTAGTTTTCTTATGGTATCAAAAATAAAAGAGTAATGTGGTTAATGATTGGTAAATATGTTTGATAAACCTTATAAAAAAGTTTTGAATTATGAACAATTTTCCTAAAATCTCTAATAACATGGTCAGCTTTACGGTAGACATGATTTCTTAGTTTGTATCCAATGGTTTCCAGAAATACTGGATTTTTTACGACCTTGCGATAACTTTCTATTGTCGACTCTGAAGAAGAGAAACCAGTAAAAGCTTTTGAGTTGGTGATAGGATACTTGAAGACTCGAGTTAAATCCATCCGCCACAGCGCTCGATGAATGTTTATTAATTTTCCAAGAGCAAGTGGACCAAGTCCATTATTGTGTTTTCCTCGAGAACTATACCAGACGGACCAACTACTATCACCAAAATAATTTTTAGTTTTTTTACTCTTTCTGATTTTATCTAACCTTGTTTTTGAAGTCTCTTGTTTAATATTCCGAATTTCTTTTTGCGAGTTGACGCTATTAATGAAACACGAAGTGCTTTTCCTTTTCTTTCGCTCTTCAGACGCTTGAAATTCCTTTGAAGACGGTTTCGCATTTGAAGAGTATCTCCTGACTGTTTCTGAATATGTAGCTTTTTCAACAACATCGACAAGAGTCATTACAGCAATCGTATGGTTTGTTTCTAAAGGCAACGATGATTTTTCGTTGTTATCGGGATTTTTAGAAAGATTCTCCCATAAAGAAGATTCTATTTCTTTTTTATCTTCAGATTTATCATTGCAGATATTATCTTTATCTAACTTTGTTGCATTATCTATGACACTTTTATTGTTTGCTTCATCAGAAACATCTTTTAGCGTTTTAATTAACCAAGAATCAGTTTTTATACTTGTTCTTAAACGACCACCACTACTACTATCATTATTTAAAGGAATGAATTTTGAAGTCTCAATTTGATTTTCAGTCACTTCAGTTTTTTTATTTTCCAAATTTTCCTGATTGTCACTGATTTCTTCATATTCTTGTTTATTTTTCACTTTTTCAACATCATTTTTATTTTTTTCAGAATTTTTTTGAATAACCTTAGATTTATTCGAAGGTTTTAATGATGGTGTAATATTTAACGAACTTAATAAAAGCTCAGCAGAAGCACACGCAGCTTTCCAAGTAACATCTTGAGAACTAATTGACGAAGAAGAAGAAGAATTATTTTTTCGTGATGGAATTAAGTGATTTTGTTTTGAAGTAGAGTTTTCATATTCAAAACACCTCGGAGATAATTTTGAACTATCAATTTTATTTTTAGATTCACTACGACGCTGAGAACGACGAGATTGGTATTTTTTTTTCGGAACTTTATAGCTTCCTGGTTTCATATACACTCTAGCATCCTCAGCACTATCATTCTCTTCATGAGGATTTTTTAAATCTTTCTTATTATTTATTAACTGATTTGCAATCCATGGTGCAGTTTGAATCGTTCTCATATTTTTCAACGTTTGAATTTGACGATTAATTTCATTTTTAGAGGACCCAATATGCTCTTCATTATTTTTTAATGATTCTTTAGTTTTTACTGAAACATTACTGGTAGCCTCCCACCAATTTGTAGAATTTCTAGTTGATGAGCTAATTTCAATGTTAGATACTCGTTTATTCCTCATACTGGCAAACCAAGCAGATAAATTAATCGTTTCTCCTTCAACAGCGTTTGATTTTTGCATTTTAGTATTTTTTGTTTCAATTTGACTTAGTAACGTCATTTTGTTTTTCAAATTGGACAAATTATTAGAATCATTATAAGAAAAATTATTGTAAGAAGTTTGATTGAAATATGAATTCCAAAATGGCTGATGTTTATCAGTTGAAAGAATCGATGGTATTGATCCGCCAACATTTGTGGAGAAGTTAGAGTTTATGTTTGAAGTGAAATTTACTGCATTAGAATATTTTGGTATACTTGGATAATGTTCATTAGTACGTTTAAATTCAAAAAATGGCCCTGATAATTTTTCTCTATTAACGTTTTCCTCAGGATGAGAAAGAAAAAAATCATACTGTACTGTGCGCTGTGAAGGTGCTCTAGAAAACATCTTCCACTCCGATTTATCAGCAAAAAATTTTTGAAATAAATTTGGCTGAGACTGTTCAGTAATTGTCCATTTAGTTTTTGATTTACTTTCCTTTTCCAACCACTGTTTTTGTTCTTGATTATCGTCTACTAAATTGCTACTACAAAATAGATTACGGTCAACAGTTTGAGTCTTTGTTAGAGGTATTTGGGAAGGTTGAAACTTTCCAAGAGACTCTCCGAAAAGCCCAAAATTTACATAAAGGCAAACATCACCAGGAAATGATGAACTTAAACTATTTGAATTCTTAAGTGAGTTAAAGCTATCATCTTGATTAAGATTACTTCCTAATTGGATGAAAGTTTTGATGACACGTTTGAGAAGATCATTGGTTGATATTTCCCAGTGTTTCAATGATTTTACTAAAGCACGATCAAATTTATAACCTAAACTAGGTTGATGCTGCTTGTTAAAATAATGATCCAAAATCAACCACCCATTACTGATTCTCATTAGTGCATTAATTAAATCTTGAGAGAAAATTTCGTCTCCTAGGAATACTGGAAAACAAGTGGATGATTTTGCACAAGCTATTTTTGTTCCTGAAGATAAATTATTCAACCAATTCTGTCTAGTAATCGAAAAAGAATTATTTTTTAGAATTTTCTCTGCTTCATTACAACCATAATTTATAGTTTTTCTTATTAATTCAGGATATTGAGATTCATCTAAAAGAAAATCTAGAGTTTGTGTACCAACAGACGTAGTAGAAATTGTTGGTTCTTTTTTTAATAATTCTAAATGCCAAGGATTAAAATTTTTATGTATATTTTCAGTGCATTTTTGATCCGTTTTTTCAGGAGAAGTAAATGAATTTTCATCATTTTCTTCTGCTTCTTCATCATGATTTTCTTTTCCTACTTCTACTTCATTTTCAATTTTTATGTTACTATTATGATGGTTTTCTTCTTCACATTTTTCTTCATCCTTTTCCAATTCATGAAAAGATGTGTTACATAAAGCAGAAACCATTTTTTCAGCTTCAATCGTAAAATCAAAACAAGAAAATTCATCAGAGTATTTTTCTTCTCGAAGACTCTGGATATTTTTTAACGGATCAGGCTTGAGCTTTAAAGAATTAAAGTCACTTTGATTTACTTCAGCAAAATTTTCTGTATAAGGAAGTCGTCTTTCAGTTTGTAAAGCAATTTCTTCGGAACTTTTATTTGATTGGTTCTCTTGTAGAGATAGTTTATCACTTAAACTAGAGTTTAAGTTCGAACTTGAAACCACGGAGTTAGAGAATAATTGATTAGATACCACAGGAACAAACTTCTCTTCTTGTACTCCTGTATTTGTTGGATAAGCTACTGAGCTGGAATGAAAACCAAGCTTGACATTTTGAAGAGTAAGACTTCCTGGAATATTATAATAAGTTTGTTGAATTGCTTTTTGGCTTGAGAACTGATTTTGAGATTGATCTGGTATCAAACAAAATGTTTGTACTTCAGATGGTTTATAAAAAGACTGAGGAATTAAATTAGGATGTACGCTTGCATATGGTTCAGTAAGATATGAGTTGGGGTGAAAAGAAGCCGCTTGATTGAAATAAACGGGCGTTAAAGGGACTGATGGAGCCGGAGATAAATGATGTACAGGATCGTAAAGAACTAAGGGTGGTTGAGTGTATGACAAGGGATGCTGGCTATTAGTGGGATAGTCTTTAATACGGATTCCATGAGATTTAGGAAACCATTTAGGATTCTTGATATTTCGTAATGAGTCTGAAATAAATAACTCAATAAATAAATACAATAGAATTCTAGTTGGTTAATTTTTATAATTCTATTAAAGAGGTACAATGGCTTTTTTTAATTTTTTTATTATATCAAACCTTGTCCGCGTAAAGTGACAGAACTAGAAGCAGGACTTCTTCGAGTATTGGTATAAATATACTGTTGAGTTAAATTTGCTTGGGCACATGTATAAACAGGATTATATGGAGTATATAATTGTGGTTGGTGAAGTAGGATTGAAGGAGCAGTTGATTGAGTTTGATAAAAATTCAAAGCTTCTACTGATGATCGATTCGTCGATTCTCTAGTGATTGGTGGATACACCATTATCAAGGGACAAATGTGTCCTAATTCAGTTATTGACTGGCTTTTGCTTTACTCAATTTAATCACCTAAAAGTATTATTGATTTCACTATTCATTGGTATTTAACTTTCTTATCTATTGATTGACAGAATGACATTTAACCTTTTAAAGTTGAGCTTTATTACCTGATATTAAAGAGAATAATACTATTTGTCGTCAGCAGCTCTATAAAATACATCTTGGATTAAAAAAAGATCAAAGATAAGCTGTTGGATTGAATCACAAATGATTGGTTTTGAAAAGTTTACATGGAAAACTTCAAGGTTGAGTGGAACGAAATTTATAAAGCTGACGTAGTTTATATCAAAATATTTTTAAACCTCTCCTATCATTCATGCAATTTCTTGATCGAGTTTTATCGATGTTTTAGATGCTTTCTGAAGCAAATACTTAACTAAAATGAGGCTATTCACGTCCGAAAATTCTGACGAAATAAATCCATTTAAGTTATGAATTAAAATATGCTGTAGAATCAATAACAACGATATGTCGACTTTGAAAAACAATTGAGCTATCGATCTTTGTCACTGTTCTTTTTTCAAAAAAAATAATCTGTATTAGAAGAAAAATAAGCAAAAATGAAATAAAACAAAATTAATATCTCATTTGGTAGGAGTGAAAAGGGTATTCTATTTTTTATTAACATATAACATAATCTTTATTATTTCGAACTTGAAATTTAATTAATTAATTATTAATTAATTAAATAATCACATATCGTGGTCATACACACGATATATAGATTTTACTAGAACAAGAGACTTCTCTCTAAGGTCACGTATTTTTCTTTTTACTTTAAATTTAAATTTATAATTTTATAATCTCTCTTATTACATAACGCATTCATTTATAATTAAGCTCTACACACAGAACATGATTTTTCGAATAGAGAGTGAACGGTGCCCGAAATAATTCGCGACGCCGTTGAAGTTTCAATTTTTTCCCACTTTTCTCAAACACCATCATTAGCTACAGCAACCAAAAATGAAATTTCATTATGCTACAGATAGTGAACACAATCAATGATTATACTTAACTAATTGACTTTTAATTGAACCTAAAAATGATGACAATAAATTGTAGTAATATAGAAAAAAATTATTTTACTCCTCTCACCCACTTAGCTGAGCCTGGCGTGATGATGAAGAAAAAATATAATAAAAAAAAGTAACTTCAAGAGGATCGGTTTTCGAGGCAGTGTGAGAAATACTCGAGGCTACGGAGATCATCACATTTCCCCGTACATGCGAATTGGCCCGTTAATTAATTAATTAACTTATTTTATATATTTATTTATTTATATAATTAATTAATTTTTTAGTTAATCTTAAAATTGCATAGCGTTCGATACGGTGATGATGACTTAGACCGGGCCCGCAACCTCTCAATTGTGCATAACGGCAATAAGAATAAGCGTGTCATACAATCATTTATAATCTCTACACCTTTTCCATAATATCATTCGCATACTTGTGACATTTATTTGTTTAATGAGCGAAGAGAGGCACGGACGTATCGCATCGCTGGCAACAACAACGCAATAACAACAGGGAACTCTCGACGTCATCGGCGATTTTTTTTTAATTGCCTCTCTTGTTTTTTTTTTATCTATTATCTTATTTTCACCGTGATGATGATGATGTCGTATTTAAGTTCATCATCACCCCGTTGGCTTTTTTATGCCCTTTTGTAATGTGCTCTAAGTTCTGATTATTTAGTTGCTGACAAAGGTACGAACTGCTGTTCCAATAATACACATGAGCATGAGGACGAAGTGCGCTGTTTTGTCGATAATCGACGTCGCTGCATTGCAACGATCAGTCAAGCACGAGCAAACTTCTTGTCGTCCACCGAATCCTCCTCGTTGGTAACATCGACCCTTGTAATTTGATTCGTCGTAACCGCAAGTCCTGATTACTCGGACCTCTGGTGGTACTGAAATCATTTAAAGCATTGATTATTTATTTTATCCTTACTCTTTCCATTAAAATAATTGAATATTATTTTTATTTTAATTAAGATTCTCCATGATAATTTCTATCATGAAACTGGGAAAGTAAAAGTCACAGGAAATGAAATGTCTCATACAGAAGAGAAATATCACAAGGTAATAATTTGAACATAAAATATTTGATCAATTAAGTAAATGAATGTTGAATGTTGACAGATTAATTCATAATACATACATCCATTAACTGGAAACTCGATTGATTGAACTGTCTTTCGGCACATTGTGAACTTGGTTCCTCCACTAGCAAGCATCTCACATTTTTGGATCAAACTTTCATGTGGTTTGTCTTCAGCACATCGACTATCAATGTAGCTATTGCAAACATAGCATTCAAGTGCATCCACGCCTGAAAATATAAAAAAAGAATCATTTAATCTATTCTAATAGTTGTCTTCTAAACTTTTGATAATCTTATCAATATGACAATCATTGATTTATAACACTATAGTACCAAAAGAGTTTTAGAATATTACGAAATGATTGAAATCCGATTGATTTATTGAGCAAACTGAAATTATTCAAATTTGTTGAATCAATTGAAGAAAAAGTTCAATGACCCTTCTAGTTTATAACAATGGTTCTCCGCCCGTGGGTCCGCTTGAAAATCAATGTAGCTAGGTATCTAGATGTATCTATAAACGTGGCCTAGAAAAACTATAGCCATAGAAACAAGGTAGAGCATTTTAATGTCACTATTTATTTAATATAGACAATTTTTTGTCTACTTGAGCTCTTCATATCCTCATTTCTTCTTTATCTATATCCTCAATAAAGTGTATGTTTATTTTTGTCTAGAAACGAGCTTATAGATCGTCATAAAATTCACATATGACATTTGCAGTCATGTTGTTCTACTTAGTGCAGGTATGATTAGTAAGAACATGTGATTATTAAGATTCATTTGATGGTTAAAAGCCTTGTCAGAATAATGACATTGAACTAAAATAATGATAGCTTTTTAGAAAAATACATATTTGTATACAGGGGATATTTGAATTACAACAAGAGATTTATTTAATTTATAAGGGATGGGGACCCTTGCCACACCAAGCCGCGCGCATTTTACATCGTCATCGATCCAACTAACGCCTGCGCGACAACCTTAAAGGGGTGCGGATAGACAAAGAGACGTCAGACTTGATAATTTAAAACTATTTTTGTCAATCTATACTTTAAATTGATTCATCACTCGAAAAGTGTCAATTTGTCAAATAAATCATGCTTTTCAAATTAATTCGTCTTTGACTTTTCTAGGATTCATCCCCTTGATGTGAATCATCAAAAAATTAAAGAAGAGATCAACAGTCAAATATGAAGAAACACTTTCTAATCGAATTGCAATCGATTTTTTTAAAAAAAAGAGCGGTTTAATATCATCTTTGAAAATAGTTACAAATATTGAAATAATTAACGGTCAGTTGGTAGTAAAACTTACCAGAATAACCCAGAATCAAGCAGGCGCTCCATATCACGACGAGGGTTTGCGCCTTCATCCTTTTAAATTATTCACAACGCGTTTTAATTTACACACCGTTAGAATTTGAGTTGAATAAAAATATGGTGATATCACAGAATAAATCCAAGCCGTTTGAAAGAACAATAGGGTTGCTAAGTGAAGCAAAAGCTCAAAGATTTGCGGGGTTACCGACCTACCGACCGAGCGACCCCACAACTTCAAGAGCTCTGAAAGCACTGTTGATGTCGTCGGCACTGGTTGGTACGGCTCTGCCACCCCACAACCAACGTTTTCCGACTCACACACGCTGAAGAACCTAGTCTGCACTAGACTAAACTGCAAATGTGTGCAGAGGAACTAGGAACCGACGCAGAAGCAACATCAAGCGGGTTTAATGGAAAAGAAAGAGATGGAACGGGCATTTTGGTGGGGATCATCTCAAATCTGGTCTCGGACAAGTCAGACCCAAAGGTCGATCGATATTCGGAATATTTTGAGACTTTTTTGTTGGGTAAATAAATTCAGTAATTTAAAAACTAATGAGGTTATTGATTTTTCGATTACAGAATGGAAAATGCGGTGGTTTTATTCTTTCCAAGTCGTAGAAGTTATGACGAGTTATATCTAGATTAAATTCAAGTCGTCAATCGTCTAATGAATGGAATGAATGGAAAAAAGCTGTTTTTCTTTCCAATCCAATAATAAATTAAAAAGACGTGGTTGGATTTATCCAGTTATTAGGTTGTTCGAATGATTCTAGAATTAATTTTAAATTTCATACCGAGAAGAATCATAAATGTTATCTTCATTTATTGATAAGCCAAAAAAATTTTAAGTTCAAACTTGACTAAAGTCAAACTGTTCAATTGGTTTCTTCAATGATAAGTTGAATAACATCGTGATGATTTACGACAGGAGAATTAAATGTAATATAATGAATCAACTAATTATGTTAGCCATTGCTTGATAAAAGGGTATCTTTAGTGATAAGAAATAAGAATTCTGTGTAATTTATTTTCTTGAATGTATAAAATAAAGGAATTTTGTTTACATTCTACTTCAGAAGACCTGAGGGGTTGATGGGAACTTTTTGTGTCAGGGTCCGGCTATTGTGAAGGATTCTTAATGGATTGAGGTGGAATAAGTAAAGGTAGGTGGTGAATACTCACATCTAAACTAGAGCTTAAAGTGACGGGTAAGGGAACCGACAGAACTCTGAGTGGATAATGCTTCTTTTCCTGTGACATGGAACACGACAACGATCCGTACACATAAATGACGTAAATGCACAACGAACTTTATCATTTCTTATGTCATAGTAGCATTATCTTAGAAACTATAAATAACAAAAATGGTATAAAGTTATGTTCTTTTACCCCAATATTAAATAACGTTTTAAATAAATCAATACATGAGTTCATCCAATCATTTCTAAACATCACTTAGACTTAAATGCATACTTTGGAGCCTTATTTCATGTCAATGCCAATTGTACGCACGGAAAATATAGCGGATCCGGTAGATAACATTTCTAAACACGCATTGGCCTCGGCCAACATAATCATCTAAGTACTATCATTGTGTCTGCAATAATTATCAATTAGTAGAAATCAGTAGATGAATGACAATTTGTTTGTTGATAAGATGCTTTGAATCACGACACTTACTATTATCACTTTGATAATCATGATTTTATTAATATATCATACATTTGAAGATAATCATAGAATAAGTTAAATTAACAGCTCAGAAAATGATAAAAGAATTAACTGGATAATAAATACTAGTGGTAAACTCCATAAGACATTTTTAGAAGATTTATTACAACCTGGTCCACTCTTACACTCACATATATGTTGATAACTAGTTTGAGTATTTGCTCCTTTGTAACATTTATTGTCTTCTTTATAAAGAAATGCACACTCTCTTATTGTTACATACTCAGTGGGACTTTTAAAATAATCTAGAAATGGATAATTATTGAATTTAAATTGAATAGGTGGTAAGTAAAGTGATAAGCTTGATGATTAATTTTACATGCAGAGGACATTTTACGACATGCATTATGCATCTTTGAACAGTCTTGTAGGTATTTAGTATCAACAGCTTTCTCAGTACAGTTAGGATTTAGCAGACTATTGCATTGATAACATTTCATACTTTGACAGGCTAAAATACAATGAAGTTGACGTTAGACTCATTTAGTTTAGAACTCTATTGTATTCAACTTACATCTGTTGAAAAGAATGAACCAGACAAACAATATTCGTTTTAGGTTACAGACCATGCTTATCCGGTTATTACACGTTTAATCTGCTCAAATAAAATAAAATAAATTTTTTCCAGATATTACTTGTACAAACCAGAGATCATTAGCTGCATCAGATAATTCCAACTTTTGTATGTCAAGTAGTACACATTATTTTTATTAATTCATTTATATTTTGAGTAAGAGAACATTGGTCTGAACGAAATTAATCATGTGAAATTAGTTTAATAAAGCGTAGCTATCAAATTTTTTTAAATTTTAAAACCAAGCATTGTATTCTTTTTAATAAATTTATATAATAAAGAAGTAATGACATAAAAAAATTATAAGATTTTTTAAAATTAGTACATAATTTATATGGTTTTTTTTTAAATTGACTATTTTTTCGAAATCGATTGATAATTTTTGAAAACGAGCATGTTCTAAGTATAATTAATTTAAAAATTATGTACAAGTATAATTTTAGTCAAAAAATGAAATCATATTTGAAATTTTTCAAAAATTGTTGAATTTTTTAAACAAAAAAAAAAAATAACTTAGTTCATGTTTTATGAATATTTATTTATAAATGCAAAACTTGAAACTTTCAAATCTTTCGAATTTTTATCATTTTTAAAAAATAAAATTTAAAAAAAAGTAGTTCGCGTTAATGATCTTAAAGAAAGTTTATTTTATTCTTCGGATTAAGTAATAATGAATAATTTTTCTTCTTTGTAAATTTAAATTTTAGCAAAACTCTTTTCGACAGGCTGAACTAATGTTTTAAAAAATATTTTAGACTCTACAATTTGGCATTATGAATTTGAGGATTTTTAACTGATTTAGTCAATAAAAATAATAATTCTTCACGTAGTTTTTTTGTCACTTCAACATACACAATGTATTATCAATATTTTTAATAATTTCGGTTTTAACCAGTATTTAATCTAATCTAATAAAATATTTTATTCCATGTCACAAATAATGCTAAATAAAATTTTATGTAATACAATAGAAACTTCCAAACCATTTCAACGTAATAAAATATTAGTCAGAAGAATAATTTATCAATTGAACGACCACTTAATTCAAAAATTACTTTTGTTCTAAATTGATCTAATTTAATTTAAATGAGTTAATCTCTTTAAATAAAATCAATTTTTTATTATTTTTGAATTAAAAATTTTTCCACCAACTCCTAAAAGTTTTCCATCATAAAAATATATCAATTTTTTATCAGAATGAAATATTCGCTAGAAGAATATTCAAACTATCGAGTGATATCGGTCAAGGACTTTTAGCAAGTACTTCTAAAATACTGATTGTTAAACATGCTAAATGAATTCAATCTCTTGATTCTCACTTGCAAATTGACTAGGAAAATATTTCATACCCTTGTTTTTGCAAGTTATCAATTTCAAAAACAAAGTGTTCTCTTTGAGTTGAGATGACAAATTTACTCAAGAATCACATATTTACTAATACATTGATGCAATATGATTAATACATAATCTCTATAATCACAACAGATAATTGTGTATCAACCGAGGACACTGTGTCTGACTATTTGTAGACACATCTACTGTTTACGTCTGTCAACAAGTTAGTAGTTACAGACGTCGGTACACATGTCTTACGTCGTCGGTACTCAATTCACTGTCGATTAGACATCTTTTTTATCAGTAATAGATAAAAAACATATAAACAATTTGTTTATAATGATTAATTTAAAAACTTTCATTTTTGTTTATAAATTAAATTTTTTAAATGATTAAGTAATGATTTTACGACATGAACAAATGGTTACTTGTTTGTTAATTAACGTCACTATTTCTTTACAATTTGGTTAATTGTTTTTCAAGGATAAAAACAAGGATAAACATTTTTCAAACATTGTGTTTACTAAATATGCATTGAAGCATAGAAATGAGACTGAAGGTAATTGTAAATAATTTGCGTAATTTTTCGAAACATTGTCAAATATTTAAAAAAAAACAAATGACGATAAATAAATAGTGATGTTATTTTATAATATGTACGATATAAACATATATGTTTTTAATGTTTTCACTCATTCTCTCAGTGCTCCCCATTGGATATTATTGTTATTTGGGTCGCGCCAATGTGGCGCCAAATGTCTCGACGTTTGTATATCGCCCTTGTTTCCCTGTTCCGCCCTTTTTAGTCGTTACTACCCCGCAATAGAGAATACGTATTTTCTCTCTTTTCCCTAGATGATAGTCGTTCAAGCGTATAAGACTAAAATCTATGAAGAATGACACAATATCATTTCAAACAATCGAAATTTACATTTTAAATAAATTATGTAAGATGCTTCCAAATTTCTCCTTCATTAATGTTTTTGTTTCTACAAGGTTTTTTTTTTGAAGACAACATTATTTATTTTTGTTTCTTTTTATATAGTTTATTTTATTCTAAATATGATTATGTGTTGTCTGGCGCAAAATAGTAACTATTCAAAATCCTAGAATGTAATTTATCATTTCTTAGGTGCAAATCTTAAGTCTTTTTGAACCAACGCCAAAGATTTCCAAGTTTTCAACGATCCAATAGGGTCATCTCTTGGGAAAAATAATCGACGATTCTAATGCCTCTCTGATGTTAACATTAAAGATTTATGGCCTTCGACATATCGGTTTCGTATATTTTCTTTGCAACCAATTTTGTTTTTTATCGATATAATTTTCAACTATTTTCTTTTACCGTATTTTCCACCGTAAAAAAGTATTTTTCAACTTCAGTATCGCCACATAAAAAATAATGTCCTTTCTTCGATAAATTCCAGCTGTTTTCAGTTGCAAAAAAAGTATCCTCGAAATAATTATTTTTTGAGCTAACGTCGTTGCTAATTGGTATTAAAGGTTAACAAAATTTACCGATAAAGACCCGACACCGAATGAAGTAGAGAAAGAGAGTTAAAAAGTAATGAAAAATTACAGCGCAATAACTAAATGAGTCCAGCGCGTCGGCGCCCATTGTCAATGGTCACATTGGCGCCAGGCATCCTTTTCACCCTCACCACACATAATACCGCGTGATATCATCGCTGAAAACGAGGGTAGAAACTGCGAGCTCGTAGAACATCCCTCTCTTATGACATAAATATTTGTTGCATCGTTCTGAAGGATAACTTCGTTACTTAATATCCTTATCCAATTCAACTCATCAACGTCAGTATTCTTATATTTTTTCCCTTCAGGAAGAAAGACTACCCCTACATGAATCAGCATGTCAAATAGAATTAGTAATTTTCATTGAAAGCTCCGGCAATTTGTTAAAAAAAGGGGTCGATGTAATTTATCGTAATTTAAAATTTTATCATCTAAAATAAACATCTGATACTTTAATAAGTTAAATGTACTGACAATGAGAACAAATGATAGGAAAAATATTCTTTCACTAAGACAACAATTTGTTTCTGTTAAAAAAATGACTTCTGCAAGAAGCTTTCCATTTATTAGACTATTTTTCATAGCAGTCATAAGAGGAATAATTACAGATAATGCTGAAATGGAGTCATAAAATTTCAATGAGATTTAAGATAAAACAATAAAATTCAAGTTAAATGATAAAATTTTATATCAAAATTAAAATTAACACCACGTCTCTTATCAGTCAGAAGTTCAACTTGACCTAAGTCATTTCATCAAGACAAGATTCAAGTTCTTTCTAAACTAGAACATTTTCTTGTCAGGATTCCACTTTTCTTTTGAAACTCAAGACAATGGTTCGATGCATCTTAAACAAGACCTTGTTTAAATTTTTGGTCAGTTCTTAAATTGAATCTAACAATCGTAGCAAGAATTTTCCTAAGGACCTTCGATATTTTGTTTTGACGGTGAATTTCACGAGCAGAGAAGCTAGACATAATCAAGTCTGCGCAGAATCAACGGCATGAATATTTTGAGGAATTTCAAGAATATATTGGAAACGTTGCCAACGTTTTTATACTTGATTTCCTGGTTACCTTTATTTAGTTCATTACACTCAAAAGAGTAATTGGCTTCTATGCACAGGTTTAATTATGTAATGAAACAAATTGATACGAAGCATAAACTAAATGTGATTCGTTATTTTTCTAAGTGTTCCAATTAGAAATGAAGTTACTGTGACGTCTTGGACATCAGTTGTATTCACGATTCTTCTTCCTTCCTGTTTTTCTCCTTGTCTTGCAGCGACGTCCTCGTTTGGCACACGATATAGTAACGATCTTGAAAGCTCTCTGCGAACACCAGAAATGGGGACGACAGCTGCAGGGGTCGTAAAATTTTCATTGACTTCGTTTTAGACTGTCGTCACTTGCTATCTCCAACTCAACACCATTTTAAATCTAACAGTTGACCATTTCGTGATATGCAGATATCTAGAAATTCATGAGATCTTTCATTTTGCTGCTTATAAGTAGGTTGGATGAAAAACAAATTGTTGATACATTTTTTCTGTTCATTTCTTTTATCTCATTTGTACCTTACACTCGAGTAAATAACCCTGCAATTCCATCATTTATTTTGGTCCTTTTCGGCGACGCTTCGATTGTTGGACGGCTTGACGCCACATCAACTCATCTTTTCTCTTCACATTGTGATGGAATGAATATCTTGAGAATCCTGCCAATCGTCAGATAGATTAAGTCAATTTCTTTTGTCTCTTTAAGATGCATTACTTCAACACCACTTTCAGACTTTTTATGAGGATCTTCTTGACCCTGTTTCACCGCTTTTTAAATTACATTCCAGTGTAATCTATTTTGCTAAAAAAAATCAAACTCATCTGCTCTTTTTTATTTTATCTATAAAATTGTATTTAGAGTATACGTTGTAAAATATTTTAAATTCTTCACCTCCTGACTTGTATTTCCACTAAAGAAAATCCGATTCTAGTATAAGAAAATTTTCTTATTGTAGTATTCATTTCTCAGTTGATAAAAATACTGTGAAGTGAATAAGAAGAAAAGTTTCCAAGAGTTTGGCATGAAAACAAAAATGCTAAGTAATTTCTTAAACTCATTAAAGGAACTTATGTTGGGCATAAGTGTGAGCCAAAGTATCGAGGTGTTGGCAATAGATTTTAAGAGCAAAGTTACATTGCGTACGTCGTTGTCGTCGGTGACGTTAGATCATTGTAGAGAAGAAAGAGAATCCATAGGAAGCAAGAGCAAGAGAGAAGAGTGTTGAATAACTCCACCGGGGGAGAAAATAGAAAGGGCGGGAGAGAAAATTTGCGCGTGGTGAGAGCGTCTACTACGCATCATCATAGACAGAAGAGTAGTGTATATTGAAGAGAAAAGACGAGCGACAACATTCTTTGACACTCACGATTTTCTTCTGACTTGTATAGTCGTATATTTTACAGTATACAAATCCCCTTCCTCCTTTTTACTCCCTCGACTAGTCAACCAAGATACTTTTTGTCGCACCACCACCACAACGCCCACGAATATACGCCGAGCACCCTCCTTTCAACTCAGACGCTAGTTTCATAGTCGACTACGAGAAACACACGAGGATAGTCATGCAATCCAAATTTATACAAGTTCTACCGAGTTTTGTGCTTGTGTTTACACTGGCCATCACATCAGGTGAATTTATTCATTTATTGTCTATGCATTTTGTTATCAAATTATTTTTTTCATTGTTCAAGTGATTAAACAATTTTTTTTTTACGATTAATTATTAAAGCAAATAAAAATTTTATGATGAAAACTATGACTTTATTTATTTTATTATTTTTATAAATTAGTGAAAAAGTTTTATCATAAATATCAAGTTGATGAAATAAATTTATGAAAATTATTATGAATGTTACAACTTCATATTTGGAGTTTGGATTAAATGAAATTAAATGCGAGGAATGCAAACAATATTTTAATACATTAAAATAATAATAGTATTCAAATAACGCATGTTTTATTGAGTTATTACGGGAATTTAAAGTTTTTGTGGCATTTATCGTGATGAAGACGTTCTATTATTGAATCAACTCTGGAGATATATTTACCCTTGCTAATGTTAAAGTTAAATTGAGTTGAGAATTTATTTTTTCTATATTATTAAAAATTATAATAAATATTTTTATCTATTTTATATTTATCAATGAAATAAAAAATAATAACGTAATTCAACAATTGTTATTAATTAAATTAAATAATTAAAGTTGAAGTAATGAAGATGTTTGATTGAATGATTAGACATCGTGGGTTATTTAATGTGCAAAAATGTGATTGGTAGTAATTTAAGTAGTAACATGGTTCGTGATCCTTGACGAAAGTTTGCAGTGCTTTTATGGATTATCATTATCGATTGCTTTAACCCTCGCGTGGCCCCCATTTTAGGGGTTGAGTGTGCTGTTGTTTTTGACATTAATACCAAAGGGGAACGCACTCATCAAGTGTGTCAATAAAATCGCTGTAAACAGAAACATCGTTTAAACTCAATTTTCCTTCTCTTTTGGATGCTATTTTCTCGTTACTTAAAATTCATTCCGCAGTAATTCATTTTGGCCAACAACAATAACTAAAAATCCGCTACTCTATATAGCACTGTCAGAAGTTATTTAATGCCGTTTAATTGCCATGAACTTTAGGCAAGACAGTTTAAGTACCGTCCCTAAAATGGATTAAATCGTTAACATTTGCACGTTAACACAAGTAAATGTTACTAACAACATATTAGCTTTAAATCTTTCTCGGCGATGTAATTTTTTTTTTCATTGTTATATTGTCATTCGAAACACATCTATTTCTCTGTTATGTCTTTATAATAAAAAAAAAAGTTTAACGAATTCTTGTTGTTTTACCTTTCAGAGATGCTCTTATTTCATAAAACTAATTATTGGGTAACTCGAGAGCAATAATTTGCTGAGCTCCTGACGAAATTCCCTAACGACGATATTCTATATTTTATCTTGATTCTTAACGAAGAAAATAGTTAATTTATTCTTTATCTACACTAAAAACAAATTGTTTTAGGGGTAGAAAAAGCTTTTCTGTCATTTATTTGTTAATTTTCTTGATTTTTTTTCACGTCAGAATCTAATTGAAGTCTTGAATAAAATATTCATTTATTAGTTTATTTAGTTTTCTTTTAAATAAAAGTTAATTAAATTTTTTTATGAATATACATACTGTACTCCATTTCACACTTTTCAATCTTTGCATCATTAATCTTAAAGTAAGAATAATTTATGGTATGTGACATGAATATATGTAATAAATTACTGATTAGAATCACGTAACGAAATAATAAGCAAAGTCACGCAAGGAGACATGTACTTGTAAATTTAAAAAATGCTAAACTAAACTTGTTATTTAAAGCTCGTTGCTCGTCATAACGTATTAATTTAATATCCACAAAGGATTTATTTTTTCCCTTTTTTTCCTACAGAGTATTTGTTGTTTTTTTCCGTAAGATTATATTCTTTTGGCTTCTTTGAGACTGTTTAAATTTCATTCGTTTGCTTCCATAATCTAATCCGTTTTTTTTCCATATTAGGTGAAGCCCTCAAGTGCTATGAATGCATTGCCGTGGGTACTGGCACCGATGAATGTAATGGCGATATTGTGGTGAAATCTGGAGACAAAAATCTAGTTGAGTGTGACTTACGAAGCATGGAATTTTTTCACAGTAGACTCCAGGACAATTCTGCGTTAACTAGTATTTCTAGTGTTTTTGCTGTTGATTCACCGAAAACGTATCGGTCACAGACTAAAATGCCGATGTCTTGTGTTAACATTGGAATGAAAGGTATTATTCTTTTTTTTTGTACAAAGATACTTAAAACCATTTACGATTATTCAAATGTAAATTTATCATTATTTTTCAAAGAATTTTTAATTTGAACACACTGAAATCACAATTAAAAATTTCACGTCTTAAACTAATTATTGAAGATAAATAATAAAATATAAAATATAGATTAAATATAAAATTACTGTATATCTTTTATATAATGAAATAATATTATTTTTTATAAAGAATACAATTCTATTTTTGGTCGGCTTTTTCTGAAAATTCATGAAAATAAATAAAAATTAATCCTTTAGTTAAAAACCGTAAATTTATTAATTGAAAATTTCAACAAAATTTAATTCTTTTATCATCAAAATTAAGAATTCAGTCATAGCTAAAACAAATTTTCAAGTGTGTACAACTTCCAAATATTTATTTTTCAATCTTTAGGTACACCGTTATAAGAATAAATTTTTTATGTACTTGTGCTGATAAGAAAAAACAAATCCACAAATGTTTCTCTGTACTTTTTTTATCATCACCAAAACAAAAAAGGTGTGAAATAATTAAAAAAATTTTTCATTCAGCAGATTTCATTAACATGAAATTTAAATAATGCCTTGAGTATTATTAGGAATTAGAATATTTACACGTAAATGGCTTTTTGAATAATAAATGTAGTTCATCTAATAATTTCTTAACATAAAAAAAACTGAGATTAACATGAAGAAAATATCAACTTTCAGTTGGACCAGAGAAAGTAATCCTGAGAACCTGCCAAACAGCACAAACAGAAACAGTGAAGCCCTGCGCGGTAATAAGAGATAAAATTAAAAAAGATTTTTCAAATACAGTCACAGTAGACCACTGTGAAATATGCGAAGGAGATAAATGCAATGGCTCAGGCATCAAATCAACTTCGTACATTGTTACAGTACTTCCTCTCTTCATATCTCTTCTAGGAGTTTTTTATCGCTCAGCGTAACATCTTTATATTTAGTTTAAGCCAAAGAAACACGCGTGAAGAATAAAAACACAAGGATAACATAAAGATAAGGAAAAGAATAGAGTTGGAAAAAGAGTGGTGATAGAGAAGAACAGAAAGTGTAAAGGCGTACTGTCTGCTAATTTAAGCAATATTTCTCGAACCTGCAGTCTACCTACTCACACTTAAGTCTAATCATTTAGTTCGTACTTGGCTTTGTACTTAATTGCCGTGGCCTAATTTTTTGCATTAACGTTGACGCGGTATTGAGACCGAAAAGAATGACTAATGTCGTAAGAAGTTAAACAAAAATAATTATTGAGGTACTTGCTTTGCTCGCCTATGACACTACAGCATCTGTCATGTTGTTTGGTCTATTTTTTTGCTTAAAAATTTTAAATTAATAAATTTGCGTATCAAAAAACATTAGAACTTCCGAAGAAATTTTTTTGTGTATTGAGTTCAGCCAAGTACTCACTCGCAGACGCTGCATATTATAAATATATTAAGACTTATAAAATATTAATTATGAACTAAATGTAATAGTTAATAAGTACACTGAGTGGAAAGATTATTTTTCAAATAAGGTGAAATAAATGATAAAATATTATTTTTACTTTATCGAACAAAGTGATTTTCTCTAAACAATTGATTGACAATAGAATTTATTTGAAACAATATAACTGCTTGATAAGTAACTAAGTAATTATTTATATTTTTTTACATAAAAAAATAAATTATTTAATTCGAAGTAAACTCGTCTCTCAGTGTAGAATATTTTTATTCGAGTATTTTTTCTATTTGAATATATTTGCACGTATACATTATACATTCAAGTCTATATTTGTATGTAATTTAATCATTTTTGTAATCATCAAGATAATTTTACTTGATTTATATAATATACTATATACAAAAATATTCGAAAAATATAATCGATCATGAATAATTAAAATTCATCATCTTTTCATTATGCTTCCTAGAATATTTATTACAGCAAGGAAATCATTTTTTGTTCAAAAATAATTTCTTTACATGTTACCATGAAGAAAAAAAAAATATAAAAAAACTGTTATTGATAAATATTTAATTTACAAGAATAAATTATCATGTTTGAAAATAAATATATGTATACATACTTAAGAAAACAACAATGAAATAAAAAAAATGTGTTAAAAGTATATTAAAAAATTCCAAAAGCGTGCCTAAATGAAGCCTGCGCATAAAAAAATTCATAAGTAAGAAGATAAAAAGCAAATTATGCAACGAAACAAAACACTTTACTGAAAAAACAAGTAATGAAAATTAATAAAAAATTTTTTGCACGCATATGAAAAAATGTATCAAGACACAAATCCAATAATTACAGTGCTATCGAGCTTTCAAATTGACATAAAACACAGGTTTGCTGTTGTACCAAGACCATTATACCAAGTAATAAAAAATGATTACCCAGACATTGTTTCACGTTTTTTATAGCACATAATACATATATATTAGTAGTACATATGAAAGCAGAAGAACGTTGTCTTTTAGCGTAGGAGCGTCGTGTCTCATAATTATTTGCACTTTCTCTAAAGCAACACTGGAGAAGATTCAATATTCTTGATGACACACCTTCACTTCTCGTGCAAGGAGTCAATTTAAACGCATGTATGCGTGCACCGTAGTGACTTCTTTCATTCTCTCCCACTTGTATTCATCTTCATCAAGAGAGGTTGGTCTATCCTTGAATCATTAAGTAGTGATAACTTATCAGCTCCCGACGGTGGTAATAAGATTCTACAACGCATAAACTTTTGATGCACCTGTTTAATATTCAAGAGAGAATGAACGATCACTTTCGTGTGGTTTCTGTCGTTTTCATTATCTCACTGCTCAGTAAGTCCATCTAATTAAAAAAATATATTTTTTATGTGTCGTTCACTTTAACAATTGCCACTAGAATATCATTTAAAAGTTAAATTATTTTTCCAAGTGAAACAATTGAAAAGCATCCTCTATAAAAATTGGACTATTCAATTTAATTGAATCATTCTTTTCCATGTCTGAGGCAATAAACTTGAATTAGTTTTTAATTGAAATAAAATACAATGAGTTGTTTGTTAAATGTTTACTTAACTATTTTTTCTAGTTAAAAAAACATGTGGAGATAAGCTCTGGTGTTACGAATGCAACACAGATCTATCGATGGGACACAAGAGAGATTGCAACGACCCTTATTTACCTGGTTCTGCAATCGATCTCGTCGCTTGCCCTGAGGACGAACCTCATCACTGTCTCAAAGCACTCATATATTGTACGTAAGCAAAAAAGAAAATGAAAAAATAAAAATAGGGCATGATGAGAATGAGATGAGAAGAGAGAATTATTCAATTTTCCGTATTCACAGTTTGTTCTCACCGACGTGCAAAGTGACTCAGGCTAGAGATAAAGAGACCACAGTTATTTTAGAGTAGATTTCACGTGAGGTATTCGTGTTTTATATTCATGTGTTAGTTTACACTCATTTACAAAAATTATGCCTTTCTGTATTTACTTTTTTCATACTTATTTTTACTTTTTATAATACTTCTTAGTTAAAATTACTCTTCATGAACTTCCGACTATTTTTAAATACTTCTTGGTGACAAACATTGAATTTATCTTTAGTCAACCAGTAAATTAGATAAAAAAAATAAACACATTTGTACTTGAGAGTCATAAAGGTAATATTTAATTATCTTTCGTATTGCGTAGGAAGCTTGAAAAGAATAAAATAAAATATATGTGAATAAAGAAAAAAATTTGTTCAATATTCAGTGCATAATATTTTTTTTTTCACATTGTCTAACTCTGAGACAATCACTCGTAATGGAATTTTTTATGTACATTTTTTTTTATCATCTATTTATAAAGTTTTTATCGCAACCAGTGTTTTATAAATAAACTAAATTGATTTGCGATTTGAATGAACTTAATTTACACGTTGATTCATTCTACTCGTGTGCTATAACACTCTTCAAAGTGGAATGAAGTTATTTAGTCTGATTTATTATTAAAGAATTTAGTTTTAAAATAATCACCTTGTTGATAATTTAAAAAATTTATTGTTTACTTAAACTTCCACTTATTTATGATGCTCTAGTATTCCAGAAAGTTTTAATCCATAAATTTTTTTACAGATAAAAATATTCATGCGACATTAAGGAGTTGTGTTCCATCACGATTTAGAAACTCTTATTGCACGACCAATGACAAGTTTCCGGAGGCTCTTGTCACCTGTACATTTTGCGAAGAATATGCTTGCAATCTATCACCGAGGCTTGCGGTGCGATTGTCGACTTTACTGATGATATTTTTACCGTCAGCACTTATCGTCACTTGCAATCTCTATCACAAACTGTGACACTAGTTTTATGAAGGAAAGCTTAAAGTAAAATTGCGATACAAGGTCTCAATAGATGATAAAAATGAAGAATAAAAATCACTTTAAAAGACATTGTTAATTTTAACTTCTATTTTGTTAATAGATTTCACATCTAATTGCTCTGAATAAAAAAAAATGTCAATCGATGCTAAAGGAAGTGTCTTAGCAAAGTAACAACCGGAAAGACGAGTTGTCTCGATATAGAAGTTGAAAATTAAATAATCCTGCGAATAGAGGTGAGGCAAAAGAGACGAAGATGAAAAGATGAAATGAGGAGATAAAGAGGAATGAGGAAAAGGAGGTGATACATACAGACTATATATTATTTAAGACTTTGTTAGCATATGTATGTAACAATACTGAACAGAAGAAATAAATGTGTGTAAAGATGAGCAAAGGAACAGGTCAAATGGTCGAGTCAATTTGGTAATGCTTCGTAGGGTTAAATACACTCGTGACCCTCATCTTCAAGTCGGCTACTTTAACGAGACAGAGGCCTCACTTTATCTTGGCAATATTAAAGATCATAACAAAAATACTAACTAATTTTTAGCCAATGACATATTTTATAAATATTTTGTCATAATCATTATTTATTATGGTGACTAATCGATAGTTATTTTTTATTTTTATTGGAAATATTTTTGTAACAATAAAATATCATTTAAGTGCACACAGTACAGGTATTTTTGTAATTCATTTCATTTAGATCTTGGAGTAATTAACGGTTTTATTATTGCATATTATGATGAGTATGTGCGTACATGGGTATGTAGATGTGAGTTGGAGAATTTAATGAAGGTAAACGAGTAAATGAAAGAAGTACGGGGGTAGAAATGATATGAATTAATATTACGTGTCTAATTATTCTGAATTAAACAAGATGAATACATGTTTTTTTTCTTTCGCCACACAAAAAATTTGGCTTCCAAAGAAATTTCATCATAGATAAGTACAAAATTCACCATTAACTACACCCAAAAACTGATTATGTACATTTTTTAATCTAGTTGATTAAATTTTACTTCTTCCATTTTATTATTGATATGATGAAAAAAAAAATATTTTACAGCTACTGAGCTCATCTTTATTTTATAAACTTATCTATGATTTTCAAATCGACACCACCTAAGAGCCTAGATCATCAATTTACTTCTGACGCATCGATTTAAATTTCCACTTGACTAGTGATTATTTCTTCCTTCAGTTTTTGTAATGCATGAGTGAATCTTTAGGATCATGGTGACATTTCTCAGACATTGAATGTGTTGTCTTATCGTGATATGTCATGGTGAAACATATCTACACTGAAGACAATAACAGTAGTGGGGATTTTTGATACGAAACCATCACATATAATAGCATAATAACAAAATGACCATCGTAGAAGAAGGGAGTGTCGTAAGTAGAGCTTTCCACGTTGCAGAGGGGTGATCCCTGTTTGTTCTGTTGCAGCGTACACGAACTGCATCAGTACGAGCGTGACTACTGTCTGTATCACATAGACCATCATCTACTTATAACATATCTAGTGTTCTCCACTATCGTGTATCTAAATAAAGAATAAATCGATTTACGGAAATGGCTTCGAACTCTTTTTGGATTCTTGCTCTGGTTGCTTTTGTTTTTCTCATCCAATCAAGTAATGTATTCGTTTTTATTTTTATTTTTCCAATACTAAAAGGTTACTTTATTTATATTTATTTGTTTAAGCATTTTGATGATGATTCGTCAGTGGTTATTTGTTTTAATTCGATTAATTGGACGAATAATGATACTGTTATTTTTATCATTGATAATAGGTATTCTGAAATGCTAAAAGAGAGATGATTTATTAGTCTCACCAAGATTTATTATTTTATCGCATATTTCAAAGGTGTCTCGCTGGTCAACACGTGACACTTTGTGAGTGCGCCATAAATAATAATTTAATTGGTAAACCATCGTGCTACACTTGACATGTGTATATTGACAAGCGACAGAATTCACGTGTTCAATTTATTCTTCCATCATTATTATAAAAGCTAAAATAAACTAAAAGCCATTCAGAATAGCACAAAAATTTTCACGGAAAAATTATTAACATAAATGGATGGAATGAATGTCAAAAATATTCCTTTTTCATTCAACTATGAAATAGTTGACGAGATAATAAAATTTCCACTTAATACAGAATAAGGAATGAAGCAGAAATTCTATTCCGCCATAAAAATGCTTTGGTTTCCATTAATGTGCTAAACCAACCCAAGAATAATACTTTTTTTACTATGCTATCGTCTGTTATATTTATTCGTCGAACAGTTTTACATTCCTCTGTGTGAAACTTAAATTCGCGAAATTATTGATGTAAATCGGGCGCAAGGACATTTATTATTACTATCTTATTTATATTCCAAAATTTTCCGCGAAAATAACTCTCGTAAAATAAAAAAATATTTAAAAAAAGATTCTTTAATTATCAGCATTGAACAAGAAAAATAAAAATGAGTCATATCTGGGTGTTTTTATTATGATATCCATGAAGCATTTATAGTCTCAGTAATTAAAATTATGTGCTTTGTGTATTTCTAACAACATGAGCTGCAATCTGGTGTGGTAAATACGAGTATTACGCAAAGGTAAACTACTTCGATGCGGTCATCAATGGTATAACATGTCTGTTACGAAATCGCTAAATAGAAAAATGACTTATAAATATTCTATTTTATGAAGTATTTCACGATTGTCTCATCCTTTATTTAACCACGACAATATTATCTCGACGAAATTCTCGAAAGACTCATGAATAAACGTAGACAAGCAAGAGTTATTGAAGATGATTTAAAGGCAAAGATAAAATAGAAAAGCAAACAAGACAAATGAACTTATTCGAATGTATTTTGCGTGAACGATTAATTGTTGAGTAATTTTAGTATCAAATAATAGAATCATTGAATGGTTTAATTCCACAGGCGTGTCACTGAGATGTTGGACCTGCACTTCCGACCGCAGCCCTGAGTGTGGTGATCCAATGAATATCACCCAGCATCACAAGGATTTCCATACTAGAGATTGTGAAGCCACAGCGAGCCAGAATTCTTATGCATATAACGAACGATCGATTTGCAAGAAACTCGTCCAACGAGGTAAGAGACAATACACCTTTTCAATTATTAATATTATACGTTGCTTGAATAGAAAATGAAGTAATTTTGTCTAAAAGAATATTTGACCAATTTGTCAGTAATAACTACGAGACTCTTATTTATGCAAATAAGCGTTTAGTATTAAGTTGAGTTAATATAGTAATGTCAGTAATGTCCCATTATTATTTATCATCTACAATTAGTGGATTTCCTGCAAGAACCTTTTTTAGATTCCAGACAGTAAATAACCGTTGACAATATGACTTATGAACTTATTTTATCATCATCTATATCTTCACTCGTGTATTTTTAACAATTAATTCATCGCAAAATTCATATGTGGGAGTATAGTAACAAGTAGTATTGTTATGTGTAGAGTAAGAAGTATAAACGTGAGAATCAGATGTTTAATTCAGAGAATGACGCATTGACTTGTGTTATACTCTCGACTATTCATCATATATATTTGTATATGTTATAGATATGTATTACATAGGAAGAAAAAATGTGGAAACAAAACTTGTATATAGAATGTTGTTGTTTCTTTTTCACATGCACGGTGACTCATCATCTCAACCGACCATGTTAATTAACTCTACGCAGTAGATATTTCATGGCCAATGTTCCACCCATTTTGAATTACGAATAATCGTTTTGTCCATGTTTTGAAATGAGTTGACAAATACATAACGCCAATTTTTTTGCTCATTATTTTTTGACTTTTAAAAATACGATTGGAAAATCTGACAAAGTAATGATGTTTTTAATGAGATAATTTTAATAATTGGAGAAGATAAAATTGGTTTATTTTTTATTTCTTCAATATGGAAAGTTATTTTCAATAAAAAGATTTTAAAAAAGCAAGAAATATATTTCAACAATTACTTTTTATCCCCATAGTAATCTACATTTAACTGGTTCATGACTTCTTGGAAGCCATTAATTTTCGAAAAAAATTAAGTAGACTTCACCTGTAATTTCCATTTGTGAAAAATACTTCCGGTGTTCAACATTCAACTGCTGCCTTTCTAATTAATTACCACCGGAATCATTACTTTTTCCAATTCAACCTTTTTCGAACTAATTATTCACGTGGAGCCATTTTTCATGAACACAATAAAAATTGCAATTAAAAGAACAAATTTGATTCTCACTCAGTTTACAACTGGACAGAATAATCGACAGTGTTAATTAAAGAACAATTGACAATAGTTAGCTTCTGATTAACTGTAATTTAATCGATGCTGATAGTAATCTGATTTTATTATGAAAACAGTAATTAGAGTTACATAATATTTATTGTATTATTTGTGCAGAAAATGGAAGAGAGGTTATCCGACGTTCATGCGAGATCCCCGGCCCAGAAGAAAGAGACATCACCAACGGACCTTGTGCATCTCATGACTCAACCCACAGCCATGTGACTATTGTATCATGTCACATTTGTAATACAGATCTCTGCAATTCTGCCACGTCTTTGTCCGGTTCACAAATTTTGTTCCTTACAGCGATTGCTTTCGTAGCTTCTTCATTTGTACCTGCTATCAAGTCGTTTAGCTTCTAAATTATCAGGCATAAAATAGAACACTTATCATCTCTAAGAGATTTTAAAACTAATTATCCATTCATATTATTATCATAACTATATGATAGTAATAAATACAATACTGATTATTATTTTATTTTATTTAAAGAATAATATTAATTCAATTGTTAGATTAAATAATTGAGATACAAATGGATAATAAATTTCACTTTATATATTTTTCTTACATAAAATTAATCTGATGATAAATATTAATAGATATAGTTAATCATTTTACTAACTTAAGTATTGAATATTTGGTAAGTAAATTTAACATTGGTTTCGGTTGTGCATTCATCAATGCTATTGATTTACTTTAAAACACATGATTTGTTGTAATAAAAAATTAATTGAGTTAGAAAAGTATTAAATATTTTTTTAAAAAAGATACTTCTATTAGATATTAATTAATAATGAATATGAGCAATCGAAATCGCAAAAATGTTATTGTTAGTACTTTCGAAGTAATTTTCAATTTTCCTGACACAATTGATCTATTTTTTATGAATAGTGAACTCTAAGCAGTAATTTTGACGTTTTATTGTTGTCCTTTTTGTTAAATTATTATTATTTTGTTAAATAAAATCAGTCTAAAATAAAAAATTAAAACACAATAACAAAACAAGTTTTTCGACTGGAGAATATTTCAAAAAAACAGTACGAACTTTTTGTAAAAATATGTTACTACTCAATTGATTTTTCTATTTTTTGGATTTTTGAATAAAAAAAAAAACATAAAGACAGAAATCGGCGCAAATTTGCACCGCAGGTACAAACAAAATACAAACATGTATTGTAATTTTTACATATATACATATATATATATATATATATTCTTTACTTTACGTTATTACTTTCCCTATTGATAATTGTATACTTAAGACTCCCTCCTCAATTTATATTCTTCCATTCATCTTTGTAATAATTTAATAATCTAATTTCTTATTCGCGTGAAATCTTCCTCTTGAATTAAGTTAAAATTCCCAATAGAAAGTGCTCTCATGCGCAAAGTAAATAAAATAGAAATGAAATGGAAAAAAAAAATTGTGGCTTATCAGGTATCCGTCCAAAAGATGAAATATTGCCACGGCTGATTATTATTTAATTAGATAATCGCGAAATTTTAGTTTTAAATAAAATTCGCATCCGTGGATTTGATTAACCATTTCTTATTTTTATTTTTATCTCATATAATTGAATTTTTACTTTATAGTTTATTTGTTTCATAAAATTGTAATTAATCTGTCAAAATAAATCACTTTCATTGCTAGCTTATTAAATATTCTATATTCAGTTCAATAAGTCGATTTTTTTTCTTTTTATCACTAGCATATCCTAATATTAAAAAGTATCATGCTCTCGTTTAGAATTTTATTAAAACAATTTTATGTACACTGAGAAAATTTTGGAGTAAACACTGTTTTTAACAACTAGAAATTGTCGCATGTTCATTTGATTTGGTTCTTTAAAAGTAATTTTTACTTTTTTTTAATTTGTTTTTACTTTACGTGTAATTTGGAGTAATTTTCGTTTCAAAAAGTTTTTCAGTGTACTTCAAGTAAATTTAGAAGTTCTTCGAAAACACAAAAAGTGAAAATCACTGCAAGAGAAGAGTATTCATTGATCTTAGAGTGATTTTTACTATTTTATTTTAAAACAAATTAAGAAGTATTTTACAATTAGTCAGTTCCAGACTTCATAGAAATTAACATCGAAATTACTTATTTTGGAGTAAATTGAAGTCTTCATTTGGAATAATGTTTCATACTTATAATTAGATTATCATATTTCAAGGTTAATTAATGCTGAGTATTTTTTACTTCACTTTAAAACAAACTCTATTCGTAATCATCGAGTAATTTTCACATTGTCATTTTCTCCTTGCAAGTACTTGTTAAAGATGACAATGATAATTATTAATGAGTAAGATAAGCCTAGAATGAACTTATTATCACTCATTGTTTACAAGATATGAATCTTTGATGAATCTATTCAATGATTAATGTAATGTTTATCAACAAATAGTTGTATCATAGCAACTACCTGTTTTATTTTTCTTGAAACTTGATATTCTGTCATTTACATTACATTACGAGCTATCACGTTCGAAATTCCTCTTTTAAAAAAAAATCTGCTAATGCAGTGTAAATATAGAGTTATACATTTCTGAATGTACTCCAAGTCAATCACCAGCTTTCCAGTTATACTTTTAAACCGAGTGATATGATTTAGATATACAGTCACTATAAAGTTATAATTTATTTCTATTCTTGTATTCAATATAAATTTCGAAAGTTGAAATATCTTCTAGGAGTATCGATATATTTCAAAAGATCCTTTTTCGTGGAATAGTATCAAAAAAAAATGTAAGAGAAACCTGGTTCTTATGTTTCTTCTTCTTATGATTATAATTTAATGCACTTATATATTACTATTTGGATGAAATTGCGCGTCTAGCTACTATACGTATGATAATTTTCGTGCCAAGGCCAGTGGCAATGGTGGTGATTATAATGATACGATCTCTCCCCGTGAGCCAAATGTAAATGTGGGTGTTGGCATCTACGATACATTGCCATCGGTACGTTGGCAGTTAATCGCTCAATGACGAGGCATTTAACCGTCTGAGACAGTTTTTTTAACTTGTACTTACATATCTTTCATATGTTCTATTTCAATATATAACAATAATGCTCAAGGTAACATGAAATTATTTCTCAAATGTTATCATTAACTTGAAATATGATGCCAATAAAATTCAGTTTTTCATCTGGAAAAGTAAATCAATGTCCATAAAAGTAACAGTTAAGAAACAAAATTGATTTATTTTTAAATATATATAATAAAAATGTCTTATTTATTTTTGTCGATGTTTTGTATAGTTATTTATTCTGAACATCGCAAAGTTTTGTTGGAAAATGACTTTTAGATCCTAAGGGACTTGGAACTTTCATTGAGTTACAAACGCGTGAGTGAACTCTGAGATTACATTTTTATCAAGTGTTGGATCACAACGAAAAACTCACTAACATTAATTTTTTACAAGAGAAATTATAACTTTTAACTGAATATCTTGTAATAACTGTAAATTGAATAAAATCATTACAAGAAAACTCACCAGTAATGATTCAACCATTTCTTAAATGATATATTTATTACTACTGAAAAATATATTTACATTATGTAATTTTTATCAATAAAATAAAAATAATCTATGTGGAAAACTTTATATACTAATACTCATAATACTAATCATATAATTTAATCACACATAATAACAATTACAAATGATTTCCAGTATAGGTAATTAATTGCATCATTCCCGACTCATATAATAACTCTCATTATTATCAATGGCACGAAAATTGTGCATTCGACATACAAAGTCACGTAAACATAACAATATAGTTTTAATGGTAATAAAACATTAAACAAACTAATTGGAAAAAAATTACTAGCAGTACTAATACGTGAATTACTAAACTATTGAGTAGAAGTGCAGTAAAAAAAATCTCCAACTTCATTAACTTCATCTAAAGATTTTTAGTATGAATACAAATTTTTCTGAAATCTATTCAGAATAAGAGAATAAAACTAAAAAGATTTATGGTAATTAATTTAAATTTTAATACGATTATCCGCTGCGATTATTCATCGTAGCTGTACCGGGAAACTTGGCGTGTGGATCACAACGACAGACGCAGCAGGATGGAAAGAGAAACCAGTCCATAAAAATACCTTTGCAATCATCTTCTGGATCATAAGCAAGCAGCCTATGCCATTTGTACTTCTGCTCGCAGCCACACTCACCAGAGCATCGATTTGTTTGAGTTTTTCTAGAATAAAAATACCACTTGTAAGAAGATGTATTCAGAATCCTACATTTTTTTAGTTTTTAAAAGAAAAACCAAGTATTATCTGAGAAAAATTGATCCACTTACGAACAGACTTCTTGATGAATTGCTTGTTCAAAGTGTTGAGTGTTTACGATAGCTCGAATTTTTCCTGCACTGTTGCTTGCCCAGTAGGGAGTTACAACTTCGACTTTAGACTCACAAACATCAACTCTAGAACAACAAAAGTAGAAAAATAAAAAATTGACTAGTTGGAAAAAGTGTGAATTATAGTTTGTTGGAAATTACCTTCCAGTATCATTAGGAGTATTTTTAGGAACATTCTTAGGTGCTTGTCTTGTATTTCTAATTTGACTAAAAAAGGAATCACCACCTTCAACAGTTCCTGGTTTTAATGGATCTCTTCTTAGACTTGGTCCTCCATCAGGAAAATCATAATCGTCAAAAGATCTTCTTTTTCTTCTTCTTGGCGATGAACTCGTCTCAGGACCATGATCTTTGTCCATTTCAAAATCTCCATACATTCTTTTCATCAGAGCTTTATTTTCATCTATAAATAATTCTATTCTTTCTCTGAAAAGAGGAAAAAAATTGTAATTTCAGTGTGTAATTTAACATAAAAGTTTCGTGTTAAAAAAATTCAAACTCACATAGGATAAGTTTTACCAGCAGTAGGACAAAATAACTGGTGATATTTTTTAATACACGGTGTCCCTCGGACGAGATCTCCTCGTAATTCAACTCCCAATGCCACTGACAAAGCCGTCCACAAAATCTGCATAAAAAAATAAAAAAGTTATACAAGAGAAAAAGTTTCTATTACGAGTATGACAAACAGTCAAGTAACTTATGAGTCAACCCAAGTTATCGAGAATGACATTTATTCATAATAGCAATCCGACATTTTTCTTTACTTTGCTCGACCCTTGAGTTATATTATAAGAAATGAGAGTGAATATACATGTTGATTCAAGGTTGTAACCAATGAAGCATATTGAACCATGCTGAGTTGTTATTCCGGGTTCGTCAACCTTCTATCAGTTCACCTACATCACTTAAATATTTCTCGATCATAACAATTTATTTCCATTACTGTCTTAGGAATATCTTAAGATAACACCAATAATATCTAAACCTCAACTTGTCAATATTAACTTAAAGATGATTAAAAAACCATTTTTTAACACGTAAAAGTGAAACTTATTGTGTCATTCGGCCTCGACTTTGAATAGTAAAGAAGCTGGTACTTTTACCACCTGAATACACACATTAACATGCAACAACTGTAAACCTTACCGGTAACATCTGGCATATTCCTTGTGCATTAATGACTAACGTGCGTGACTTGCTAAAAAATTAATGAATCAGAACGAGGTATTTCGAAATCATTTGAAATAAAAGACGAAGATGATCCGGAAGTATATTATGTATAATTAATGTTTAAAAAAATCTCTTGAGATAAATAATAATATTATTATTTTATAAATAAAACTTTAGAGATATCAACATTCATTAATTCAAACTTTTTATAGATTAAATTAAGTAAGAGTCATAAAAAATTCTTCATGCTTTGTTTACTTTTTATTTGCATATTTATTTATTACTATTTACAAGAAATTTTATTATCCATGAACATTGAGTAAATATGATAATAAATAACTGGATATGAAGTTTTAACAGTATTTTCTTTATTATAAAAAAATAATTTATTATAAAAGTAGATTTGTTTGTATCGGAAATTTTTTATTGGATGCGATTTTATTTGTTCTTTTCTGAAAATAAAAATAAAAGTTCGAAGTATTGCATTATCATAAAGATAAATATAAAGTGCCAATTGATATAAACTTGCATCAGGTAAAATCTAGCGTACAATAAAATAAGCACGTGTATCATTTTATTCTTGATGAGGGGAATTCCCTGTTTCATAATCGAGTGAGATCATATGTGTGTGTACATATTACATTATCATATACGGAGAGAGAAGAGAGATTGATATAAAAGAAATTATTTGATTAATTACACGTCTTCATTTATAATCCCACAATACCTCTATCCATCTATTCAATCATTCTAAAAAAATGTTGACTTCCGTTTATTATCTTTTCTACCTACAGACAAGCTACAATATTCGAAAGGTACTGCGATATTAATGTGAGTTCTAAAAAGATTGGTACTTGGTTGAGAAAAAAATTGTTAACATCAGTTGGAGTAAAAAGTTATAAGGAAAGTAAAATTAGCGATACTTTTCTGGTATGCATCAATTAGTGTTAAATAAATTAATAAAATTATCAAAGATTTGTTGAATGTCGAGACGGAATAACCAGTTTTTCTTGAATTTTATCAATAGTGATATTAGTGAAGAAGAAAATAATTTTGAAGATTTATGTTGTCTTACCAAAATCATTAATGTCATAAAACAAGCTTGTATTATATTAAGAATACAGTTTTTGTAATTGATGAAGGTAATGAAAATTTTATGCGAAATAAAGTTTTATGTGAATAATAAATAATTTCAAAATTTGATGATTTTTTGATGACAGAATGTCAAAGTCAAATTGAATGTAATTGAAAAGAGCGATATGTTTCACAAATTTTAGCAATTGAATATTCATCTAACTTTAGAAAATTCGAATTATACATTCATGTAATCTATTTTTCATGCTGATAAAAAATTAATTTTGAGTAATGAATATTCATTAGTATTTGACATCTAAAATTAATTTGAAAATGTGTTTTAATATCTGAAGCAATTAAACCGAATTTTCTGGAAATTTGAGGTCAAATAAAAAATAATTATATTGTCTGAACAAAATTTACACACATTGATCGTGAATATTGGAAATAAAAACACTGAAATTAGGTGCATTTTATCAATATTATAGTCGATTTTTCTCATCTCGAAATATGTTAAAAGTGATTACATTATTAATCAAATAAAAGATGCCAAAATCAAACGTTTTGTACAATAAAGAAGAACGCTTAAATTTGAATTGTGTGATCAAGAAAGTAGGTATAAAGTTCAACATTTGCTGTTGATTTTAATACGTGAAGAGTTTTAGAGCATAATTATTGATTCACCATAAAAATCGGCAACTACAGTCACATCATATTACTGAAAAATATTTTATAGGGATTTTTTTACATTTATTTAACAATAAAAAGCAAATAAAACTGCAAATCTGTGAAATTGCTAGACATAAAAATGTTTTAAGAGATTTTCAAGAATTATTTAAAAATTATGAAAATATCATTTGAACAAAATGATTTATCAAAATGTTTAAATAATAAATAAATAAATGAATATATTTTCATGAATCAAGTATTGACAGCTGATACAATACAGTAGTTAGCAAAACTTATGGTACAAATTCTTTCCTACCAAGAGACTTGCAGTAAAAGGTAAAATACAATTTATCTTCCATTTGATTTATCTCTATTTCTCTGCGATTAAAAGCATTAATAATTGATTGATTCAATAAAACTATATATGAAGAAAAGGTTGTAATTATTGTATAATTATGTTACGATAGTTTTCATTAATCATTAAACGTCGATAGTCTGAGTAAAGATTTATCATTAATTAATCAATTATAATTTGCTGAAGCAAAAAATTTATTTTTATTCAATTAATAAACTGAAGATTATAAAGAAAATGCTTTCATCAATTACATCAACCTTTAATGCAAATGCAGCTCGATGTGAAATATCAATTTCAATACAATCAGTAGTACTGGAATCAGCCATATAATAGGATTGAATAAAATAACAAAGCTCATGAAACTGGCATCCTGAGTTCTCGATCAGTGAAAGGATCACAACAGGAATCAGAATCGACATTGAACCGATTAGACGACCAGATCTCTCACACGTTGGTACTCAGACATCGCTGGGATCAGCAATAAACGGCGCCGGAAAGATTATGAAACGAAAATCGTACTATTTTCGAGTTTTTAAATGTATTAAAGAGCGATAAAAAGGTGCGGATTTTTACAACACACTGATTTACAGTTAATTTTATGATTGCTTCTTTTCTCGCCCGCATAATCTCCAACTAAATGTGCAATGAATTTCCTGCTCAAACGATTGCATTGACTTTACACTTATTATTATATAAAATAATGCAATTTGTTTTAAACCTTTTTTAATTATTTTTTTGGTTTCATTTTTCTCTTGGCACGGAAAAGGGCTTTTTTAGTTAATTTATTTTTATTTTTTAATTCAACATAGAGACAAATTCCGTGCCAAGAATAACGTTCTTTTGATTGCGCAGGAAGAAGACGTAGAAAAATTACTCAAAGTGAGGAGGCCAAAGTAAGGTCACATTCGCTTTCTTTTCTTATTATAAATACACTTTATTATCGTTGGAACAATTTAGCACGATCAATTGTGTTAACGAAAAATTAAATATCTTCAAAAAGGCGTCAGGTATCTGAGATCTTTTAAGGATTTAAATAACTTTATCTTATGTGTGGAAGAAATAAGACATGAAAAAATTTGAACACGTAAGGGTAATTATATATTGTTATTTGTAACACTTTATCCTTAATTGTCCATATGAAATTACTTATATCCTGTTTTTAAAAGTTTAAAAAATGTGTCACAATATGTCAAAAACAGTGATGAAGTTTATGATGTTTTATCGAATTAAGGAAGTTTCAAAAACTTGGGAATTAGTAACTTTAGTTTTTTTTTCATTAAGTTTCATGGGAAACAATATTTATTATACCAAATAGCATATTAAATTTTTGTAAAATTGTCTTCCAATATTTAATTCATTATTTAGACACGAGATTAAAATATTTAAATGATTCAATTGTTTCTATTAGTTTCGTAGCAAGTGGTTAATTTTGTATACTGAGAAAAAAGTGTGTGTCAAGTTAAAAGTTACTTGAATTAATAACATATGTTTTTGAGTCTGTGTCAAGTGGATATCGATAAGAATTAAATTGCTTCGTTTAAAAAGTTTGAATAAAAACATATAAGTGTGTTTATTTCAAATATTCACACAATTGATCAATTTTAATAAAATAAATGATACATTTGATAACAATACTTATTTTTGCAATTCATCTATATAAATCATAGTAATATAATAATGAGTAAGGAATATCACCATGAGCAAATTTTCAACTGTTTCGTATCAAAACATTATTTAAATTTTTTGTTTTCTCAATGATTAAAAAAAATTAATGAATATGGAAAATTAATTATTGTTATCAAATTTATAATAAAAATAATCGTGAATGAAGTTAATAGATCTTCTTTAATAAATGATAAAAATATTAAAAGCTAGCCCTTATAATTTGAATAAACCTTGCTTATTGAATACTCTAATAATCGTTAGTGTATATTTCGATTAATGTCTGATAAAAAAATAAAGTTCTTTAAAAATTTAAATACATTCAATTGTTAAAAAAAAAAAAAAAATTTCTGTTAATCTTTTTTCCCCAAGAATTCGTTTATTGAAGCTATTTGGTTTTAAACCACTACTAAAGGTTATTTATTAAAGAAAGTGTTGATAAAATAAAATGTCAAACACAAATCCTCTAACTACACCTTCCATTCTTAAAAATCTAAAAAAAGGATTTTCCTTGGAATTTTACGACAGTATTGTTTTCGTAATGAGTTTTACAGTTAATTGATCGTGGAATAAAAAATAGAAGTTCAGTAAAAAAGAGTAACTGAAAAGGGCTGGAAAACCTTCTACTCTGCCCCCAATGTCATCGGCTGTCACGGCCTTGCAGGATTTAGCTGGTTATAAATTGAATACCTTCACTTCTACTTCTTATAATGATTTTAATACGAAAATAAACATTCACTACAGAGGAAGAATTAAAATAAAATATATTCACTGAATTTAAACAATAATAGCTTAATTCCTATTAATTTACAATGAGATACAATCAGAGAAAATTATTGCTCTGCAATCCTAATCCGTGGGTGTGAGAACAGTTTGAAAGGATCAAACTTTATGAAATGCCATGAGGGTGTGCACTTATTATGCATAAGTACCATGATATAACAAAAAGGGCAATAAATAATTTATCTCACGTTCCTTGATGAAAGAACGAATCATTTTAGAGTGAAAAATTACTTACAGGTATTTGAACAAAGGTTCCATTATTGTATTGTGGGTATGAATAAAGAGGAACAACTGGAACCGTTCCATTCTTGAGGAAAATTGGTCCTTGAATTGGAGTAACTCTTGGGTTTTTCGGAATATTCTCATCATAATAGTCATCTCCGTTGTTTGTTTCATCATCATCATCATCATAGTCAATGACTGCATGAACTGAAGTTTTTGCTCTTGGATTTCCATAAGATCCACTACTCACTTTGGTGTAACTACGAACAAATTAAAAAATAAAATCAATTTATCAATTAAGTGATATCATTGGCGTAAAAGTTTAAATGTTAGCGAAATAAAATGACACAGTTTAAGGTGTAATTATTTTATCATCTCTGAAAGTATATACCTATACTCAGAACTTATTAAAAATACTTTCAATAAGTTCTGAGAAGACACTAAAAAAAATTTCTCTCGATTCATTTCCTATTACGCGAGTATATATGTTCCATTAGTCACGCCCGTTCCTCTCTCCCGCTTTCGCTCAATGACGATTCCATTTCAAGTTAAAAAGTATTGTGTCCAGAGAAATGCAAAATTAAAAAGTACAGATGGAAAAAAAAAATAAGAAATAATGAGTTGGAGAGGATAAAAAAAAATAAAAAGAAGAAAAATTAAGTAAAATGAGAATTAAAACGAAACTGAAACTGATCTCGTTTTTCTCACACGACGAAATTTCTCTTTTGGAAACCTAAAACCAATGTATGATTTTGACATACTTGGTTTCATATACTTGGAATAAATAATCATTTTAAAATACCAATTCTTCAACGAAATTTTGCAATTATTTATCGTGAACAATCTAAGTTTATGTACTTCAAATTAGTGATAATTTTAATGTATCTTTATTTACCCTTCAGGATGATCAGTAAAATGATCTTGATCTTGGTTAGCCTGAGGGACATTGTGATTTGCTACACTTGAACTCTGTCTTTGAATATCTACCGGTGAAGGTGGTCTCATTTCCTGATCAGGTTGAATGTGAGACTGCTCTCTCGGTGGTATTCTTCTATAGTCATCTTCATAGTCATTAAACCTTGTAGTCTGTGACGAATATTCTTGCTGGCTTTGAATGCTGGGAGTTTTATATTGATTTTGAGTTTGCGATTGTGGTTGCTGCTTGTAATATTGATAATTCTTTCTTTGTTGAGATCGTTCTTGGTGGTGAAATTGATGTTGTTGTCGTTGATACGAAACAGGCGGGAGGTACGGTTGGTTCTGAAAGTGACGTTCTTCATGGAAGTGTGAAGATGGTGGTAAAGCTGCGTTCAAACGCAGATTGTTTGCTGGAGTTTGTTCAGACATACTTGGATTAAAGAGGTATGATGGTGTAGCCACCGGAAACGGTAGACTAAAATTTGTTAAGGACATTTTAGAGACTAGAATCAATTTCTTTTTATTTTTTTAAATAATAAGATTTGTCTTTATCTAAAATAACTTTAGACTAGTATTTTTGAGTTATCATGTTGTTAATCTCATTGAAATTCCGGAGCTGTGTCAGGTGGATGTTAACTTCTATCATATCTTAAAGATGATCATAATAAGTTCGTTGCTACTGTTTTCTTGCTCACAGTTATTTTGAGCTATATAAGACATTTCTCTGTTCTTTAAAACGTGACACTTTAGACGGTGATTAATCGTCGTGTATAGGCGCCAGGCATTTATCCAAGTCTGGATCTGAAAAAGTAGCAAATATTAAATGAGGTTTCCGACGAACAAAAAATTTTAAAATCATTCGGCAAATAAACTTGATTTATCGATGGAATAATAATTAATTGCTCGACATTGTTGAGTGAAACTTGACGGACAAAGAAAGTAAATGTTAACCTGTGATATATAAAAAATACTTGTTTACATAAATTTCACAAAAAAATTTTATTTTGATTAAAATTCAATTCACAAAAAAACATTTTTATTTTTTTTATTGATTCCAAACACATTTCTTACTTTGTATCACATTTATCCTTTTTCATACTTGTAAACCTGCTCTTGATCCATTCACACATCATCTAATATACTACATACGAACTACTACTGGCTTTGTCAGCAAATAGGACCGCATCAGATCACACAGTTACTTTCTTTCAAGCCTTTCACGTGCCTTGAATAATAACCGATGGACTCTAAACTTTACTCCCCAAAGTCACGTTTTATTTCAAGATTTTATGATTCAATAAAATAACTTGTCGACGTAAAGCAGCATAATTTATAACTTTATACTATTATTTGAAAATTCAAATTTGAATATCAAAGGATATGGGAAGTGAAAAAAAAATGGAAATCTGTTGAAATTCAACAAAAAGTAAGCTTTTTGTCAAAAAATATTTCTATCACTTTTTGGACTTAGTATTTGAATAATAAAATCTCTATAAAAGCCTTAAACGTATGATCGATTCACACATCCAGAGAGTTAACCGAGCATCGATGACTGGCACCATTTAGCCTAACTGACAGCATGTACTTGGCAGCATTACTACGATTAAGTGCTTTCTTCAACCTGTCCCTCCCAACTAATTGAACAAGTTCTTATTAAGACATTTCTTATTTCAAACGTTAATGACCATGTTCAGAAAAAATTCCTAACTTTTTAAACTGTACAAGACAAGAAAACAAAAACAACTAAAAGTAAAATAAAATAAAAGTAAATTTCATTACCTCGCTTTAGTGAATTTTTGTCCATGAACAATAATTTCTCTACCAAGGATCTTCTTCTATTTTGTCAACAAAAAAACAAAAAAAAAACTTTCAAAGAAACTTTTGATAGTTGTTGTTTCCAAAGACCAACTTGATGATGAAGAATATCAGATTCAATGTTTCTACTTCCTATAACAGTTATCTTTGCTGTATCTCTTCAAACTTGATTGACAAGACAGATCGATAATTGGATGGTTCGCGTGCAGAAATAAGTGAGCTGCGAAACTGATAAACCGTAACGCTCGAATGGCGAACAACAACTGAAGGAAGTTGAGCTGAAGCGAATGGGGATAAGAGAGACGTGTCTCCATAGTAGTTGATCATAAAGAAGAGTATAGATACTTTCCAGGCAACTTCTATCTTCTTCCTACGTATGAATATTGATATAACTCACCTTCTTACTCTTGATTTCATGGTCCCACCATGTGTGTACCTGTTCCCCTACCAAAGTGTTGATTCTGTTCTTCATTTACATCTTCTTTCGAATTTAATTGCAAAAACACTTAATAAAAGTCGCTTTTGACTTATTTCTTCACTCTGTTCTTATTTCATAGAATTAATTGATGAGCTAAGACTCTTAATTAAGATTAAAGTATCAACTACCATCAGCTAAAAGAATTAAATTATAAATTTTCATTTATAAAAAGCCGATGAAGTAATTAACCAAAAGGATATCCGCTCCTGTTGAATCTTTTCCTCAGACTTTGATGAATTATTGTTATTATTACTGTTAATTACTCAGTTTAAGTGAGGAAAAAAAATGAGAACATTTATCCAACTCTTTATGTCTCAAGTAGTAATGAGACAATGGCAAAAACTATTAGCAGATTGAACATTCTGTTTTTTGTTGTTATTTTTATGTTAAAAAGAATTAATTAAATGAAATAGAAGATATTGAAAAAATTCTAATTTATATTGTAATTATTCATTCTGGTTATTGAAATGATTATTTAGTGTATCAAGTATTCTAGTATTAATGAAAAAAAGACTACCTGCTATACAATACCTGGTTAAACTTCTTTTTGTTCTACTATTCGTAGAGTAAAAAAAAATGAGTTTATTTCATAATCGAATTAAATTCTTTGTCGTGTTAAAAAAATCTGATAGAAAACGTGCGTGCGTGTCCTCGCGAATGAAAGATAAAAGAAAAGGAATGAAAGTAAATCCGGTTGCTTGTATGGAGAGTAGAGTCAAGATAAGAGTCTGTCAGAGAGCACAATCGATCGTTAATCAGCGGGTGGAGTGCGAAAGTAATTTTATTTATTCATATACTTGGTTTTCCGTCGCCAATTAACCGTAAACCCATGACAACACATAATAATTCAACCGGAACTTGTTACTAAGCTGAAACACATAAAATAGCGCCAACTTTGCATTAGTTCATGTAATCTCGGATGCTTACTATATGGTGAAATAAGACTTCATGAATTTGTTCATGCTCTTAGTACAGCCCTCGTTTGCTCTCTTTACTTCATTTATGTTAGACTAGACTAAACGAGTTCTTGATTTCATCATTTCTCACGTCACACGTGTCCAACATGACGTGATTCACTGGCTAAGCATTTAAGGCTTTCTCTACTTTGTTGGAGATTCTGCAGTATTGATTGCATGCAAGAATTGCAATAGAAGATTTGAACACAAAATATTTTGTTATGTATGTTTATTCTCCAAATATCAACATCAGTCTTGGCAATCAATCATCGTTTATTGTAGAAAATGTTTGGCCATCAGCCATATATGAATACTTTGGTTCCAATAAACCGCTCTAAAATTTCCATTAATTCTTTAGTATATTTGTACATCTACTCAGCCTAGAACAAGTTCATTCTATTTAATATAAACAGATATAGGGAATGATAATAAAGTAATAAAATGGTGACACAGTAGTTTTTCATTTCTCAATTTTTCAGGATTTAAATAAAAAATTTTCTGTATAAATTATCAAACAGAAAGTTCAAAAGGATTCAATAAATCATGTTGGAGAAATGAAATTATCTGGTGATAAAAAGGGGAAAGTAAAATAAAAATAAATGTTACTTAATGAAGTGAAGATTCTCTAATGGTTTAGGGCGTTATTTTGTGCATAAATACATATGGATGAAGATGTTCATAATCTTACATAAGACATTTTCGCTTGTTCCTAGCTTCTAGAGTTAGAATAATATGTAAATGATGGATTCACATCGACTCACATGCGAAGCTAAGACTTTAGAATTGATGATATAATGATAGACACTTGGCCTTAGGGTCTTGACAAAATTGCAAGCAACATTGAAAGTGACTTCAGTTGATTTACTTCCATATTCAGTGAAAGGATATATGACGATAACAGAAAAGATGAAGAAATGAAAAAATATGATGTATTGAAGACATCTATCATATCATATATTATTAAAGTATAAATCACTAAATATAATGTTCAAATGGTTTTTATTTTCTACTCTGTTAAATTTTTAATTTGGAAAGATATATTGAAATTTTTCTCAACGATATAATTTTTTAATCAGTATAAATTTGGACAATTCATGATCAAGTGTTCCTCTACGATAGTATTTACCAATTAGCAAATGTTACAAAAAAATAAATTGAATATGTTGGTCATATTAGTATACTAACAAATAAATTATAATAAAAACTACGGGAAAAAGCATTTGCTTGTTAATTTAGATATCTCATGTGTATTTAATAACAATGTATTGCATGATAAGAGATAAAGAAATTTCCTCAGTTGTTATTGAACGGAAGGAATATATTTATTTGTGTCTTTTATGACTTTGATGGAACGTGGAAACGGTTTTATGAGATAGCGAGAAAAAATGCTGAACTGTGCAAAACTGATAGTTTTATTTGCTGTTTTCGAATTTTATTATTATTATTATTACTATTGACAGAGTCAGATCGTAAGGTCATGATTTATTACTGTGAAAAAAATTAGCAGAGCTCGCATTGCGGAAATTGAATTTAACGTATTAGGTATTGAAAGATGAAAAGAGATTGATAAGCAAACTAATTTAGCAGTTGCAAAGAGGTCATCTATTTAGTGATTAATTTTTGAATGTTCGAATTTGAAATGGCAGTATATATGAAGTGTATTATAGCATAAATAATTCATTCAAGTAAATGGATTAAAAGCATACAAATAAATTTCTAATTCATTTATTTCGGCGGAAATCCAATCGTAAATTCTTTGTCAGAAAATAATGGAGTTGTAAATCGGCTGAAGAATTAATTTATCTTTTATTTATGCATGACAGACTTTTTATTGATTATATTTTATAACTACATCATAGAGTTGAAGCAACAATTTTTGAATTCACAATGAGAAAAAAAATTATTTCAATTAGAATTCAATTATTTGTGATGTCTTATTTAACTACAATATCTCTTTAAATAATAATTTCAATAATGTTTTACTTATCTACGAATAAATACAATAGTTAATTAAATATCTGTAGATTATTTAAAATACTTTTTTTTCTCAACGAATTACAATTATCCATAAAATACACAGCCACGTATCAGAGAATTTAAACAAAATTTTTATTTTCATTAATTCATTTAGTAGTATTCGATAACTTAACTTAATTTTTATTATTCCAGTTCTCTCTAATGATATTTTGTTTTTAAACTTAGCTGAGCTATATCCTCTAATACTGATAAATTATAATCAAAAGTATTTTATTTAAAGTATACATTATAGTACTAATATTGTCAATGGATTGATTTGAAAATCAACAATTATTAATTATAATAAGAAAAAGTAAAAGTAAATGTGTGAGAAAAATTATTTAAAAAGTCTATTCGAGTTAAAAACAGATAAACTGAACAAATATTTTTAACGTTGATTGATTGATTAAAAATCAATTCAATTTTTGATTATGAAATTAACACGTTATTACGTTGTAATTAAATGAAAATACAGTCTTGAATCATTAGTCACTGTAGTTATGATGAACATAATTTATTACATTGAATTTAATGGAATTTTTTATACCATTTTTTATTCTGTCCTACAAAGAAACCTAATAAAACATTTATCACAAACACCTTCATTTAATTATCAAATTAAATGATAGAAAAAATAATCCTAAAATCCATTAAGGTGATTGTTCTGTCCAGTGAATAAATGAAATGGATTTCCACATTTTCCAGTTACGATTGTTTGTAGAATTTTTTTTTTTATGTGGCCATATGCAATACATTAATATATACTATGTATTGATATATACATAGAATTTCTATATATCAATGGCCAAAATGTAACTATCGAAAACATGGACTCTATTGGTTTTCAGTAATTCACCGAGAATGTCTTCTTTCAAATGTTCTTAATATATTTATCATATTTTTGAATATTTATTGAAAACTCATTCTGAATAAAGTTTTCAAATGACTCAAATACAACTCAGAAAATCGACTGCAAATTATTGCAGTTACTTTTGATTCAAAAAATTAGAAAAGTTTAATGAAGTCATGGGGAAACTTTGACAAGATAACTACCTTAATCAATATACAAAAGAGCTTTGATATTTTGGAGAAAAATATTTTAAATTGTCTTTTAAACTTTTATAATAATAATTATATAGAAAGTAATAACAAGAATCATAATAAAAAAATTTTTTGGAATGATTATTTTTCCCAAATGTGTCAACTGGGATATCCTCCAAGTGGATGGTAATTTTTTTTTTCATTTCTCTTCTATAAATGTAACTTAGAACCCAATAAAGTTCAATTCAAGGCTCATCACTGTCACTTCCCACGGGATCTCGAGGCTCTTCTACTCTAGGAACAGCCTCAGAATTCCTTTCATTCGTTGATCCCCTCGATGGTAACCACCTGTTGACGAACCACCAATGATAAGAAATCCTTCCACTGTCACATTCAGGTCTTTCTCCTCTTCTACCACTAAATTGACAAAGTCCTGAAGAATTTCCTGGATGATTTCTGATACAGAAATCATCACAAGTATGTTGTCTATTTAACGTATTACTTTCTGCACCATTAACTCCAATTTGATTAAAATTCCTTTGTTCACCAGAAGTACTTGGCTCAGCTAGCGACCCAGGAGGTTGTTGTGATGTAGAAGGAACTTCATTAATGCTATTAACATCTCCAGAAACTGCTGAAGCAGCTCCATCCTGATTATTTAATCCAGAAGAACAAGGTCTTTCTATTCTCCCCACATAAATTGTTGGATTAGCGTATAAAGGATTATTTACCGATTGAACAAATCCGATTCTGTCAATTCTCCCTATATAAATTGCAGGATTTGATGTGGATAATCCTCTACTTCGACAATTACAATTCGTTGGATTTCTACACTGGCATTCTCGGCGTAAGGATTCAACTAGACGACTCGGGGAAATCGGGAATCGACTATAAGAATATTCTCCTCGACAGAAAGTACATCTGCAGCTTCTAGAGACTTGGTAAATATAATGGCGTGAGCTTCCAGGAGCTCCAGCTGTACTAGAATCATAGCATTGTAATCTGTCGTGAAAGCTATTGCAATGTTGACAGATGTGGTATCTTATAAAAGGCATTCTAGTACAAAATTGGCACATACAGTGCTTCCCAAGCCGATAAACGTAGCGATCATTAGCATTAGAACCAATTGCCACGTTGTCTGTTGAGAAGCAATTCCGTGAGAGATTGCTAAAACGATTTAATGACGCTTGGTATGATAAATAAAAATCACGAATGTGCTCGTACTGATTTATATTCCTTTCTAACACGCTCCAGAACGCTGATGATCCTGGTAGATTGTTCGAAGCATAGTTCGGAGTCCGACAGTTGAGATTACCCCGATACCAAGGTCGATTATCAATCCTTTCATAAGTATGATCATTATTGTGATCGTTTGCATCATTTCGTTCAACATCAGGACCGTTTCTACCAGCGTTATCATCATCATTATCGAGTCGTTCATAAATATTTTCCTCTGATCCTTGTCCACGATTTCTTTCATGAATTCGGACTAGGTCTACTGGATTTTGGTAGTGAGGGTTTAGGTTTGGTTGCCGATTCTGGTAGATTCTATTGTATCCTCGAACATTTTGATAACCATCATCTCTCTCTTGATTTCCTAGATTTCTATTCATTCTTCCCATAGCCACTACAGCTAACTCACCATTTTCATACCTTTGACAAATACATCTTGGTCCTTCACAATCATGTCCTCCTCGATAACGCTGCAAATCTGCTTGATTTTGAGCACCGCTGGGCGCAGCTTCTGACTCATTATCGGCTCCAGTGTTGTTTTGTTGATCTTTGGAAAGCCCAGCGGTTTGCAACCCTCACATCATTTGCAAGACTTGCGGTTTGTCAATGATAGCAACACCAGCATAGCTACGTCCTATACTCATGCAACTGGGCAAGGGAGTCCAAGTGTTCGTTCTTGGGCTGTAAACTTCAACTGATGATAAATTTGATGTCCCATCATCACCTCCAACGACATATAAAAGACCATTATACGTTACTACACCAGCGTTACGCCGACAAAGAGCCATATCTGCAATAGGAGTCCATTGATTGGTCTCAGGATTGTAAGCTTCTACACTCTTTCGTACCAAAGGACCATCGTGGCCTCCAACAGCATATAAAATTCCATCTAAAACTCCTACACCTGCTCCAGAACGCCTTGCAGACATTTCTGCTACTGACTTCCACTTGTCTTTTTCTGGGTTATAACACTCTACACTAGATAAACATTGTCTTGACACTCCATCGTATCCTCCTACTGCATATAAGAGATTTTTGACAACTCCAACACCCACACTACTTCGTCTTGTACCCATTGGAGAAATCATTCGCCATTCGTGTGTTCTAGGATCATAAACTTCAGCGGAATTCAATCCTGTCGTACCATCAAAACCGCCAACCGCATAGATACAGTTACCAAGAACTGCAACGCCTAGAGTTGATCGCCGGGCTTCCATTCCCGAACATGCTGACCACTGGTCGGCGGCCCCATCGTAAACATCAACAGTCCGAACCCTTAACGATCCGTTAAAACCACCAACTGCATAAACTCGACCGCCAAGTACTGATAGACCAGCTCTACAACGTCTTGTTGGCAATTCTGCGACTTGATACCATTTTTCTTCTTTAAAGTCGTAACATTCTACACTGCGAATCGCCTTAGGTGCTTGACCTCCAACTACTAACAAAACTTTAGGTAAACCTCGCGGCTGACGTGGCTTTGTTCGAGGTGTTTTGAATAGAGACTTTTGTTCTCCCTTGAGCAGATGATACTTCAGGGCTTCAATTAAAAAATCTTTGCATTGGAGATTTGCTTTGAGAAGTGGTTCTTCTTCAACACGTTGAACTAAATATTCTTGAGATAAAAGTGGTAATCGAACGTGTTCCATCAGTTGAGCTAAATAATTTTGCCTTTTTTCTAGATCTGAGTGTACCCACGATATTACACATTCAAAAACTTTTTCTTCTGACGGAACTGATAATCGATCACTACAAATTAAATTTGCAACTTGCTGCGGGGCTAAAGTTAAAAATTCCTCACCCTCAACAACTTCTCTGTAATGAAAAAAATTTTAAATAAATTTTATTTATCTTTTTTCTATAAACTTGTATATCGTTTATTATTGAAGATGTTCAATAATCGAGTAAAGATATTAGCTTTTAACCATTTCAACGGCAATTCGATCAATCTAACGCCACTGTGAATTATTTCAGTGATGTAAGACATTTCATATCAATAGACCAATTGGTTAAAAGCAAATGTCTTAAGTTTGTAATAGATAATAAAATTCCTTACGAAAAATGTTGCTCAATATAACTGTCAGCGTGTGCCAACAGTTCCAAACATCCATGAAGATCTGCAAAGGCACGAATTCCTAAGCAATTAGAAGGATGTAGTTGCGCTTGTAAAAAATCGCAACATGCATCACGGACATCCGTAAGTTGAAGTAGATTAGCTGCTGGTAATAAAACTTGTACATTCTCTTCAGTGACATGAACCTCTGCAGAGTAGACATAATTAACGAGTAATTCTAAGGCTGCATGATCAACCCCTTGTAATTTAATACGACGTTGATCACGCTCTTCGAAACTAGTGAACATCGCATAGAAATAAGGACTGCAAGCTGCTAAAACCATTTTGTGTGCGGGTACATCTATTCCTCCATCTGCTTCCAGAATAACGTCACATAGCAAATTTTGCCTGTAATAAAAAATAAAAAGTATGATATGATAAAGAATAATTCAAAATAATGTTGTTTCATATAAAAGTTATTTCATTTGTTAATAGAGCAATTAAGATAAAGAAATTATCCTTGGAGATGAATTAAGATAAGACAGGATTAAGTCGTATATTTTATCTGTTTGTCTCATAGTTTATATTTTATTTTAAATTTAAATTGTATAATCTATTGACTATCTAAGATGATGACAAAGATAGGAGGATCGACTGGATGAATTACTTACTTTCTCATTGCATTTATAACATCAAAGGCTCTGTTTGTATGATGATGGTTACGATAAGGCGGTTTGTCCTTGCCACTTTCTCTGGGAACTTGTTTTTGTGAACTTTCATCCAAAGAATTTTGACTGGCATATCGTAGAAGTAAGCAACTATAAAAGATACAAATTGACAAATCAATGGTATAAATAATTTCAAACTATCTTTTAAATATTGATGTTATTGACATTTGATTTATTGAATAATTTAACACTTTGTTACCTTCCACTAACATCTCCAGACTCTCCAGAAAGGTTATTTGACAGTTGAGCTTGATTTTGCACTCCACTTTGTTCCATTTTTCAATGTAAATAATTTTCAATTTCAATAAATAAATGGGTTTTTGGTTAATTCGTGTTAATGTCTAGCTAAAGAGCTTTTTATATTATTGATCAACAAATCATGTCAACCGGATCTCTGAAATAGTTTTATTTGTAAAATAAATTATCACAGAGGGTACAGAGATCATCAAGACATGATAACATAAAATAAAACATTAAAAATATACTTTTTCACTTTTTTTATTAGCAAATCACTTGGAACGCCATTTAATGACATTTCATATACAACACTTTTATAAATCACACACAACAAGGTAATAGATAACAATGTACATTTTTCACCATCATCTTCATTAGTCTCGATAATGAATGAATGTAAGAACAAATAAACTTGTTGTAAATAAAACTTGAATTATCTAAAAAATAACGTACAATAAATATACTACAGTTTATGCAGCTGTTGAAGCAGCCGTTCCCACTGTGTTTTCATTCAGCTCGAGAGAACTCCGAGCAAGTCACTGGACTACAGTTCAGTGTTTTGGTTTGTCCTGTCATCAACAGATGGCATGATAAGTCTTAGCAGCTGGCTTTGACAGAACTCAACACGTGCTCGTGCTTTTCTATCTGCACCGTAATACAATGCACAACTATTTGTACATTTTGTACTTAAGAATGAAGAGAACAGAACAGATTCGATTTTCCACAATGACTTTCCAGTGCAGCAACTTTCTCGTGGATTACAAATGAAAGGATAATGTGGTGAGTGCTTAACAGACATTAATAATTGTGGTGAATAGAACTCTCATACTAAAAAAAAAGGATTTGAAGCTTTGTATATATAAAAATAACAATTTGCATGACTAAATAATATGAGTTGAAAGAAAAATATATTTATTTTTACAAGAAAAGTTGTACAATTTTTTTCATTAAAATTTTTTTTGTTTCATTATTCTCTTGTAAGAGGGATAAAAATAATATGTCTAAAGGGAAGGCAAATAAATAGCTCAGTGACAAGATAAAAAATTTTAAATTACTTTTTTTACTTTGATAAATTTATTAGAAGAATAAAAATATTAGAGGTGGCAAATATGTATTGTCATCCATGTGATTATTTTCTGGCCTTTTAATATAACTTATAAGAGCCTTTTGAACTTTATATCTTAATCTTTAGCTCTTCAACTCTTCATAATCTTCATGCATCCTTAAATACTTGAATAAATTGAAAGCACAGATTATAAATGATTAAAATTATAAATGACTTATTTTATTTATTTTAAATTGAGTCAATAATGAGGTAATGGATAATGGATTATATGTTATTTGGAAAATATTGGAACATGAATTAGTAATAAAATGAATATAATGCTCATTATTAAAATCATAATCTTTATATCTCTGCAATCAGATAAATATTCAAATTTTACAAATGAGAATTGATGACAAATAAAATATTAAAACATTGCTCGCCCAATAAATGCACCATTCACTCTTTAGTACAGGTTTTATTTTTTTTGTTATCAGTTATTTCACACATGGAAAAATTATTTTTAATCAGAAAAAAATAATTAATGACTGAAAACTAGATTTTTTGATTAAATTGTTTAATTTATTCGAGTTTTTTTTTAATTGTAGTCATTATTGTCTTCTTTAGACAGAGTACTTCTAGAATTAGGACGAACTGATAATTACTCGATGCATGAAATGTATAATTCATTATTCATTCATCGTTCATCACTTATATTATTTCTGTAGTGGAATTTAAAATCATAGAATCATCGAAAAGGTGAGGAATTTTAATGATTGTTATATCATTTTATTTTCAATGGAAATTATTAATACTTTTTTATTTAAAAAATTTCAACAAATGATCTCTCATTTTCTTTTTAAAATTGCTGTGAACTTGGCAGGATTTTTGTCAAGTTATCTGAAAGGAACATTGATGTCTTCTTTTCTTTATAACGCTTATTCGAAAATTCTCTGGTCATTTTTTACTCCGTTACGAGCTCTCAAGGGCAAAAACTGACTTTTGACTTCGAGTGTTCATAACTTCCGAAAAGATGACCGCATAATAATCACCGAGGAACCATTTAAAAACTCGAATCTTCTTTATAAAGTACATATTGAATTAAATGGAAATAATTTTTTATTTCATACTCAATAGTTTTCATCAAAAATAGAGCCTCTTCAAAACCATTAAGATGTACTTTCTTCTTTCATGATCACTTAACTTTAGTTTCCAATTCAGTATTTATAATATTTTTTTTATAAATGATATTGATTGACGGATATTCCTTGATATAAAAATAAATTCAATGGGTTATTATCTTACAAAGTACTTAGTATCTCCTTCATTCAACGACTTATTATAGGAAAACAATTAAACTAGTTCATAATACAGTTTTTTTCATCAAAGCAAATATCTATTAAAATAGTTTACTACCAAGAAGACAACAATTCCTACAAAAAAGCTATACATTTTAATAAAAATCTCGAATAAAAAAAAGCTTGTGTACTTTCACTGATATTTTTTTCTTATTAAAAATAATTCCATCTTCTGTGTACATTTATTATTAGGGTTTTCTTTTGTTTTTACTACCCGCGATTAAAATTTCACGAAATTTGCAGTGGAAAAAGTAGATTTTATTCCAAATATACTTAATACTTTTATTCTTTTCTGTCTCTTATTTTCATCTACAGTACGACGATGAATATGAGAAGATGACACGGTTGTTTAATAAAGCCAAAAAAGCGATAAATGCTGTACGTACACACTATTTGAATATAGACATAAGAGATCTTTGTTTTTCTTATTCATTACATATTTCATTGTCACTTTTTAATCTTTTTTTTATATTTTTCATAACATCGATTTTATAGCACTAGAAATTTTTTCTTGCTATTAATTTCATCATCAGTTAATTGATTTTGTGTCTTATTAATAAAGTTATCGCTGATATTAATGATAAATCGAGAGAAGCATCACTTATGAAGGCCGAGCCATTTATTACAATGTTACTATTTAATGGATTTATTGAGATAGTTATTAATTAATTAATACAAGTATTTATATCATTTCACTTAGGTTTTTTTATTTTTAATAATATCAGTCAAGTGTTATCTTATCTGAAAACTGGGCAAGCACAAAAAAAATATAGCCGATATCTCGTTAAAGTAGAGAACATGAGCATATCCTAGTTCATCAGTAGAATATCCTGTTTCAATGTTCTCTACGCTCAATAAATACACAAAATACATACCGCACACTCAACGCAAAATGCAGTTATATACACATACTTACTTATCACACATTAAAATTGCACCTATACTCATACCTTGTCCCCTAGCACACATTCATAAACGTCGCTTTACGCGATAGCTTACATTGCGGCTACAAATAAACTTCCGCAGCTTGGTATTAACGTGAAATCGCACGTAAAATTATTCTAACGAATGCAATCCCCTAGGATCGTAAGTTCTCTGAGCCTCCAACCACTTTTACCATTACATATATTTATTTTCATATATAAACTGATCATTAGAGGGGATCAGCTCGGGAAACAAATTAAAAAGTATGTTTAATTCAAAATATGTTTTTTTTTTCTTTCCAATGATATGAACATTCTTATTTTTCTATTGGTTTCAATATTTTTTTATTTATTTATTAAATTGATAATTATTTTGTAATTGCATTTGCTTCTTCATCTTTGGCACAAACTGACGATTATTTAATTGTAGATTAGTCCTGGGTGCGGTGTGTGACTGCAATTGATTGTTTTGCTTGTTGACGCGACTCGAGTTTATGTGGCCAAAACCATCAGAGCGATGAGCTTGTATGGTAGGACGGTGATAAAGCCATGACACGCTGGCAAGAAAGGAAAACATCGTGTTGTATGTATAGAAAGGGAGATGTACAGATGAGCTCGATGATGAGCTTTCGATCGAAGTTTGGCACACAACAGTTTCTATGTACTTAGCTTAGTCTGTCATTGTTTTTACGCGATGCAGAAACACACACTTTCATCAGGATAATGAAGGTCGACCGTGTTCACCGAGAGCATAGAGCACGGGAGAATAGTGATATCGCTCCGAATGATAGGAAGAATAGACTGCTTGGCCGAGTGTTTGATGATGATCTCGAACCTCGTGCAGCTTCTGCCAATCCAGCTATAATGCCAAAAAAAAAAAAAATAAATAAACATTTCTGCCGTTTAGTTTTAAAGTGGAAATTAACCTTTAAATATACTGATTTGTATCTTATGGAAATTGGAACAGTAGGTTTTATTTTAGGCAACTACTTCCGTTAATATCTAAAATATAGATTTTTTATACTCTAGTTACTAAAAAAAGATTTTATATTTACAATTAAGATACAATTGTTGTAAAGTGTATTGAAGAAAAGAATAGATGTTAGTCACAAGGTTTTTTTTCAAACAAATTATAAATGCACAAAAACAATGTGTCTATAAAAATATTATTGGAAAAAGAACAATTTCAACAATTTATTGATTTTATTTTTTTTTAAATATTTTTGCAAGCCAACAAACAAAGTTTTATTTCAAAATAGATAGAAAAATTAAAAAATGGGGAGACCATCTTTTTTTTTTTAAATATTCGCTTCAGACTTGATTTTTTCTTTCATTTAACATACTTCGCAAAGATAGATGAGGACAAAATGGGTCTTGTCAAAAGATTTGAAAATTTCAAAAAGTCTTGGAAGTTCTAGATTCCAGAAAATTGCAGAAATAATGAGACTTTTGAGATTTATTTTCAACATTTCCTCTTTATATAAGATCGATCACTTCTTCTAAAGGCTACTCAGTGCAAAGTACAGGCTGATTTTTTGATCCAGGTTTATATATTCTACAGCAAATTTGTAATTCTGAGTTATGTTTTTCATGAATGGATATTATGAAAATTTTCAGACGTTACTTTACAACAGAAATCATGATTCAAGAATTTTTAAAATAAAAAAATCACTCTTACTTCATATTTTTTTTAAAAAGAATTAAAAAAGTTATTTAAATATATTTTTCGAATAAGATAAGATTACGAAAATCCAAAATACTATTTTCAAATAAATATGTACATAATTTTAAATAGTCAATGTAAATCGATATTTAACTGACAATTAATGAATTTACCAAACATTGCTAATTAAATTTATCTCTGTAATATTAATGGAACGTTGTTCAAATAATTATGCAGTTGTATAGGAACATATATTTCTTCATATAATAAATATTGAATTATTTTTATGCGATAAATTATTCTAAATATGACATCGTTCACAAATTACAACTACTAATATTAAACATCAGCTGTTTTGATTGAGGATTCATTCAAAATTAATTATTCCTTATTCAGCGAAGTATCATTTTCCATTAGATCGATAAATCTATTCATACCTTAAAAGTACTGTTAGTTTAGTTTCGTGGTAAATTGATTTTAGAATGAAAATTTAAATAGATTACATGGGTTGAGCAACATAATGGTACTGAAAAATATTTTTTTTCCACGAACTTTGTTGGCTTTTTCATATATTATAGTTGAGTCTCAGAGAAAATATAATGTTAAAAGTACAATAATAACGGAGAATTTTCCATGTTATTCATTTCCATATAACCTAAAAGGAAACAGGAATCAGATGAATTAAGAGTATTTATATCCAACACCATCACAAATAGAAATATCTGAGGGTAGGGGAAACAAGATAATTTCTATTTAGAAATGAGGGTAGATAGATAGAGAAATCAAAATGAGTATACTCGGAGTGTGTAGCAACACCTTCACAAATTGGTGTTATCAGTTCGTAGCACATGCAAGCGTTTTGAAATAAATAAAAATATTTCTCTTTAGTTAAAAAAATTTAAATTGAATCATTTTTTCTACAATTTATTGGCAATTAAAAATGATCAATCAATAAAAAACAATTTTAATCAAATGTTAATCGTTTTTAGAATCGAAAGTCCCATAAAATTGTTCAAATAAAAATAACTCTGGTTTGATATAATTTTTAACATTTACCAAACCAATTCATGAATTTATCCAATTGTTCGATAAAATAAAAGAATGCTATTCAACTAATTTGAAAAAGTATTTTGCATAAAATTTTCTCGTAAAAGAGATGTTTTTTTTGTATAACTCCAAAGGTCATACAATTGTAGTATGTTTTCAGAGAACGTTTGGAGAAAACATACTAAAATTTTTAGATATTTATACTACACATAGAGTTATAGAGCCAATTTTAAATGGTTATAAAATGCAAACAAAATATTGAAATAAAATATGCCGATGGTCGAAATGTCAAAAAATAATCGACATTTAATATCAACATGCAAACGTACAATCCAATAAATGTTATAAAGCCACAACAAACTTGAAAAATAGTTTGCCATATAATATTATTGTATATAACATCACTCATATTATACATAAATGTTTGCTTCTTAAAATATAAGCAAAAATAAATGATAACTATAAAATCCGTGACATTGATTTTATATAAAAATGCAAAAATGGAGAAAATTTTTGCCACGTGCATTTCAGTCATCTATGATGCATGTCCAAGTTTTAAATTTGAAAAGCAATCAATGTCTATTTATTATAAAGCCTACTCAATCATAAGCAAAAAATTCTATTTTTAATATTTTTCAAACTTATTGCTTGGTCATTGATGCACATTGGAAGTGCTTTTAAAGAGAGAATAAATACAAAAATGCTGAGTATGAAATTTTTTATCAAGATTGCTTGCTATTTAAATAAAACGTTGAAAAAAGCTTGTGCATATTTATTTATCTTTAAAAAGCAATTGCGATTTGTTCATACATGTTTAAAGTTTTTCTTAGTAATAGGTTCTGCGATTTATTAACTAAGTAAATGTAAATAACAAATAAACACTATCTAGTTATTTATCAAAAAAAGTATCTTCTTTTTGTTTAATTAAAAATTTCAATTTGATTCAGTAATTAAAATAAAAACTTGAAACTTGGAGAATTACACCATTTGTTTAATAAAAAGTTTTAATATTTAACACGAAATTAGGAGTTTTTAAATGTCTTTACACTATTGAAGAACTATGAAAGTGAAAGTAATATCTGTGGAATGTGCATTAGCACTCATTTGAGAAAAAGCTTTTGAAAAAAAAATAATAATTGAGATTTAAGGATTAAATGAATTTTTTTCCAACTTACCTCCCATAATTGATACATCGTCTGGGAGATTTATTACTGTAAAAGAAAAATTTTGTTAACTGGGAAAGTAGTTGAAAACGAAATTATAAGTTTCTGAGACTTACTATAAAGTCTTGAAGTACCCTCTGCCTTGCCCAAACTATTGGTCGCAATACAGTCATAAGTCCCGACATCTTGTTGAGTGAATTCTTTTATCACAAGAGTTATGACTACTTCGTAGCCTTCTCGTTCTTCTTTAATCGAGTATTTTGGTCTAGAAATATCAAAAAAATTATTTAATATTTTTTTTCATCTCTTAGATAACGAAGTTTTATAATAATAAATAAGTAAATAAAATAAAATGAAGTTCTTAGAGTAATTTATCTGTTCTTTATTCGTTCAATCATCAATAAAAGATAGAAATTTATCTCTCAACAGAAAAAAAAGAAAAAACTTGGTAAATAGATAAACAAATAAAGTAGCTTTAAAGCTCTCTACCCATCGAGCAACATTTCTGTTCGATTTCTCTGCCAAAAGTTTATCGTGTTTGGATGTGCCTCGATGACGCATTCTAGTTGTACTTTAGAGCCCAATGGTGCACCCAACAGCTGGCTCTGAACTCGTGCTATTGGTGCAACTGCCAGCGATATAATAAAGAAGAAAATGTTAAAATTAATGAATCAAGACTTATCTAGTGTTTTAAATGACTATTATTCATGTAGTTATCAACCACGATTAAATTCATTACTTTCTAGTAATATTTTTCTCATTTAGACTGAATCAAAAAATAGAAATTGTAAGAAAATTAACTATTTTAATGCGATTTAGATAATGTGATACTTTAGATTAAAAAAAGCTTTTGAGTGAATCAATTAATTTAAACCATTTTATAAATTTTAAGAGTAACGAGATGCAAAATGGATTCAATCGAAAATCATTTTTAAGCAGCATAAAAGTCCATTAAAAATTCATTGAATTATTCAATTACATATTAAACTTGTTTCAGAGATAAGTGTCATATAGTACAAGATATAAGTAACAAAATATAATTGGAAATAAAAGCTCACAATTAACTTCAAGTGTCACTCGTTTGCTGACAGTGGGTGGGACATCATTGGAAGCAATGCACATATAAACTCCCATTTGTTTCCTGTCTACTCGATAAAAATGCAATTTCGATTCATTGTAGACTTCTACCATTTGAAAGTTGTTGCTTTTCCCACCTACAAATGAGCAAGACTATTAAAAACACGTTTACTTATGAATTCTTAAATAAATGCAAATTTTATTCCATCAACAATTAGTTGACTTTCAAATTTTATTTTATTTTATTTTAATAATAATGTACGAGAGATAAGTTGTGAAAAAGAATGAGGAATAGGAGAAGAGGAATGAAAGTATGGTGCATAGAGAAAGTTGTATCGAGTTAGTGACAAGTTTTGCTTGAAACACTTGAAATATACTGTCTTTTTGACGATTGGGAAAAGGACAAGTGCAGTTCTTTCTTCATCTCAATCGGCATAAATGGATTCATAAAAAGGAATAAAATAAAATGGTATTGCAAAGTAAAAGAATAAAGTATAGTTTTCGGATGTGTTCAAGATGCAAGTGTCTTTCTCTTCTGCTTATATGACCTGATGCCTTTATATTTTATAGAAGCACACACGGATTGGTTGGGTAACGAGTTCAAAACTCTTTTTCCCCATGGACTACTTTCTCGTTATCTTCTTCACCTCTTTATCTTTTTTCCTGATGCAGTTTCTCTAATGCTTCTTCCGTGTGTTATTTCAACCTCAAACCAGCAGCAGCACAAGACTCGCGTGAAAGATCGATGAAGATAAACAAGGTAGTGCGATTAAGTACAAGACTGAGTAGTGAAACTCGAAGTCAAGGCAGACGCCAAATAAGAGAGTGTATACATAAGTTGAAACCGAAGCAAATTCAAACTTCTGTGTATATATTTGTGTATTTCTCGTCTTTCCGGACGTCAACGACCAAACAGTATCTTGTAAGACTACTATTACTCCTCTCTTGCATTGAACTTTTGCCCAACTGGAAACATGGCAATCGTGTAGGTGCATGGAAGAAGAGTGTATAGACTAAAGTACTTGCAAGTATTAAGTCCGTTTGGACCAACGACGGCCTATAAGGAGCTTCCTCTTTACTAAACTTCTCAAAGAGAAACTGTAGGTTACTTCGCAACATCCGCGTTCTCGTTATATCCTTCTACCTTCACTGCTCTTTATATAACTCAACTTCTCGGTCTATGTTATTCCCTCACCCACCTTTACTACTACCACTATCCCTACCATTCAACTGCTGCTACTAAACTGAAAGATCGTACGACCAAATAATCTAACAGACTGCAAAAGTCTTTATCGAGTTCATTCTGATTTCTTTTCTTCTCCACTACCCTTTTGTTTTCAATTATCTCGGCTGTCAGAAAAACTAGATAAAAACGTCAAACATGTCGCGCACGAAGGGATTATTTAATCGAGAGGCAAAGTAATTTTCTCACCGGGGACTAGGATTTTTGTTCTCTCTTTTGCAAGAACGAACGAACAAGAAAGAATTCCAGAGCATATGGGTATATACTCTAGCTTTGTAGGACCAAGTGGTGAGCACAGACCGGCACTTTTAATAGACAGAACTACCAATGTGTGCGCAAACCTACCAACTCTTCCAACCGATCTCTAAGCGATTATTCTCTACGCGAATATGAGAAATCTACAGATAGAACCGCACTAGGTTTTCCGTGCTATGCATGCTCGATGAGTCAGCGAGTACGACGTTGGCACCCGCTGCTGTGCTGCTTCTTTTTCTTTCGCTTTTTCTTGTCCTCTTTGCTTTATTTAATTTTTTCCTTTTTTTATCTCAGTCTATTTTTGCACTATACCACCCGCAGTTTGCACCCGAACTCACCGCAGAATCGTCAAGTTCAAAGAGGAAATTCACGCGAGTCTAGAAAATGTTCATGAAAATTTTCTGTAGTAGAGACATCAACTTTTTAGGGGAGGAACTTCATTTAAAATTTTAACACCTTTCAGTGTGTGAATAAATTTTACATGCTTTTCATAAGAGAGTAAAGTACTTAATGTTTGAAATCAAATGAAGAATGTGAAAGACAAAGTGGTAACTAAAGTTACACATAATGTAGATAGTGTATACTTTGATAAAGTGTGTAGTCTAATGCCTCGTGGCGACCATAAAATAACGATAATGTTCTTGTGGAAATTGTGCATGAAGATGAAGTATTTTGAAAGATTATAAAGGGGTTTGAAATGATATCTATCGACTATCAAGTTGTGCTTTTTATCAAAAGGCAATATTATTTTATACATTAACCAACTTTAATATATCTTCTTCTCCTTCTTCACTTACCAGCTTATTAAAACTTTTTTGCTTGTTTATTTAATGGAAAGTATTTCATCAAATCGTTTATTTTGGTCATTAATTAACCATTCATTCAATTGAGAGAAATAGTTATTTTAAGATAAAACATTTAATTAATCTGTATTGCAACTTATTCTTTCATTTTAAATCTATAACCAATCTCTTCAAGGTTTTTGAAATCTATTTTTATTTTTTCCGTGCAAAGTGAAATTTCCTTTCCGTTCCGTCAATAATTTTTTATGGAGAAAATTTTCTAGTATAAAGAGAACTCGTCTCAATAGAAACGTACCATCTCTACTCTTTGATATTTCCTAAAGTGCATTTAATGGGTGAGTAACTTTAGTAAAAAACAAGTTCTTCAGTGCTTTTGTAAATTATAAATAATGCGAAATGTAATGTTTAATTATTACATGGTATTTAAAATAATCTTTTAAAATAATATTTGATATAATTTTAGTAATTATACGTTTTTTTTACTGAATGAATATCACTTTTTTCATAGATTTAGTTTAGCATGATAAATACGTATTCCATGATGAAAAGCATTTCATTTATAATGTTTTTTTCTTCAACTTGATGTAATGAATGGAAATTTTTTTCTATGGAAAATTTTAATGTTAAAAAAATAAAGTTTTTCATTTATGGTACCGTGCTATAAAAACTTGAAAATAATTAATAATATTTACTATAAATAAAAGTATGTTTACCCTCGGAATAGCGTCGACATATTACCTCAAATAAAATATGAAAAAAAGCAGATTTTCTAATAACATCGTATTAAAGAATAAGAACAGGCAAAAAAGTACTTTCTTAAACTCGCAGTTATATTGACAAAGCAGACACGAATTAGATTCTCGATTATGCTTCATAAGAGTAAACGAGAGAATAGAATGAGAATAGAATAGGCTAAGTCGTGAGATAGTGATCTCGTAGTAGAATTTGATTCGTTGTTGACAAGCGAAAATTACTAGTCTGCTTGGGGGTCTCATGAGAGTGAAGAAAAGGGGGAGGAAGGTGGTAGGAAAGCTTGGGATTTGAGTCTCTCGGTTTTGTCGTTGTGAAATTCGTGCAGAGACAATGAATACGAACTGTAGGAACTCAAGAATGAGGTCGAATTCCTGATGAGGATGGGTTGCCCGTCCTCTCGTCTCCAAGAAACTCTTGGCTTCGGTGTTCCCGTGGCTTGACAATTGAGCGTGACGTTTTCACCCTCCGATACCGACAAGTCCTTACTAGTTTCGTCGCCGTAAACAATGTCCGGTGGAACTGCAATCATTGTGTTGTGTTACATAAAGATATTGCTCTACTTTAGTATGTATTATAAAGTAGCGAAACAATTGGGAACATGGTTTTGTTAAAGATGTAATTCAATATGTTTTTGATGTAGCATGTGATGTAAATGTGATGCTTCTGTAGATTTGTATATCAGAATATCTAGGCATGGAGTGTATTGATATATACATATATACTTGGGAATGTATTTGTTCAGTGAGATTTACTGAGAAGACTCGAAGCCAATCAATGTGAGTCGCATATTCGCTTCGTGCTCTCTCTACCGTCTCTGTACCATATATTGGAATTTCGAGAGCACGAGTAACCGCTATGCATATATGCGGATACTCTACGTCCGAATCACATAAAATCTGTCAATGTTTTATATTTGCAGAGGTCTGTACTTTCGGCAAATCCTTTTGAAACTTCATTGAACCAAAAGTCAATAAGCATAAAATTTTAAATTGCTTTTTGAGAGCTTCATAAAAATTTTATCCATGACTTATATTTCTTTGTCATCTACCTTATTTTTTTTTTTTTTTCAACGTATTTTACAATGTTTTTATGGTTGTCTGTACTATCTTATTGCTATTAAATCAATCCTTACCTAAAATAGAAAGACACCCGACCTCCGAGATCATTGGATCAGTATTGATTTGACACATATAACATCCCTCGTCAGATTTTTTCAGATGCCGTATGTGGAGTCGCCACGTGCAATTGACACCCTCGTCCATCACTTGATTGTTTCCTCCAGATATGCTATGGATACTCACGGAATGGTTTGATGGACTCGAACATCCACCGGCTTCGTGCGAAACTGCTATTCGAGTGTTGTGGATCACGATTCGTGTGTTCAATGATAGTACTGTTTGATCTGACGCTTTCAGCCACCCCACCTGTGGATATATATTACACTTTTTCATGAAACTGAATCATTAACGTTACTCTTCCTTCATCACTGTTATTATACATTTATTATCAATCATTCTCTTTATGATTTTTCACCAATTGTAAATATTTGTGTATATCGAGGGTAAAAATGTAATTACCGCCCGTGATAGAAAATTGTTTATTAACTGTTTTCTCAAAACATAGCTCATCGATATGATATAAAAAGTAATGAATTATAAATAATTATCTCAAACAATGAATTACTCAGTATCGTTAAAATGAAAGTGAAAAACAATACATGATTATATTTATTATTGAGTATATAAAAAAATTCAATTAAAAAATATTCAGTAATATAAATTTCAACTCTATTAATTTTTGGTATTGACAATAGAGTCAAATTAAATTAATTATAAAATTTCATAGGGCCATTGAATTAAATTTTAACCCACTGTAGTGACATATGTATGCATACAAATGGATATTAATAAAAAAAATCATCAACCAGATCCTCTTTATTAATTTCTCATCATGTTTATAGGTAATCAAAAAGTTTGCATGCTATTTAATTAAATATTGCAGAAATTTTTAATTAAAAAAAACTTTTAACATTTTTCTCCAAAAGTGTAAAAACAGGAAAGCTTGAGGGTAGAATATTAATGTGAGTTTTTTAGCATATGAAGTTGTACTTAGTTTGATGCAACAATGACGATTGTGGAGTAAGTGATGTAGGCCAACGTAAAGAAGATAACATAAATATTTCTATGAGTATATCTGTTTCTCGTTGAAATTACATTGCCTCCGGATTTGTGTATATACACGTAATATCTAGAGGCGTTACTATTGAATTACTCGATACAACATGTTTCGCCGCGAACTCGTCACTAGCCCAATAATCTACAATTAATCCGATTTACCAGTTCCCTAGTTCCCTCCCTTCGTGACTCCTTTGCATTCAATTTAATTGCAAATAGAGGATTGCAATTACGAGACTGAAACTTATTCAACCAAGTTACTCTGGCATTTTATTAGCTGCACAACACGTGGTAGATAACTATCTTGATACTAACAACGACATTTTCACTTTGTTGGTAACACCCTGTTTACCGGAGACGTGACTATTTCGTGGAAAAGATCGCGCCAAGAGAGTGGAAGCAGGAGACGGCGAACAAATGTTGATACTAAAGAGAGAGAAGTTTACCCCGATGGCTATAATGGATAAGAAAGAAAAGGGGTTTGTTTTTCCAAGCGTATCACCTTGCGGGCTTGTGAGTAGGAATAATGGATTCTTCCAACGCCCACGGCATCACTTGTCGTTCGAACAAATGATGAAAGAGTGCAATGTCTTTCTTACCTGATATTTTCCGATGTTGCGGACATAACAGGAAAACACTGCTTCACGTCCGGTTGCTGCTGTCTGGTTTCCAACGGGCCGGATAAATGATGGACCCCCGCTGTTGAATGGTTCTGGAAGGAGTATTCTTTGAGTTATATTTATGTACTTATTTCCTGTCATTTGCTCCATATCATTATTACTGTATAAAACATTTATATATTGTAGAGAAGAATTGTGACATAAAATTGATGAAAAGAGTAAAAATATCATCATTGAATATTATATCTCTTGCATAATTTCAGATCAAAATTTAGTAAAGAAGAATAAAATCAAATTAATCCAATAAATTTAATTAATTTTAGATATATATATACATCAAGTTAAGTAATTTTTACTATAGTGTGATTTTTATCATGAAATATTAGATAATATTATTCAATTTTTAAATAAATGAACGTTCATAAAATCTTCATATGCAATACATTTTCTTTTTTATTCATTTTTTTGTGACATTTTCGTGACTATTATAACCATTTTCAACAGTCTTTAATGTAATATGAAAAAATAAGTTTAATACAAAAATAATTTAATTTCCTGTTAAAATTAACATTTATCATGGATAATTTTGTTTTAAAAAAATACGAAACGTAAAATAAACATTTATCTAAGAAATTCTAGAATACTAGAATAAGAGAAAAAAAAAATAAATATTAATTCATAATGTTATGGAGTTTTCTCTGATGAGAGCAGTAAAATTTATGAAATTTCAATTATAAAACAACATTACAATTACTGCACTATTTTATTGTTGTTTTCCTTTTTGTATATCATTAATAAAAAATCAATTATTTCATAAAAGCTGAGTTCTCCATTACGTAAAAAATGTGTTTATGAAGAGCATTTTGATTCTTTCAAGAAGTTAAAAATTTTCTTAAATGTTTCACATCAGATATTTATCGTTTTTAAATTCAAATTTTATGAGCATTTTTCTTGATGTATGAAATCTATGTAAAATAAATAGATTTAATTCCACTACAACTGTACTATATGTTTTCCTAGGACAGAAAATGAAGCATTTTTTATCTATGAAAAAAAAAATGATCAATTTTGTAAGAGAAGGAAATTTTAACGCAGATTGCAAAAGTCTCATCAAGACTCTGGTTTTCTTGAATCAAAGTCTGTTGATAACTTATGAGATCTTTAGGATGCTCCAAAAGTCTCATTTATACTCACTAAGCATTTTCATAAAGACAAATTGAATTGTAATGAGATCAAAATCAGTAATATCTCAAAATACTTATTGATTTAAATAAATGAAAAAATTTTAATTACGCGGTCAATCTTAATTTTTGCAATTTTATTTAACACTGAGATAATGAATATAGTATATTGTAAGTTGAAACTTTTATAACAATGATTTATATTTTGCAAGTTATGCTAAATTGGAAACCTATCAAACAAGTTTGGCTAAAAATATTTCTAACATGTGCATAGAAGAAAAGAACAATTTCCGATCTAACAATAACATGATTCAATTATAACTTTATAATTCCTTTTATTTTTTTTTTTTATAAAACTGAAAACAATGATTTTTCTTTTTTTGTATTAAGATTTTCATTCTGATAATTGTCATTGAACAAATTTTTTATATTTTTATAGATATTCATGAGAACATGGCTGTATTGTGAAAGATAAAATACAGATTTTCCGCTTCATTGACTAATTAGTGTGATTTTGTTAAAAATGATAGTCAAGCATACATGAAATATATGGTAAATCTCGCATGTTTGTAAATAATTGGAGTTAATTGTTTTATAAGTAGTGGACATAATTTTTAAGTTTCAACATATTGAAGCGTGAAATATGTAGAGGAGTAATGAAGCTGGTGTGAATAAATACAATACACCTGTGGTTTGCAGATTAATAATGAATTACTATAATCAATATTCCAAAGTTTATGGCCCGAAAGCGATTACGCAACAATTGACGTGAACGCGAATGGTGCGAATGGCCAGTCGGGAAATTGTGAAATTCGCTTTAATACAAAAAAAACTTGTTTGGGAAAAAAATGGTATTTTTCATTGATATAACCGGGCGCTTGATAAATTCCGGGAAAAAACATCACCAAGAGGGATCGTTGACATTTTCCTACACTTTTAGTGCGATATTCCATCTTCTGCATTAATTTGCTTGCTCGTTCGGTCTCCAGCTTTCTATTCTCTGGAGATAGTGTTGGTGTAGTCATCGTTGGTTGGCATTCTCTTCTCTTCTTCATCATGAAGCACAGTACACCGAACATGCCTCGAGGTACGAGTGACAGCACGGCTTAAATCCGAGCAATATCCAAATTGCCTCACCACTGGATTTAACATTGCTCGAGATAGATTCTTGCGGACAAATCGCACTGGGAATAAAACTTCTATTTGTTGATGATGCGCATAAATGGACGGAACCAATCAGGTTGCTCCAGCGAGGTTTCTAACGCAAAATAGTTATTGAAATACCGAGTCAATCATGTTGATCATTTTTTGCACTATTTTCAGTCTATTATTGAAACTTTTTTTAATTTTTGTTATGATCATTATTATGACTGTTATAGATATTAAGGAATAAATATTATCTTAGCTACATATAAATATAAAAATAAGGACAAAAAAAAGAAATTCCCTAAAGATATTTAACGATTTAATTTTCTGATAAAATATTCAATAAAAAATCATTAAAAGTTTATTTCTTCAACAATGTTGTTGTTCTATTTAATTTAAGTATTCGAAAATTGTATTGGTTTTTTTTTCATGATAAAATATTTGACGATGCAAATAACTGGCTGAAGTTGGTAATTTTTTTTACTATTCTCCAGAACAAATAATGAATGAAAAGAATTCAAGATTTGCTATTAATAGAATTTAATCAAAGGATTTCAATAACACGGCTTTTTTTGTTCGCACTTGGTAACACTTTTTTTTTCTTTTGTGAATTTTTTCTGGTGCTATAATAAAGCATTTAAATAAAAAATATGAAAATAACTTGAATTATTTATAAAAGCTGATTCGATATTTGATATTTTAGATGAAAAGAGAAAAATCATAGAATGTAGAGTATGTACAATATGAGATAGGCAAAAAAACATGAAAAGATTGAATTAAAAAGTCTATCAATTTTTTATGACACTTGTCAAAAAAAGTTTTTTAGTTTTCTTCTCTCGCTTTGTTTTTTATTTTTAATAGTGTACATCCATTCTGAAAGAAAAATTTAACCAATTAATCTAGTGCGTGACATTCGACCGTAAACTCAATTTTTTTCGTTACATAAAAAAATTGTTTTGTATCTATCTACATGTCATATAACCATAATCTTGTCAAAAGGTTTCTACTCAATGGTAGAAAAGGATTTTTCTATATTGTCAAGAGTGCCGTTAAATTTCCGGTTCGAAAAATCGAGGGTATCGCGATGAAAATAACTCATGTGAGTAACGTAACGTTAAACAATTTTTTCAGTATAGGTGTTTCTCTCTTTCACATTTTACCCGTTGTAAATTCACCATATGTATATACATATTTGTGTGGGTGAAATTCTTTAAGCCGCGGATTTCGCGCGTTTGCTGTTGCGCTGCACACGAAAACCGACATCCAGGACGAAAAATATATAGCAGTGAGAGATGCTTTGGTAGTGGTTGTAGTGGTTGTGGTACGTTGAAAGAATGAATAGGCGCGGAATGGAACTAAGCGAGAAAGCAAAGAAGGAAGAGAGAAAAAAGAGAGAGGAAGGAAGGAAGGTGAAATCCCCTTTTGGGAATATTTTTCTGATTCCAGTGGCCTCAATCGATCTCTCTTTTACTCAGAGAGTTCTGTACCTTTCGTGCATCGACGCACCTACTCGCACAGAACAAGCTCTCTGCGTTGCCCCGGATATATTGAGCCGTGCACCTAGATACTCATGAATCTACTACACAAAAGGATATCAGAGATTCTCCGATAAATCCCTCCATATTCTATAAGACTTGCCCAGGCATCTAAGACTCAGAAGCCAATAAATCCTGTGATAAGTCACGTCCATAAAGAAAAATATACATGTGTGTAACTATAATGCAATTGTATTAAAAAGCATGAAAAGCAACCCCTTCTATTATTTTTTTTTCTGCCTCTAAGTATTTCTCCAGTAAAATATCTCTACAATATATTTCAAGCGATTAAAAATATTTCCCTTTATATTTTCGAGTATCATCGAGTCTCTAATCATTATTTTACCGCGATTTTTAATCTTTCTAACTGATAGTAAATATAAATAATTTTTTCTTAATCAGATATAACTTTTAATTGATTTAACACCGTCAAAATTTTCGATACTTGCTTGATTATTTTAATATAAATCATTTTTATGCTAAACACTATATGATGCTTATATTATATTCGAACATCGGATAAATCATTAGTAAAATCTCAAATGCATGTTTTTGTTTATTTCATTTCATAAAATTGAATTAAATGTTAGAAATAATGACATTATCATGAAAAATAAATTTGAATTTCAATACTATGGATGCAATAATTGATTCAATTTTATAAATGAATTTGCTTCTATTTGTGTAACAAAAATCTTTTTGTGCTTTCAAAAAATTTTATAGCAGATATTTGGAATCTGAATAACATATAAAAATTTTCCAATAATAAATCACATTTAGATAAAAAAATATGTACGTATGTAAGTATATAATAAAATCATATTGAAGGCTATGAAAAGCGACACCATCTTTTTATTACATTCATCACAACGAAACCTCGATCAGCAAAGGATAAAATTGAAGCTTTCAATCCAAATGAAGTTATATCAGAATTTGAAGTAAAAAGAAACGAATAAGAAAAATTGACTGATAATGGTATGCTTCCTAATGAAGAAACTATCTATTCAAATTCAATTATTTGCTAAATTGAAAAAAATATTTTAATAAATCTTATGATAATAATAATAAAAAATTATTGACAGGTGAATAGACGGTTTTAATATACAACCCCAATACAAATTCTCGAGGAAAAAATTATCACAGCTATGCCAGGAATATCTGAGATTCTGAAGAGCTCTTATCAGGAATGTAATGCTTTAAAGCATGAAATTCTGATCAAGTTATCCTTCT